GATAAACAGGTGGCACAGATGGTAATACAGGTGTGTTTCTCACGATAACTGGAGGCCAGGTGGAGGCTATTGATTTATAGGTAACAATATCAGGTGTACCTTGTGTGTGTGTGTGTGAGAGAGAGAGAGAGAGAGAGTCTGTCTGTCTGTCTGTCCTTCGTATAACCCCATCCCATGCCAAAGAGTTCGAGGACATATCGTGTGTTCGAAGCATAAAAAACACATATGTGGTTATAATATAAATCTTGTAGTGTAGTGAAGTGAAGTGAAGTGTGGTGTGGTGTGGTGTAGTGTAGTGTAGTGTGGTGTAGTGTAGTGTAGTGTGGTGTAGTGTAGTGTCGTGTAGTGAAGTGTAGTGTAGTGTAGTGTGGCGCTCGCCTCTTAACTTAGGTCCTGTGTGTCCGTCTAAAATCATAATACACCCACCCACCCCACCCACCCACCCCACACCCACCTGGAAATTGATTAAGGAGAATACTTTAAGGGGTGTAATACCTCGACTATTTTTTTTTTAGGGGTGTGTGACGGAGAGTAGGGGTAGAGGGAGGAGAAGGGAGGGTGAGGGTAGAGGACAGGGTGAGGAGTGGACGGAGGAGGGAAGGGTGAGGGAGGGGGAGGGAGGGAGGGAAGGTGGTCATAAATCACTAATAAAGAAATATGATTTAATATCAATTGCAAAGGAGGAGTGAGCTGTGGCCTATTCACTACCCTCTCACTCCTCCCTTCCTCCCTGTTTCCTCACTACTCCCTCCTCTCCATACTTACTCATTCCACCACCCCATCCCCAGGGCCACATTAGTCAACCACCATCCCTACCACTCCGATCACCACCACTACTACCACCAATCACCACCACCACTATCACTCACTCTCACCACCACCACATCTCTCTCTCTCAAGAATCTCAGGTTCCTCTTCTAGTAATTATCGGCCGTCAACGCCGTTTGCCTCGCCTCTAACGACTCCACCTCGTTGGTCGCGTTAATTGTTAGCGATAAAGTTAGCGGCGGTAGTTTGTATCAGTGAGAGGCTACTGAAGGAGGAGGAGCAGCTCGTGTAATTATCTCAGGGTTGGTTGAGCTCACGACACCAGCAGGAGGAGGACCTAGGGGTGGGGGGAGGGGAGGAGGGGAGGGGGAGGGGGGGGAGGAGGAGGGGGGGAGGGGAGGAGGGAGGGGAGGGGAGAGGGAGGGGGGAGAGGGAGGTGGGGGAAGGGGGAGGGGGAGAGGGAGGGGGGAGAGTGGGAGGGGGGGAGAGGGAGGGGGGGGAAGGGGAGGGGAAAGTGGAGGGGGGGGGGGAGGGAGGGGAGAGAGGGAGGGGGGGAGGGAGGGGGGAGAGAGGGGAGGTGGGTGAGGGGGAGGGGAGAGAGTGGGAGGTGGGTGAGGAGGGAGAGAGTGGAGGTGGGTGAGGGGAAGGGAGAGTGGAGGGGGAGAGGGAGAGGGGTGAGGGGAGAGGGGAGGGGGGGGGGGGGTGAGGGGGAGGGGAGAGAGGAGGGGGAGAGGGGAGGGGTGAGGGGAGGGGAGAGTGGAGGGGGTGAGTGGAGGGGTGAGGGGAGGGGGGGGGGAGGGGAGGGGGAGGGGAGGGGGGGAGAGTGGAGGGGGAGTGGAGGGGGGTGAGGGGAGGGGGTAGGGAGGAGGGGGAGGAGGGGGAGAGAGGAGGGGGAGAGGGGAGGGGTGAGGGGGGAGGAGAGAGTGAGATGTGGGAGGGGTAAGGGGCTGAGACTGATGTCTTGTGTTATAATTTGCATGGTGGTGGTGATGGTGGTCCTGCCTGAGCTGCGTCGGGTAACTCTATGATTACAACTCCTAACACACAAAACAAACCAACAAAAACAAACAAATAACTCTAGGTCTTCTGTCAGGATCCAAATTTATTCCCATCAATGACGTCAATATCGAGTTCATTTTTTCCCATAACCTTTTCAACGCAATTTTTTCCCAGTGGTTCAGAGTGAGTTAATCATTGGCTGTTGTTTAACCTGGGGAAAAAGGTGTGAGGGGGATATTGACTACCTCGCCTAATAACGTACTGCACTATCACGCCTCCCAATAACGGATCACCACCCTCCACACCGACTACCACCCCTCCTAATAACGGACTAATCAAGCTCTGACTCAGGGATGAAGAGGTTATGACTCAACTTGAACGAGGATGACCTGTTTTTTAGGGGTGGAGGGATGGGGGCGAGGGTGGCGAGGGCGGTGGGGGGAGGGTGGCGGGGACGGGTGGGGGGGAGGGTGGCGGGGACGGAGGGGACAGGTGGCGGGGACGGTGGCGGGGACGGGGCGAGGGCGGGGGCGGTGGCGACGGCGAGGGCAGGGAAAGAGAGGATAAACAGAGACCAGGATAGGGACAGGGACAGACAGACGACAGGGGGTAAGAGAAGACTGCATTTTCTCCTAATGACAGGGAGAGAAAGTGACGTATAATTGATTTGGTAAATTATAGAATCTCCCAATGGTGATCTGATTGACTGACTGGAGAGAAGGGAGAGATGAGGGAGGAGGGAGGGAGGAGGGAGGAGGGAGGGAGGGAGGGAGGGAGGAGGAGGGAGGAGGGGGAGGAGGAGGGAGGAGGAGGAGGAGAGAGGGGAGAGAGAGAGAGAGAGAGAGTTGATATATAAACGATGGCAATTACAGAACGTTAAGACGGATCTGTTTTTTTATTCTAGGATGATGTGTGTGTGTGTGTGTGTGTGTGTGTGTGTGTCCTCTGTTATTTCTCTTACCTCTTTAACACACACACAACACGGGGGGGAAAGGCAGAATGCAAGGTTCCTGAGGATTCACCTGGACTCAAGATCCAACACTAATGTTTCACGATCATAACCCCTTCACCTAATGCCCGGGGGGGGGAGGGGAGGGGAGAGAGGGACAGGTGGAGCAAGAGGAGGAGGGAGGATGAGGAGGAGGAGGAGGAGGAGGAGGAGAGGGAGGAGGAGGAGGAGGAGGAGGAGGAGGAGGAGAGGAGGAGGAGGAGGAGGAGGAGGAGGAGGAAGGAAGGTTGTTAGGTACCACTGATTAAGATGAATGAAGCGGATAGGGATAGATTAGGTTAGTTTAGGGTTAGTTTAGGGTTAGCGTAGGTTAGGGTTAGGGTTAGGTTAGTTAGGGAGGGTAGGAGGTTTAGGTAGGTTAGTGCGTTAGATGGCGAGGGTTAGCGTTAGGTTAGCGAGTTGAGGTTAGGTTAGATTGAAGTGTTAGGTTAGGTTAGGCTGTTAGGTTAGCGTTAGTAGAGCGTAGATTAGCGTTAGCATGAAGGTGATTAAAATTAACGTGAACATTAACTAAAATACTCCTGAAGGTCGACTGTTATTTTGCGGGGATCCCTCAGACATACAGCCAGTGGACCAACCTTAAACCACACTCATCACGACCCATCATCGCTGATTTCCCGCCACACACCCACACCCACCTGCGTCCTACCGTCATTTACACCTCATCCTACCCCTAGAATCTTTATCTCACCACCAACTCTTGATTCTAACACGAGTAACTGGTTTTGTTTTTCTAAAGGAGACATTTTCTAACCAAGCATTGTCCCGTATATAGATTTGTTTAAGGACACATTTTATCAACACCGTCTCGTATGTGTGAGATCTGTGTTAATTATTTAGTAAAACTGTATATTAATTACAGGTACTTACATCGAGAGGTCAGTAGGCGGCACAGGTAATGGTCTCTCGCTTGGTGACTGAGAGACATCCGGAGCTGGTGACTGTCTCGCGCCTGCTGAGAGAGACAAAGAGAGAGTTACATACTGGACAAGAGAGAGAGACACACACAACCTGACGGAGGAGAGGAGGAGAGAGCGTCGTCAAGGATGTGGCGGAGGCGGTGGGCGGCGGTGAGCTGTGGCCTGGCGGTGGGCGGCTCCCTCATCCTGACCACTCTCACCCTGATAACCACCCTAAACCTGGGCCAAGGTGAGGCTGGGGGCTGGCAGGTGAGGGTACGAGGTGAGGAGAGGTGATGGCAGGTGAGGAGAGGTGATGGCAGGTGTAGGAAGTGATGGCAGGTGAGAAGTGAAGGTAGGTGAGGGTAGGTGGGAGGAGAGGTGATGGCAGGTGTAGGGAAGTGAAGGTAGGTAGGGTAGGTGAGGAGAGGATGGCAGGTGTAGGAAGTGAAGGTAGGTGAGGGTAGGAGGAGAGGTGATGGCAGGTGTCGGAAGTGAAGGTAGGTGAGGGTAGATGGATAGGAGGTGAGGGGAGGTGTAGGAGGTCAGGGTAGGGTAGATGGGTAGGAGGTCAGATAGATATGATTGACATTCATAGAGTTACCTGACGCAGCCCCCCACAAAAAAAACATATTAACACACTAATTAACTCACTTCCCAAACATTAAAACAAACAAAAAACAAATAAAATAAACGGGAAAAACAAAATGAAAAGAAGGCACCAGAAGGAAGATACTAACATAAATGAAGGAATAATGGCGGTACATAAAACTATCGCGGTCGGCCATAAATCTCTCTCTATTTCCCGTTTTCTTCAGTGTTTTCTCTTCGCAGGGGTAACTTATGAGTCCATGCATTAGTGTCTTCACCTCTCTCTCACCTACCTACGTGTATATATATATTCCCTACAATTGAAGATATAAAAACGTGTCTACCTTAGCATAAAATAAGCTATAACACAAAAAATATAAAAAATAACATAAATTCACTAGACACATTTATATAAAACCAGAAAGGAAAATAATATCGGAAACTTTTATAAATACACATCCACCACCATCCACCACCACCTCACATTTTCCCCGCCAAGACGATATAAGTGGCAAGATTTCTCACATATTCTTGATAATATTTTCATGGGTTAGGTTAGGTTAGAGATTTTGTTTAAGCTAATATTACCAAACACTTTTTTCACCCTTTTAATACACTTGATAATTAATTAACCCCCAAAACAAATTCGTGGCTTAAAGTTCTCAAGGTTCATATTTCTAAGCCACTTCCCGGAGGTGTGACGCTGACAGACCGCTTACTAGGGAGTGAAAAAACTGCAGCAAATATAACTTTCTTTTTTACCTTTCTCTCGTTTATTTCTCTGTCTCTTTCTGATTCCTTTCTTTCTCTCTCTCTCTTTCTCTTTCCATTTATCTTTTTCTTTCGTTCAATTGTTATTTTCTTTTCACGCATCAAATACTGATACAGTTTCCAAGGAAGAGGGAGAGGTGAAGGAAGAGAGAAGAAGAGAGAAGAGAAAGAAGAGAAGGAAGAGAAGAAAAGAAGAAAAGGACGAGGAGGAGAAAAGGGAGAAGGAAACGAAAGAGGAGACGGAGGAGAAGGAGGAAGAAGAGGAAGATGAGGAGGAGACGGAGGAGGAGGAAGAAGAGGAAGAGAGAGGAGGAGGAGGAGGAGGAGCCCGACACAGCCTTATACACTATCGTCCTCCACTCTTTAAACTGACTCACTTTCTCTAAGTTTGTAATCTTTATGGCAACCAACCATGCCTTCCTCCTGCCCCCCACCACACCACCACCACCACTTAACTGAAATGTGAAAACTTGCTCATCTTTTATTAGTATTATGTTGGGTTTGGTCTCGTAAGAAGAGCTTCAAACTTTGTGAATTATAATACTGAGTTCATCTTTATGGCCGAGTTACACCAACCTCAACTACAGACACAGACACACAGACAGACAGACACACAGACACACAGACAGACAGACAGACAGACACACAGACAGACACACAAACAGACAGACAGAGTTTATTGACTACACCAATACAAAAGAATACATTACTAAAATTTAATACATTCACTTATTATATATATATAATATATATATATATATATATATATATATATATATATTATATATATATATATATATATATATATATATATATATTACGCCTTTGCTATTGTTCTTTATATATTTACCATTCATCTCTAGTACTCAAACTACTGCATCATAACTGTTTAATTTGCTTGCTGTAACTTGTACACACACACACACAAACAAATCAGCACGAATCAAATACCAAACGACTGAGTGAATGTTTTGTTGCAGGTGGGGCTGGCGGAGGAGACCCAGCAGGAGAGGAATACACACTACCCTCGCTGGAGGAAGTGATCGAGTCAGTACAGGACCTAGACATTCAGCGAGTGTTGAGACTGTACAGCACTCAACATAGCGAGGTGTGTGTGTGTGTGTGTGTGTGTGTGTGTGTGTGTGTGTGTGTGTGTGTGTGTGTGTGTGTGTGATAATAATAATAATTAACAGCTTATTGAAAGAGCATGGCAGCCGGAAGGTTGAAAATATATAGTTACATAATTGGTGAATGGGTCTCTTGATTGGCAAATAATATACAAGTAACATAAGTGATACAAATATGATATGTAATGACTAGGTGGGGAGGTCATACTACAGGGCATTTCAACTTAATGACAGTGCAAAAAGGTAAGATTGGCTGGGAGTGAATACACTGGTTGTTTACGAGTTGTTGATAATTTTTACAATGGTTGGGACTGGGCTGTTCTTATAGCGGTCAGTTCGTGCTCGTATGGGCTGGATGCGGTTGTGGTGTCGAACAGCAATTCTCGGACGAGGGATCTCGGGTGGTAGTAGGAGCCGGTGTCGGGGATGGTGCAGAAGCTTCTCACCAAATGTGCAGATGAGGTCGTGGTGATGGTCAGAGAGCCGAGAGGGTCAGTGTGTTGAGCGCTTCTTGATATGTGGAGTAGGAAGGGGAGAGAATAATCTTGCATGCCCTCTTCTGCACTTTTTCTAGGTGTTTACGTTGTGTGGCATGGGGAAAAGACCAGGCAGGGGAGGCATAGGTGAGCTTGGGAAGTATGAACGTCGAGTAAACCCTGAGGAGCTCGGGGCTTGAGTCGGCGAAGGAGGTGGCGCGCGCGCGCGCGCGTGTGTGTGTGTGTGTGTGTGTGTGTGTCGGAAATAACAAGATAACGGTTGCCTACAGGTTCCCGCGGCCACACCACCAGCACGAGTGATAGTGTCGTCCACCTGGCGCAGCGGCTCCACCCTCCTGGCTGAGATTATCGCCGCCCACCCGGGAGCTTTTTACCATTACGAGCCGCTCATGACCTACGGCCTCAACCAACTAGAAGCTAACCACAAGGACAAGGTAATATTTACAACCACAAGGTGATATTTACAAGGGGTTATTACTACAACTGTGACGTCATTCTTATAACTAACTCACAAAGCAAACGCCTGCAAATATCTGCAACACGAACATCAGGTGACACTACTGCAATGAATAAATAACACACAACACACACACACACACACACACACACACACACACACACACACACACACACACACACACACACACACACACACACACACACTGACTCTCTCTCTCTCTCTCTCTCTGCAGCTGATATATAAAATAACTTGAAATCCAAAGTTACAGAGAATATAGTAATAGCCTTTGTTTTATCACTCCCTCTTGTCCTAATTAATGTTACATGTTTATGAATGTTAATATATAATCAGTAGAAGGAAGGGTTAATGTTTTGAGACTAATTATGATTATCAACGAATAGGTAAGACTTTGGTGTACTAACTTGGGTGTAACCTTGGTGTGGGGTGACAGGAGGAGGTGGTGGGGGTGCTACAAGGGCTGCTACAGTGTGACTACCAACACGCAGACGACTACCTCAAGTTCGCCTTCATCAACCACGAGATGTTCATGCGTAACTCTCGGCTCTGGTCTATGTGTAGCATCATACCTCGGACCAAGTGTTACCACCCCGACACTCTGGCCCGCCTCTGTTCCCTCTTCCCTATCCACGTGATGAAGGTCGTGAGGGCGAGGCTGGAGCTGCTGCAACCACTGCTGAAGAGGTCCAACGTCCGGCTCGTGTGGCTGGTGAGGGACCCCCGGGCAGTGATGAGTTCCAGGCTAAACAGTGTCTCCTGGTGCCAGACCCGAGCCTGCTACGATCCTGGCTACTTGTGTTCTGACCTGACGGCAGATTTCAGCAACTATCTCTACCTGAAGGAGTTATATCCCAAACAGGTGATGCTCCTCAGGTATGAAGACCTCGCCCGTAACCCCTACGATAAGAGCCGCGAGGTCCTCAAGTTCGCTGGACTCAGTTTCCACCGACGAGTTCAAGATTACCTGGACGACCACTTAACTTCTGACGAGGACGAACCCTGGAGCACACGTCACGACCCCAAGACCCGCGTCGCTCGGTGGATGAAGATTATGAAGTTTGACGACGTGGTGAGGACTCAGTACTTCTGCCAGACCGTCATCAAGAACCTTGGATACAGGCTCTTCACCTCCAAGTCCGACATGGAAAACGGGAACGCCGTCGGTTTCCTCAACATTCCGTGACCGTGACCCGTGACCGTAACCCTGTGGCGTGACGGTAAACAGTGACTTTTGTTACTTATAAACCAACTTAAGTGGACAGAGTTGGGTACAAAACGACAAACAGTGAACGGGTCTAAACATTAAGTCCTCAGTCAGTCACTCAGGATTTGGTGATAACATTCATATACATTAATAACATATCTAAAGTAATTAATAAACAATAATATAACTGAAAATAAATCCTTTGTGTGTAAGAAAATAAGACAACGAGAAAGAATATAATTAAAAGCTGCATTAGGAATATATAACTTAAAAATTGTATCAACCAATGAGACGCCTGGGATTACCATTAAAAAAAAAAAACAAGTGACTAACGGATCAAAAATTACAATAATACGAATGAATATTTTTTATACATAATACAAAATAAAAATAAACAAATAAAAAGTATTCTAACAAACAACTTAACAAAGGTGATTTTAATTTGAACAATGAACCAAAAATTACAACATGTGGGGTTGTGACCGTTTTGCTGGTGTGTATAGGGTGTGTACAGAGTGTGTAAAGGGTATGTATAGGGTGTGTTTGCTTGTTACTAAGGGATAGAGAGGTGAAGTATAAACCTCTGACTGTGAATTGGATATGTACAGTTGTATCAGACTGGGTTAGGTGTAGTGAAGCTCCCTCAATCTGACAGTCAGTTACTCAGTCAGTCACTCAGCCTGTTAATTACCCAGCCACTCAATTATTCAACGTCAACTAAAATCAGTGTTACCAGAGCAGTTACCAATACAAAAAAAGTATTACCAACTTAAAACAATACAAAAAAAAGATAATGAAAATATCCCTAATACAATTATACTACAAAGTTTATATATAAAACCTGTACACTATTATCCTGCACATGTAGGGTAGATTTTGCACTTTATATACTGTTTTAAACATTATAAAATACCTGTATATATATATAGAACATTTGTCTGTGATATAATTAATTTGTTTATATAAAAAAAGAATGTCTATATTTTCATGTTTACAGTAATGAAAATATTTACTTGGAAATATTTTGAGATTTTTTTTTTTATGGATTGGCTATTATAGAAAACGTAATTTAAGGGTTAACTCCGGTATTTCAGTGGTGAAGTGAGGTGATTGTTTTGTGGTGTGTGTGAAGAGGTTAAACAATTAGCGTAATGACAACACTGAACACACACACACACACACACACACACACACACACACACACACACACACACAGGCGCCAAAAACAGCATCATGCCATCACTGAACTTTTGACCTGACCTCTATGTGAGAATTGCGTATAATATTCAGAAGAAAAATGTATTATAAAAAGATAATTCTCCCCCCCCCACACACGCACACTGTCTATGAAATAAAGATTCTTATAACCCGAATTGATTTGCATTTTAATTAAACCGAAATGAAACAGTTTGACTTAATCTCTCTCTCTCTTTCTCTATCTATCTATCTCACTGAAGGCCATATAACAAGTGGAAGAAGCTATGAAAAAAAACCAAGATTTAGGAATTATAAATCGTGCCTCCAAATACAATGACAGGAAAATGCTTCTTCAACTGTATTCCAGACTGGGTTACTGTATACAGGCATGGAAACCCTGTACAGTACCTCTAGAAAGACATACCAACCCCTCCAGACAAGATACTATGAGGGAAATCTTAAAATAGATGGGAAAAAGCGAACCCAGGTCATATTTTCGTGATGTAACGCACCACCAATACGAGGTGACATAACTTGATGCTCGCCGAGGTATCATACAGGAAGAATATAAGGAAATGTTTCTTAACACAGAGGCTGGTAGACCTATGGAACAGTCTATCAACCTAAGCTGTAGGAGCGAGAACAAATGGAGGGATCCTACATAAGTCACTGGCCTCCTTCCCTCGGCATGGTCACCTCTTGTGGGTGGCCAATAAGTTAGGCAAACTCTTTTTATTCGCCATTCTTTCTAATGCTCAAAATCTCTCACTTTCTTTCTTATCACTTGCTCTTTATCTAGTTCCATCTATCTATTCATCATTCTCTCTCACACCCACTCTCTTTCTCTCCTCTCCTTTGGTCACTAATCTTTTGGAAATTGCAAATCATAATCCTCACTCTGTTACTCAACTTCCCAAAATAGTTCCCCCTCCTCACGCCATCAGCTTAAAGAAAACGGGTATCTAACCGAGCGAGGCAATCTGAATTAAAAAAAAATCTAAAATCTGACAACCCCGAGTAATTAAAAAAAATACATTATACAACACTTTACCATTAAATCATGAACGGGGTTCCAAAAATTTTCACTGGGAAACGTTAGAAAATGAAATGGGAACGATCAAATTAGAAACTATATTAAAAAAATGAAGAGCATATATTTTTGTTTTCTTTTTTTATTATTTAAGTTAGATTTACATTCGGTTAAACAGAGGTTAAAGCAATTTCAAAAGAAAATGGAAAAAGTAATATAAGGGAGACGCGTAAAGTGACGAGGAATGACTGAATCGTCAAGAATAAATATTACACACACACTCTTCTTAAAATCTCTATTTATAATTCACACTCACGAAACGAATTATTTGCACTATATAGACTAACTTGGTTCAGTAAAATAAACTGACTTAATTCAGTAAAATAAAGTAACTTAATTCAATACATTGTAGTGGATTCCTCCCCTACAAACACTGTTTGTCGCTGAGTAGCCGACCCCGCGATTTCCCCAGTGTATGCCTCGTGGTCTAGGTCAACCAGCGCCGCCTTACATGATGGAGGTCAACTATTAAGCCACGCCTACCTCCGCTATATAAGACCTGACCTCGTGGTGACCGCTCTCTCTTACTACCTACAGCCAGTCATCAAGTAACACCACCTCCTCCACTCCTGCCTGGCGGCCCTCGCTCCCGCCGGCGAACATGGCGACCCACAAACTGGTCCTCCTCTGAGCACCCTCACCAACCAGCTCTCTCTACTCAACGCTTGTAACCATGCTGCCTTCCCAGCACCAAGCTGCACTGTACATCCAATACAATATGTATACAGAGAGCACATTGTGAGTTTCCTTTCCCCATCCCATCCTGAGTGTGAACCAAACATCATGTACCCCACAACATAAAGTGACTCAGTTCAGTCAAAATAAACTACCCTAAATCAGCCACTAAACTTAAGCATCAGTCAACACAAACCACGAGAGAGAGAGAGAGGCAGCTGTATCCAGACGCTTCTCGAGGCAGTCATAAACCACACCATTCATAATAACTCGAACAAGGAGACACGCAGGCATTAACACACCTCAAATTAGATCTTCCACAACCTCGTTAGACATAGGAACAGCTAAGCTTATTCATGTCTGGGGGGAAAATGGCTCTCGTGAAGATAACAAACCTTCATTTATTAAACCGAATGATTATAAAACGCCCTAATTATATGTATCTATACGGATTATATATAGATTATAGATATATGTGTGTAGTTATAGCAGCCCAGTAGCGTAGCCCATACCGCCCGTGAGAGGAGCCTTCGTACCGATTCTTTAATATACAAACACTTGATCATCGATTTCTTTGTCACGGAGTATTTTTTAACATGACGCCGCTACTAAACTTACCTGTTAAAGATGAAATAAAGCGTAATTAATCGATTTTTTTCTCATATTAAAGTCTTTTTTTTTTAGATATGATTGATGTGTATAGTTGTAATATTCTGGTGTGTATGCGTAAAATTGGTCCGACTCGCGCGCCATTCGTTGACATTTACAGTTGACAGCCTCCCGATCAGATCTTCCTTACACATCCCACCTCCAGCTCCCCTCAGATACTACTCCTGCCACACTGGGACTTCCTTCACCACAAGTATTATCATAGACACAAATATTAACGAGTGTTGTACAAAGATTGCGTTGGGAAGGTGGGTCAGTATAATGTTCCTTGAGTCAGTCTGTTGTTGACGCAGAAGACGAAAAAAAAAACTACCGATATTGCAAATTATTCAGATCGAAAATTAGTGGATAACTCAATGCTATTCTGTTTCTGGCACTGTAAACATAGAGTGAATACAGTAAGGAAGTGATTTATACAGTGCTGTGGTGAATAAACAGTGAATGTGTTGATGTACAGTGCCTGACTAATGATGTTCTACAGTGCTACAGTCGTGAATAAACAATAAACGTTAGGAGAAACAGTGGTACAGTCGTGAAGGAAGTGACTTGAAGGAACAATAATGCACTGTAGTAAACGGTAAACGGGAACGTGTTGCCTGAAGCATCTCTCTTCACTCGTGACTTATCTCGCCCTGGTGATACTGGGCCAGGAATGTGAGGTGGTTTATACAAGCGGTATTGACCCACGTCGACTGGCAGCTGTCCCGAGAATCCTCAACCACAAGTCTATATCATTCCCCGTCTCTCTAATAACAACCATCTCACAACTATAACCTCCTCTTATAACCAAAGGGATCGCATTAACACCATCATCATCCCACAACCAATAAACGACCATTTTTTACAACCTTCAAGTTCCCTACCTTAGCATTGCCGTCTAACAACTTGATTCCACTACGTCCATCTCACAACCACAAGTCCAATACCACTTCCACGGAACTCATAACCCCAATTCTTGTCCCTTTACTCCCACAACCACCAGTACCTCATAACCACAACTACAAGTACTACTACCACAACTCCCACCAACACATCATAACCACAACTACAACAACTCCTTGCACCACCACAATTAACACCATGCTGGACTACCCCCTACACTTCCCAGGAGGAGGTAACAGTACATTACCCTGGACTAGTACCGGTATGTCGATGGCTGTGGTGCTGGTGGCTCTTACTGTTCTACTGTTGAGCTGCTGTGGTGCCGCTGCGCTGTTCCTGGTGGCGTGCTGTGGTAGCCGCAGGAGGGACGGTGTGGCAGAGAGCGGTGATTCTCGCTGGCTACCTGGAGTGGGTGTTATCGACTATGTGCCCGTGTCCAACAGGTAAGAATATTTCATGTTGGTGTCCCTTGTCTTATAGTCCAGGGTTCGAGGCCCACTGAGGGAGTATTTCAGTACCAGGTGAGATATTTAAGAGGTTTCTCAGTCCTGGAGCTCTGGGAGATATTTCAGTAATGAGTTATGAATTATCACCTCCCCGTGGTCTAGTTCTGGGTTCGAGACTCACCCGATCCGGAGTATTTCAGTAGCTAGTGAGACATTTACAACGGTGTCGTGTCTTAGTTCAGGGGACGAACCACCAGCCAAGGACACTTACAGAAGGCGAGATATTGACTTTGTTTTCCTGTAGGTCAACATTTGTGTCTCTTCCGGGGATATGTTCAGAGGAAGTGAGATATTTACAACGGTGCCTTGTTGTATGTCGTTCAGGGTTCGAGGCCTCACACGGGTTAGGTTAGGTTGAAATATTCAGTGTCCTTCAGTTCCTGTAGTTGACACACTGCCAATCGAATTTAATTTATCAATAATTTAGAAAGAACAATACAGGTGTGGGCAGAGGTAGTACACCTCTTAATTGTCCTGGTGTTAACTGTCTCTTCTTGACTGTCTAGATACTGTGCTTCCTCTTGACTGTCCAGCGACTAACTGTGCCTCCTCTTGCTGTAGGTCATCAGTACGTGTGTCCCTCATCCTGCCAGAGAGCCCCAACACCACAACTGAGGAAACCATCGTGGCGCAGGAAGTAACGCCATCCATACCATCTGTCGCTGCTGCATCGTCGTCAACAACACCAGTAACTGTTTCCTGTCACATCAATATGAATTTTCCACCCCAGGTCTCTTATTCAGCAGTAATCCCACCTACTGGAGGAGGAGGCCGCCCACGACAACAATTATCCCCTTCGTCAGGATGGTGCTCTCGCTCCCTCCCTATGTCCCCGACGGTGGTGATATCATCCAAGAGGAGGAGACCGATTTCGCTGCCTCTCTCCTCCGTCAGTGAACCAGTGTCGAGGTCTCTGTGTTTCTTTGGGTCCAGAGCGGCCCTGTCAACTGTTACTCTCCCATCAATGGCTCCTGTTACTATACTGCCACTATCACCATCACCACCACTATCTCCACCACCACCACCACCACCATCATCACCACCACCACTTTCATCACCAGTACCACCATCACCACCATCACCATCATCTCCATCACCACTACCACCATCATCTCCATCATCACCACCACCCTCTGCATCATTACCACCATCGCCATCATCATCACTACCACCACCATCATATCCATCACCACTACCACCTTCACCACCACCATCTGCATCACCACCACCACCTTCATCACCACCACCACCACCATCATCATCACCACCACCACCATCATCATCACCACTATCACCATCATCATCATCACTACCACCATCCTCATCACTAATAATCGAAAGAATACCATCAACACCACAACTACCACCACCAGAAGCAGCACCACCATCTTAATCCCTGGCAGTGATGGTGGTAATCCAGTCCGTCCTCCTCCTAGCCTTAAACTGGTCCGTCCATCACTAACCTAACCATTAAAAGTCGTCATTGTTAACTCAGAATGATAACTACAGAAGAATGTTTTATATTGATTTATTTAGTAATCAGTGTAAATATGTTTGTTTGTTTTTAAAGGAAGTGTTCACGGTAATAAAAATAACAAATGAAAGTAGTTTGTTATTGTCCGTGGGTACTGTTGTTGATAAAACACACACCCACACACTTAATAATCAACTACCTACAAGATATAAATATATACCTGTATATGCTGATAACCACAAGGAAATAAGAAAACACGAAGTTCCCAAGCGCTTTCGTGTAATTCACATCTTCAGGGGTGAGTACAGACTAAAGAGAAGTACAAAACAAGGTGTATACACCTTGTTTTGTACTTCTCTTTAGTCTGTACTCACCCCTGAAGATGTGAATTACACGAAAGCGCTTGGGAACTTCGTGTTTTCTTATTTCCTTGTGGTTATCAGCATATACCTGGATCACGCACACCTATTGTACACGCGGACTTTGAACATATAATCAACGACCTCACCAGCCAGGATTTGAACCCTCGACCTACTGGGTGGGACTAGGGAACGCTACCGACCAACCCACAAGGACACTAAAAGCAGTCCTAGACTCTGTTATATTTCACACAAAGCCTGTTCATCGAGCTGATGGCGCCGTGAGCCTCATTGGGAACTGCCCGTGCCTCGTATGTGGTGTCAGTAGCATTTTACCAGCTGAAAACTCACCACCCCAGCCCACTCCACCTGACGAATCACCACCCCAGCCCACTCCACCTGACGAATCACCACCCCAGCCCACTCCACCTGACGAATCACCACCCCAGCCCACTACACAACATTAGGTACCGTATCAATAATAAACGTTCTGAAATGCTGATATTAAATTTTGAGAAAGATCCCACTTCGAGAACGAACTCAGATTCATTATAATACACTGGTAGTTATTCTCATGTGGTGACGTCATCATTATTCATAGGGGTGTATACATTATAGTGTGACCAGCAGAATGGTTAAGGCAGACCGGATGAGGGGATTATGGAGGCTTACAAGTGGCTAATAAAAATCTTCATTGTGGCATTTTTTTAACTATCGCTGTTATTTCCATCCTCAACCCGCTGTACTATCCGTGTGTGTGTGTGTGTGTGTGTGTGATGGCTGTACCGCGTGTATAGAGGTAAGGATGTGTTGGGCTGGGCGACTTCCAAGGTGTGGGGGAGCCAAAACAGGAGAATTAAAATGCGAGGTGACAACTCCCACCTTAATATTTTGGATGCCAGTGAGGAATTTTTGAGGGACTGTAATATGACTGATGATATAAACTACCAACACATTATGATGGGATGTTCTTAAGTAATATATATATATCATTACAGTTTCTTGATAAATTAAAAAATTGTATCGGGGTTTCGGTGATGTCTGGCAGCCAACTGCACCCGACCGAGCGACCTCTACAGTCCCACTCCCACCCAAGCCAGTTTTCTGAGTACGTCGTGGGGGTGTGGATGTGTATATCTTTCGTCAATTTTACTTCCACTTGTTGCCAAATTGAGTTGATTATTTGTAAATGATCAGTGTTAGTTTAATCCAGTTGGTGGGAATAAATGAAAAAAAACATTTGGATTGAGCGGATCGATAGTGTTTAGCTTATAAAAGAGAGACGGCCCATGCGTGCTTGTGCTATTAACACCAAAGGAAACATTCCAGGTTCGCTCATAGTATCCTGGCACTGAATGTTAATGTAACCTACTGCTGTCATGTGTTAGTGATCAACTGAACCATCTGCTGGGGAGTACAGTCGCAGGTGTCATCGACAAACGGCTGAAATGGTGCTGAAGATGACTGTGTTGGGACTCGTCTTCCTAGCGACAATTTCGACGACTTGGGGATTTAATGTTGGTAAGTTTACGACGTGGGCGGTGGGCGGGGCTGTTGTTTACTTATTTATTGTTGAGGAAAAATCACCGCTGGGGATCGATCCATCTTCCTTACTTGATCTCACACATACGGAGGGGCCGTGCAGTGACGAGGTTCAGGATTGTTTAGATTAATTTTTCTTCATCTGTAGGTTAAGTCACCCGATGAGCCAGTACTTAGTCTCTACTGTTACTAATCTTCCGTAACAAAGGATCAGAATGTGAGTCTGGTCTTCAAGGACGGTAAGTGTTGAGGCTGTGTTTCCTTGTGCATATTTTAAAGGTAGGGCGTCCTAGAGGCCTTGAGGGAGGTTATAACTGACGATAACAGTCTCTTGTTTAAACAATATTGTGTTTACATAATTATCGGGAAAGTAAATATACATCCTCGTGTGATGAATTATATGTAAATTTGACTGAGGGGCGTGGTAAAGGGGAACTACAGTAGTCTTGACAGCATATATATATAATAGAAAACCTTGAGGAAGGCCATAAAACTTTGTGACGCTGGCAGGTAATTTCATTTTTTTAACTTGCAAATTCGAGTACAGTTGTACAGGCAATATGTTGTGAGATTATGTGGCAGCATTTACATTTCATTTAAGAGTGATACATATACTGTACTGTATATAATGTATATGTATATATTTTTTGTTATGTTATTGTTTAGGAAGTAGATGTGTGGCATCTTGAGAGCCTTCTCTCCCACAACCCCGCCCACCCCTCACCCAAAAGGAAGTGGTAACAGCCATCTTGGCATTTGCCTCCGGCCGCTGGTTTCCTCGCACGATTTCACTGTTTGAAAATGAACCCGGAAATTCGAATACAGGTGAACATTAAATTCGATTAGATTAGGTTAATATTAGTGTGTGTATAAGGCAACTGGCAGTAGACCCAAGGTACTAGATAAACAAGAACTGAGGGACACCCCAGTATCAGGGCCCCATCAGTGGAGTGCCCTGTGTATACCCACCCAGGTTATTGGGTTTCGTCTCCAGTACTACAATACACTAATGCCCTGGGTATCTTGCTCCGCCCATGTCGCTCTGAACTCTTGTAGTGTATAGTGTGTGGCATTGTAGTGGATCCTCTCCCCTACACTCTCAGTAGTAGAGCTCCGTTAGCAGGGCTCTACAGTACTCACGGCCTCCCAAAAAGGGGCCCCATTGATTTAGACGTGCACTTATAATTAAAGGTAGGCCCTATAGTAAATTTTAGACGAGTTACAGAATAAAATTATAATATAATTAAGAGCGACACCATTTCCAAGCTAATAGCCCTCGCTGGAAGTTTAGGGAGTCAGATTAAGAAACCGAAGCCGTTGGTGTGAACTCTGAATCTGAACTCGGCACAATCAGGGAGGGTATTAAGGTATTCATGGCAAGTATTAACACCTCGAACCTAATAGTTTTTCATTTATACTACAAAGATATGCATTAAGCAAGTGGCTGGCTGCTGCAGTATTATCTATTATGTGGACGATAACAAAAGAATAGAAGAAATATTCAAATGACTTTGCCTTGTGGTCACCATCACGACCACACACATTTTACGTACGGTATACAGGGGGGGGGGGGGTACTGTATATTGTACTGACTTTGACTGGCGTGGGATTTAAACTTTAACATTGACGAACTGTATCTTTGTTCTTGGGTCGGTAAAGAACTCATAATGCCTTCATTAGTCTTGCAAGAATTTCTGGAAAAGTCTACGTGCTAAAGGTTGTCAGTTTTCATAGAAAAACTTGCCCAATAGTAAAGGTCAACAACGTCATAAATGATATATCGTTGAAATTATTCAGTACACTATACAAGTACAGGTGTATATATATGGCTTGTGTGGCCAGTGTTGAGTAATGTGTCCTTTTAAACAAACAAAACACGATAACAATGATTTATGGAACCATTGTATGTGTTGTGTCCGTACATCATACCTGTCGAGCTTAATCCAGGCAAGTGTCCAGTGCTTTATGGTACGGGTTATGAGCTAATGGAGTTGTCAAGTGTACTGGATTATTGGGCATCACCATGTATCGTGTGTAAGGGGATACCAACGCAAGAACATTACAGCGCCCAACGTGGCTTCGTGCGGAGTTCATGCTGGTGTCTTGAGTGATAAATAGGAGAAAATGTCTGAGGGGCCGCTGGTTATATTAGCTAGTTACATGTAAGGAAGGATACGTGTACAGGTTCATCTACGAGTATATATAGTAAAGTGTGGTAGGTCCTCGCAGTGTCGGGTCCGTCCGTACGATCATCAAAGTTGTTTAGTAAATTGGTCATGGAAGGACGACGTGATAGGACATACCAGGGGGGGTGGGGCGAGGCTCAGAGGTGTGTATGGATGTAGTATATCCAAAACGCAGCAGTCTTGAGTTTTGGGTCATCACAGGCTACAGCATCGTGGTGGCTCAGTGTGCGACTTTCCTGATATTTAAGATTCGTCCAGTGTTCGTCGAAGGCCTCACGTTCTGTGGTGTATATATCTGTTATTTGAGAGGGTGAGGAGGCTTATATGCTCTCTTCCTGAGTTGCTTCTTTGGCCAGGTTATTAACACTCAAGCAACATTTCGCATGGGGGAAGAAATCCAGAAAACTTGGCATGGATGTTATCAGTTGCATCTAGACCGATAATGACACTGTGGGTGTGATGGGTGGCAGGAAAATACAGTAGTGGGAAGCAATGATACACCCGTCATACAGTGCGGCTTTCACCTTCATGGGAAGAGAACTCCCTGGGGATAGGTGGCTGTGCTCTCAGTGTGTTTGGAGGAAGCCCAGTCGTGGAGCCTGATCTGTTTGGCGAATTTTGGTGCTTAATAATCCATACTGCAATCCCAGTTATTCCCGGCGTGTCAACAGAACTATCAGATTTCAGAACTGCCGCAAGTAAATAAGGTGGGCTGGGTGAGGTGAAGTGAAGGGAGTCACTCACCAGCAGTGTGTAGTGGCCTTTACATCAGGCGCCGCGTGACGATCGCCCTGGCATCACTCACCAAAATAGACTGACTACTTCTCAACGTTAAGGTCCAGGCTGGGGAACTTCATTAAAAAACACAACGAATAAATACAGATTAAGATGTTTAAGTCCACCTAGTAATGTAATCGACCAGCTTCGAGTCATAAGCTAAATTGCTACGTAGCTGACCATCTCCCCGTTGAGGTTAATTCACTCGGGAGGTTAAGTTCTCAAACCAAGACGTCATTTGTGTCACTCTAATGGTGTAGTTTAGACAGCAACGTTTGTTTGTCTCTTCACTCAACCGTCCCAGTTATTGTTTGTTTTTGCCGTTGTTTACAGTTTGTTATCGCTGTACCGTGCACAATAATATATTTGTATCTTTATTTGTTTCGCTTAACGGTATACAATAGCCACCTGTTACCGTTACCGAAGACGATTTAGGAGAGGCAGCGGTGATGGTCGTTCCACTTGATGCGTCACCCCATCACCACAGTAATCCCACCCACTCAGTCCTCCACCCACCGAGTTGTGACATTCTCGGTCAGTTGTGTTATTTCCTGCCAGAATAGTTTTGTATGAGTCGAGCTGAAGAGATATTGAATATAGTCGATGATTGTGTTGACGATTATAACCCCACGGTGAGTGGTGACTCGCGGTAGCCATGGTGACTCGCGTTAGCCATGGTGAGTCACGGTTGCCATGGTGACTCGCGTTAGCCATGGTGAGTCACGGTTGCCATGGTGACTCGCGTTAGCCATGGTGAGTCACGGTTGCCATGGTGACTCACAGTTGCCATGGTGACACGGTAGTCATGGTGACTCACAGTTGCCATGGTGACACACGGTGACTGGTGACTCACGGTGACTGGTGACTCACGGTAGCCATGGTGACTCACGGTGACTGGTGACTCACGGTAGCAATGGTGGCTCACGGTGACTGGTGACTCACGGTAGCCATGGTGACTCACGGTGACTGTGACTCACGGTAGCCATGGTGGCTCACGGTGACTGGTGACTCACGGTAGCCATGGTGACTCACGGTGACAGTGGTGTCATACTGTAACACTAACGATGTCATCAGATAATAACTAAGTCTTGTAGTGTATAACTGTTAATAACACAAGTTCATGTTTAAAGCTGAAAATAACCTGTAGTGTTGGTCTTCCTCTGTCGTAGTCAGGTTGGTATTGTCACGTCCAACACTGCCACTACAATCCGATATTTGCACTGAGGTGAGACCCATGCACCGACGCCAACCCTCTATGAGAAACACTGCCACACCCACACACTGCACTTCATGGTGGACGGTACCAGCAGTGCACATACTGGTATATTTCACATCAAGCTCAGTCTCAATTTTCTATTCGTGCCTTTCTGGAGATGTACACACACACACACCTAGCTACTACTACAAACACTGTTGTAGATTCTGGTTAAGCATCTGTATAGCCTACCAGTTATCACCGAGTGGAGATTTTTCAGTTGATCCATAATTTATTTTTACATTGTTGCTTGGTGAGGCAGCTATTTACCCATTCTCTGTCATGTCTGTTAGATCAAGACAGATGAGCCAAGGTAGACCAGGTGTGTTGTGTGTGATTATATTACAGGGCGAGGTACGGCGTATTGCTACATAGTCGGGTCACTGAACACCTGGTACAGATAGATCTTTGTTGAGGTGTGGTAGTGGTGTGTGACACTCAGGCTCGCTTACAAGGATTCGCCACACAGTCTTGGCTACAACACTGTAGCCAACCAGGAATGTGAATCATCCACGTCTAGTTTTTTTTTTCATTTGGAAAGCTTGCATGACGGGTGAGCGAGGCCGAGCAAGAGCAGCAGGTGACATGAGATACACTGCCTCGCTTAGGTGTGTACGCAACTGTCACTCTTAACTGTGTATAACTTGAAGTCGTAACCTAACCCGGTCTAGCCTTGGTTACGTTACAGACTTTATATTGTAGCTAACAATTATACCTCAACACGTCGGCCATGTTCCTTCCACTTACAGTACAAGTGATCTACCTGGACCAAGCCTTACCCCTCCCCCCTCCTGACCAATATTTGCTTAGCGTAGACGCTGACACTGTGTAGATATTTGTACAGTGATTTAAAGATAACTGATGCCGCTAATCTTTATGTACACTAATCACACCGTAAACATACACCATAATGTGATGATTACCTCCTGACGTGCATACAAAGTTGTGTCATCTGTGTCAAGTATTACATGGATGGTTGAGTTTCCTTCCAATGTTGTAAATATTATCCCACGCCACTCAGCTGAAGGTAGACATAGAAATGACAGATATCCGTGGGTGTTTGTAACGAGTGGGTGTACGAGTACGTATGAATACTAATTCGAATAAACAGCAATGAATTTTTATGTGAATTTTATAAGTAGATATAATTTTAACTGCGGAGGTCTTTATTATGTTACGTAAATGTGTGTGTGTGTGATGGTGAAGGAAGTAAAGAAAAAAGTGAGGATTGGTGTGATAATTAAGACTGCCTGTGGCGTGACAGTCCAAGTTCCGCCAAACACACAACCAAGCCACGCCTTTATCCTCACAAAACCCATCATATTGTCCACTGGAACTTGATGGTGAATATTAGGTTTGCTGTTCCTAAGTCCACCTTTAATTATCCAGCACCATTCATTACACTGAAACATGTACAGTATATATATTTTTTTATTAAAATGAATGAACAATGTGTTTTTATCGGAGGGGTGGGAACCATTTTGTTGTATACGTTTTTTTCTCGTTACTATTCATTACTCTGATGCTATGGAGACCAAACGTTTAAATAATACAAGAATAACGCACATTAGAGATATATATTTAAGAGAAAAACTGGTTGTCTGGAGGTCTAGCGCATAGATTGCCAAAGCACTAAAACTCGGGCAGCTGGCAATTAATTTTATGAAAACGTAATGTGTAGATATATGGTACTATCATAAGATCTCAGACGGGTACAACAACCACCATATTCTCTCACTATGCTTCTGGTTGTGAGTTGTGACCCCATGAACTTTATGTGTTACATACGCGGTCTATTGTGAATTATTAAAACATTGTACATGATCGATGACCGACTTTCTGTTCTCACTATCCACATTTATGGCAGGGGAGAGTTGTTCACCTTTAGTTGTAACCTTGTTGTTGGCTCTATTAGTTACTCCAGTTTTCTTCTACCTTCACGACCTGATTGAAAATTACCCTTACGGTCGAGGGACCTTTTCTAGAGGGTCTGAACACCGCTAGTTACCCATGACATAGTTTAATCACTAGGGTTTTTATATAAAGACGTTAGTAATAAAACCTTTGATAGGCGAATGGGTTAAGTATAGAGTAAGGTAGTAATAGCCTACAATGGCGATGAAGATACGTGCTACAGGCGTGCCCCTAAGTGAATTAATCCTTTAAGACATCGTTATAAAAGGGTGGCTAGAGAGATGATTTTCTTGGAATAATTTTTTTTACCCTATTTATGCTACAAAACAGCTTCCTTGGGTAACTGTATTGGCTTTACAGATAAAACGAAGACTGTTAACACACAATAACATATATATACGGTTTAATCAACTTACCTGTTAATGTGATAGGAGCTCGTCCTGTTTACACAATGCTGCTTCTCTTCCCCTGCTGACTTCCTTATCACGTCTTTATTAAATGAAGTTCCTTGTCACCTTGGCTGCTTTATCTCAATATACACTTGCTGACAGTTTTCCCTGACATAATGCGCCTCGAATTTTCACACTTGCAGGGGATTGCGGGAAGGAAGTTTATGCTGGGCTCACATTGATAAAGACGAGCACTTGTTCATTGGTTCTTTTGCATTTCGTAGTTTTCCTTTTTATATTATTGTTTTTTAATGATACGGTACTGTTTTATTAATGGTGAAGATTTTAATGAGTTGTTAATGGTTGGTTAAGTCCTATGGATCAGTAGTTATGTGGTGTTAATGGTGATAAAATTATATTAAATTAATGGTATTTTTTTTTTTACAAGTAGACAACCAACGAATCTCTTGGTTAGGTTAGATTTGTTAGGTTAGTTTTGGTGCTTTTTGGTTGTTGAACAATGTATTTTTCCAATGTTAAAATCCATGGTTGTCAACTTATAAAAATATACCGAATTAATATTAATTAAAAATTTTTTTATGAGATATCAATGATAGTTAAACCATGATTGTGGTACTCATGGCAATTTAACTATAGTTATTTAGTGTTATGGTAATAAAACTATATTTATGTTGTAATTTATTAATGTTGAATATACCATCCCACTTGACTTGTTATGAAAGCAGGTGGTGATTGGGGCCCGGGTTCTCACAAGTTTCTAGGATTAATGTTGTTAGTGACTGAAGTTTTAAAAGAGCAATGTGGGACTCTACCTTAAACAGATCCATTTAGGTGCATCCTTATGTCTTCAGTTTCTAGGAACATTAATCGCATGAACCTTTTTAGAATTCAACTTTGGAATTAGAGGTGTAGAGCCTCACTGAGAGCACTGTATGCTAAGAGAATGCGTCCGTTGTCGTTCAGATGGTGTTACTAGTTAGTCTGACATAAATTTTATGATTGCAGTGAGTCGCCTACTGTATTTTAATTTTGAAGAAACTTAGCAAGAATGGTTGTGTTGCTACATTCTTGGATAGGAGTCAAATGACTATTTTAGTTGCTAGTGACCTTGTTAAGATTGACCAGCACAGTGAGATCAGTTTTTATTATTATACTTGCTAAAGAAGTGTTAATGGCGGGATTTGGATCACCTGAAGAATTGTCGCCCCAGAGTTTGGCAGGGTGATGAATCTTCAGGTGGGGTCAGGGCCCTCCATGGTTAGGTTAGGTTAGGTGTATATTATTCTTATATTTTTTTCTTTAAATATTTCACAATAAAGATGCATAACACAAAGGAATATATTTATGTTATCCCAATTATACAAATTATATTCAATGTGGGCTGGGGTGACGATTCTTCAGGTGGACATTTTGGGGTGACGATTCTTCAGGTGATCCTGGGATTTTATTGATACAATATTGATAATAACTTATTTGTGTTGTGTAGATAAGACGCAATCACGGTACGGTGCTGACTGTGAGTGTCGTGTTTTCCCTCAACATTAGTAACTGCAGTGATCTTACTTGTCATATAGTCTTCCCCCTTGACAATCCCTAGACTCGCTATGGTTTTGGGGTCAAAGGTTCATGGTCACACCTATGAAGAAGGCAAGATCACAGGGACGAAGGCTACATAAATCAATATGTTGTAGTGAGCGGCGAGCCTGTTGGGGGATCTGCCAGACATGAGGTCGCCACCCGGTGTCTTACTCGAATATGCCACGGGGCTGTTCATAGTGTCATGGTGGGGCGAGGGTGACTGTGTGAGGTGAAAATGATCATGGTGGCTATTAAGTGAGTTGAGGGTTGCGTGTAAGTATGAGGTGTGGTTAGGAATGATGATTTTAAAGGGGATGTGTGTGTGTGTGTGTGTGTGTGTGAGGGAGAGAGGTGAGATTAGGAAGAGGGCAGATACGGATTAGGTTTGGTTGGGAGAGTGAATTGTGTGAGTCTGTAAGGGGTTGTGAGTGTGTGGGTAGAGAGTGAGGCTATGGATGCGGATGCGTGAGTAAGGTAGGTGGATGTGGGAAGGGAGGGTGGTTATGGTGTCGGGAGGATGGGTGTGGATGCCGGTGTGTGTAGAGTGGGTAAGGATGGATGCTGGTAGGGAAGGTGAGGATGGATGCTGGTAGGGAGGGTGAGGATGGATGCTGGTAGGGAGGGTGAGGATGGATGCTGGTAGGGAGGGTGAGGATGGATGCTGGTAGGGAGGGTGAGGATGGATGCTGGTAGGGAGGGTGAGGATGGATGCTGGTAGGGAGGGAGGATGGATGCTGGTAGGGAGGGTGAGGATGGATGCTGGTAGGGAGGGTGAGGATGGATGCTGGTAGGGAGGGTGAGGATGGATGCTGGTAGGGAGGGTGAGGATGGATGCTGCTGGTAGGGAGGGTGAGGATGGTCATCTGCATACTTGAAATGTTTGCACTAGATATCATGTTTTAAATACAATTAGTAAAAAGAACTTTTATTATTTTATCGAATTTCCTTTTGAGTCACCCAAAGCTTTTTAAAGTACTGTACCGGTATTGAATAAATCGTGAATTTTGTGCAATGTGGTTTTATATACAGTACTGTAATCTGAATTTTAGAAGTTTATTTAACCTCGATTTTTTTATTTCATTGTGCTTGTCATTACTATCATTTAGTTTTATTTTGCCATATTAAAATATGATCATACTGTATATTGCAAACATTTCAATAATAAGCTGATAAAACCATTAAAAGCTGTATACAGTCTCTCCTCGACTTACGACGGGGTTCCGTCCTGACGACCAGGTCGTGAGTCGAAAAGGCGAAAATAATACCCGGTACATAGAAATTCTAAAATGGGTCTTTCTTTTTCTTCTCTGCACCACAAGAACTCTCACTTTTACTCTTGCCAGCCATTTTAAAGGGAATTACAAACAAAAATTTTGTCAGTACACAGCGCGATCACCAACGCCGGGACTCGAAAATACGTAATGTGAAAAATATTTTATACGACCATGGCCGTCGTATGTCCGGGTTGTCGTAGGTCGAGGAGAGACTGTACATATATTAAGTAACTTACAACTAATAGATGGCAAGGTTTCAACACAATCATAGGCTGAGTCACAGCTTGAAACAGTTGAAGAAATTGGTTCTAATCAACTTGACATTTTGACATTAAGTGCTCATTCATTTTATTTCTTAATAAGCTCATAGACACCATGAACACATTCATTGTTAAATACACTATCATATTGTGTAATGACTACATAAATTATAATACAGTACAGAAGTTATCAAAGGTATTACACATATTTTAGTAGTATCTTTTTTGTAAAAAACTAAACTAATAATTATTTTCAGGTGTCAAGAGTACAAGATGCAACTTGGATCCAAGTAAGGGTGATCTAAATGATCCCTGCGGGTCACTGTATGATGCTGTGTGCCACGGACAACACTGTGTTTGTCCTCCAGGCACACACGAAGACAAAAAATTGAGTCGCTGTTCTCCAGGTGAAGGTCCCAAAACATCTCCAGGGAGCACAAAGGCAGCAGCAGGTGGAGATTTAGACCTTCCTTTTGACTATAATCCCAACCAGCCAGCCCCAGCCCCTGCTCCAGCCCCAGCCCCTCAACCCAGACCTCAACCACCTCACCCAGGTAAACCACCAAGCTACAATCCCAGTCAACCGGGATACAATCCTAATCAACCAGGGGCCTACAACCCCAATCAACCAGGGGCCTACAACCCCAATCAACCAGGGGCCTACAACCCCAATCAACCAGGAGCCTACAACCCCAATCAACCAGGGGCCTACAACCCCAATCAACCACCACCACCACCCTACAACCCTAATCAACCTGGTCGTCATGGTCCAACAAAAGGAGGTGGAGGTATTAAGTCTTCAGGTTCTGTTTTATTTACATTACAGCTAAATATCATCTGTTATTCATCTGTCGACATTTTATATCCTTCAAGAACCTTATACCCATTTTCTGCCTAAGTTTGTAGTTATTTGCTCTCAGCGATAAGTTCTGTTGAAGGTGGAATTAGGATTATCTTCCAAGCAATGTTACAGGTGGTAATGACGTTGGAGAGAAGGCCGGTGGAGGCGTGGGTGGTGTCTTGGGACTTCTTCTCATAGGAGGGCTTATCTACTTCTGCTGCTGCCGAGGAGGAAAACACAAGTATGTTACTGTCATATAATTTTGAAGTTTTTATTTCTTCTAGATGTTGTAATGGCAGGCTAGAATAATTTTCACCACTTGTTTTTGAGTTCGTTACCAAATTGGACGCAACCTGGTCAGGGTTTGTATTTACAGCACTTCTGATCCCCGAGTTCTCTTGAAGTTATGCCTCAAAATATGTGATTGTAGACCGTTCAAGAAGTCTGAGAAATTGTAGCAGACTAAATATAGTTGACCTTTATAAAGAAGGTTATAGCATATGACAGATATTGTACTTGTGAGAATTGTGAACTCTTAGAACAATCTGCCAGAGAGTGTTGTGATGGCACCGAGTGTGAGCTCATTCAAGACCAGATACATTCACGAGCCAGTACTTGCCAACAGTGTATAACAGAGACGTAACTGAGTGCCGAAGTGGCTGATGAGCCAATCAGTAGTGAAGAGGGTAAAATTAAAGTAAAAAGTAAGAGTAAACTGGTGCAGCCCATCATAGATTATCACAAATCACTTTGTGTAATGTGTAATCCTCTTCATTTTCTTCTCATTCAGGATACACAATACTGTATTTAGCTACCAGCCGTGTGATGGCCTGGCAAAAGAAGTACAGTACTGTACTGTAATGGTTTAGGCTTCATCAGTCCATTATTTTGATTATTAGTTGCCATATTTCAAGTGTGCATGAATTGCATGAATATATTTAATTGAAAATTGCCAAAATTGGCACAATATTGACACCTTATGGTCCAGTGAGGTCATGTGGTACCAGTTTCTCCATGTGTTCCCTTTGTTTTGTTGTGAGGATGTGCATTGTGGCTCATAAAACCCAGTCTTTAATTAAGGACACAGCTTGTCAAAACCTACCGGTATCCTCAGTTAGGGAACCTTTGATAAATATTTATGTCCTTCAATATGAATGGCTTTGACATTGTTCCTTCAGATGACATATGAAACTGGTTCAGTCTTAAAAGCTTCCTGTATTCCCAGTAACGTTATTCATTGCTGAAACTTGGCCTCAATTATGAATTACAGTATTTATGATCTATAAATACAGGCTTTACAGGTAGTCCCTTATGTGCAGTCTCAATATGACAGAGCCACCTTTCCATTCTCTCTCGGCACAGTAATCCTAAAATGTAACTATCTTATCTCTCGGCATTTTTTTAACCCTATAACTTCCAAGCTACTTCCTGCATACTGACCATTTGTTCAATTTCCCCCTCCCATGATATATCTGTCGTTTCCATCGTGGGCTGTTTGTAAACCCTGTACAGTACATCATAAATGGTGGACTGATCCTGTTCTACAGTAGTGTGTTCTTCATTTAATCCTGTGTAATCAAAGTGTGGAGTTTTTCTCACACACTTAGAAAATTTCACATAATATCAGAAAGGTGATAATAACCGCACACTTATGCAATTTAAACAACATTTGTATTTATGAATAACTCAGAACAGTTATATCTTCCCTTATTCATCTGGATATTTGTGAACCAATTGTATGTTTTCAATCAGACAATGGGGATATATATGTTCTGTGGTTATACCAAGGTACAGTAACAGTATTGATGACTACTTACATTTTACAGGGATGTGATGCAGAGGTTCCAGGGGCTGCCATTTATGCGTGGAGGAGGTGCACAAGCACCGGGAGGAGCTGTACAAATGCAACAGAGTATGCCTGTGCAGCAAGACCCTAACTTTGGCTCACAACACACATACATCCCACCAGGTGGTGAGGTCCCACCACCAGGACAATATCCACCTCCCCAGCAGCCTTACCCACCCGGTTAGTAAGGAGACAACATTAAACTTTACCTTTTGATATTGTTAACCTGCTCTTAGGAGAGTAATGGTAAACCTGGGAAAAATAAATATAGCATTAATAAGGGTCATGGTTTTTCAAGGGCATGTGGTAAATTTTTGCTTTGTGGTAATTTTCAGTAATTTACTGTGCATGTGCTATCTGCTTTGCTAAGATTTTGTGGATTATTTGACATTTAGAGTAACAGTGAGTCACAATCATGTATGGAAGGATGTGGCTGTAGTATTTAAATTTACTGTACATGTACTTAGCATACCCACCATATTAGAACACAATTTGTTTTGAGAGAATGATAGACAAGGCTGTAATTGGTTATAATTGTGGTCACTTTGCACCATAGTGGGGAAGATGTACAAATAAGAGTGAAAAGACTTACCAATAGTGATGGTGGGAGCTGAAGCTGGTATTAGTTCATCTTCTACACAGATATGCATTCTATTCTATATTTAATTATTTATCATTCCACCACTTATCACCCATCCAGGTGGTTGATCAGCTCATTCTTACTTTATTATGACCATTATTGTCCAGTGTTAGTAAAGGAAGAGTACCCAGAGAAAACCTGTTGTGTTTGGTTGTAAGGGACACACCGAATAACGCCATTCTCACATCTGTGGCTAGGGCCGGGGATTGAACCCAGGACATAGAATGACAGATATGAATGTTACTGCAGTATAGTACCACCTGCCACTATACAAGTACTGTACGTATGTAAGTGGTTCATTTTCTACTAAGTCACATTACCTATTTACATAATTAGTTGTTATTCTACTAAGGTATATATTGTATGTGACTGGTGTATATTTTATCTGGGTGTGTATGTGATTAGGTCATGTTTTACCTGGGTACATGGACATAGGCAGGATTTGTTTACAAGGGAGCGAATTATCCTCCTCCAAAATAATGATGAAATGCACAAAGCAAGGGTGATATAGATGAACACATTACTTCCTCATATATACAAAGATGCTTATCATTGTGACTTCAGCCTTAAAATGTCTAATATTGGCTTAATTCTTATGTAACTAAATTACTATATCTGTTGTGTCATACAGATTTTATAGTCAATTTTGATTATGAATTATAGGCTTAATACTGAATTAATGTTATTTGTAGTTGATAACATAAAGCAGATGCCAACAATAAATTATTGAAAATTAATATACAGATACTTTATTAATAAAAAAAACTCCAAACTATTAGTATAATATATCACATTATTCTTAGCTTTGTTACACTCTGCTTTGCTTATTAATTGAGGATGTTGTTGCCTTCTTTATAAGCTTGGGGCATTTGTTGGAGGTAAATTACAACACCATTGTAATATATATATATACCGGTATATATTACAGATTTTTTTCTGTTACCTAATTTTCCACTATTAGCTTGAGCTCTTACTGCAGTAACTTCTTTCTTGTTCTGGGTTGATGTTGGGTAGGTGGGGCATATCCAGCATCGTATTATCAGCCACAGCCCGGGTATGCACCGTACCCACCTCCAGGTAGGTCTCAAGCTAGTGCTGTGATTGGTAAATGAAACAAACCCACATTAAAAGATGGAAGCACACATTTTAGCAATACAGTTTCATTTATCTCTGGCAATCTTTTCAGTTGTGAGAACAAGAGTAAGCTTATATTATTATCTTTTAATGTTGGTCTGAATCACATTTAACAGTAATGCTTTTGTGAATCTGTCCTTCCTACTAACAGCGCTCTGAGTTTGTTCTGGTGTTTCAGTTGTGTCAAGAATAATGTTAATTTGTAAGTGAACCTCCCACTGAGGATATAATTTACACATCTCTGATAAAGAAAATGTTTTTGTTATATTTTCTATAAATAGAAACAGGACATACATGGTGATGAATGATTACTGTGTATCAGACAATGAGATGAGTAACACCTTCACAAGTAATGCTTCATAATACAGTATAGTACATGGGTTGCTGTAACTCTTAAAAAAAATAGTCGCACAAGAGTGATTGAAAATTGACCTATGTATATTGACTCATGGGATAGCCTTGCCAGTTAAGAGAGTACTTAAAAGTCCTACATATAGCTAATGCAGTTCCCACTCTGTAAAAGTTTGATGGTGGTAGGAAGAGCATCCCTCTGTAAAACTTGCTTCAAGTTCACTCGTAGGCATTAAGGACACCATGCCATTAGGTAATCACGGCTAACCCACACAGTGTGGAAAATGGCCGTAAAACAGTGATGATAAAGTTATTTTTTTCCTGATAGCTAGAAACCTAGTCATGATTATTGTTAACTTATAAATTTGTTGGTTATGGATATGTGTGTGTGTGTGTGTGTTAAGATGCACACATAAGAGACAGATGATCATAAGCTTATATAACACTGAATGATAATATCCACTCACCTTATGTGGTTGTTATTCTCAAAAAACATCAAGAGTAGAAAATCTAATTAATATATGAAGAGAAAGTTCTGTCACGTCAAAGAAACAGTAACTGGTAAGTACAGGTAGCGTGTGCTTGTTAAATTAAATAACTAGAATTTCCATACTTAAAACACTGGTCATTAAAATTGAATTCCCGTTAACCTTTAAACTGTGAATAAAGGAAAACCTGGCTTCTACTGTGTGTAATAAAACACGAGACAAAAAAAAAGTATTTAAGAACATTCTTATAAGATTAAATATGCACAAGCAACAGCATGGAAAAAAATTATTATCTACCTTTGTTTACCCATGGTGGAGTACTGAAGGTATTGTGTGGAGGCCAGGTGACGGAGGGGCTGGGGGGCAGGTTGCCATTAATGATACAGACGTGACTTCCATGATGTCTGAAAGTAAACTAAGAGCCTGACTGAGGTGTGGGTGTAGCACGAGATCTGTGGGATAAAGGGTTCGCTTTATGAAGGCTAATCTTGGCGTGCACTTTTAAAGCAAAAACTAAAAGCCAAAATTTCAGGCAGAACTAACCTTAAAACAAACGACAGGTGTTCCTCCTCCTCCGACGCAGACTTACCCATCACAGCACAATCCACCTTACCCAACTCCGGGAACCAATGTACCTTACCCGGCCCAGGCAGCTCCATATGTGGCCACGGCTCCACTTCCAGGTAGCATTATTCCCCTGAGAAGTCTTCCTTATTTGGAGAGTTCAATTTAGTGTAGTGAGATGATTATGTATATGTATTATTGTTAGATGAGGCCATATATGAGGGTATAGTGTATTATTTTGGGATGAGGACCCCATTTCATCTTATTGGTCTATGTGAAAGAATTTTTTTTCTTGCTTTATTTGTGCATGTACCTTTCTTCCTACTAATATTTTAATTAATCTCCTTAAACACTGCTGAGTGAAAGTATCTACAGTTGTAACAAAGTGATACCTAAGCATGATAAGGAAAGTTCTCAAAAAAGTATTTGCCAGAATGGGTCCGATGACTTCCGAAATGCTAATGCAACTTGTCATGTCCCGGGAGGGTTGGTAGCGTGGCTCTGTGGCATACTGATCCTAGTACAGTACATTTGGTAATTGAAGATCATACGAATTATGCAGAAATAAATACACATTGCATTACTTATGTTAAATTATGTACCAAAGTAAATGCATGTCCACTATCTATCATCCGTGGTCTCATAATGTTTCACACACACAGTGTTGACAGATACTTTTTTGAGATACTGTACTGTACTGCACTTGGTGATCTGGGAAAACAGTGATTGGGAAAAATACTTTGAACAATAGTTAGTGTTACTGAAAACAAAGACAACAACTATGGTAAGAGAGGAGTCACTCTACAGTAAACCCTCAGTGACTTTTAAAATCCCTCAATGACTACTGTATATTGTACCTGTACTATACCTCAATGAATATAAATCCACCAGTTACAAAAAAGTATGTACGTACTGTATGTACTTTATCTTCACTCATACGTTGTTGCATATTAAATTTTAATATTATATATACAGGGTATATATTTTTTAAGATAGCATACATGTTTATGCATAGTATATTTTTAAACAATAACATTGTTGATGCTAAGTATAGAATTTAGGATTTTTTTGTGAAAAATATTAGCACATAATAATTGTTTTGCCTTGTTTTTTGTAGCTTTCTTTCCCATTATGGGATGTACAGTATAGAATTAACAGGTACTGTATCTGACTTTGCAAACATGATGAGATGAAATGATCAATTATTGTAATTCAGCTTGGTACACTATGTACATATTAAGTGACAAAAGCTCAGATGATTTTGACAATACTGTAGATAGTAAATACTGTGTATGGTTTTGTGCTCTTAACTTTATTATGCTGGTGGTGGGATTTACCCACCTGTAGTGTAGTGGCTGTTAGAATACAGTACAGTGTTTACTTCCTGTCCTAAAGGTCACTAATTAGTGCTCAGGACACCCCCGGTTGTGAATGTGTACCAGACTTTACAGTTACAGAAGTGGTTAAGTGCTGGCCACACTGCTTTCTTGTATGCCGAAGTCTTAACCCATTGTATACAAGGGTCTCTCTGTGCTGAATAAAATTATCTGGTGCTATTCAAATATACAGTTAACCCCCTCACTTTACGCGTCCCACATTCCCATGCTTTTCCACGCGATGCAGTTCTGCCGGAACTCCAGGATGTTTGCCATCTCGCGGTGCGCAGGCCTTACGCGGAGAGCGGCTGGCGAGCCACGCCATTTTTGGATCCAAACCTCCCGCCATCCGCCATGTTGTGTAAGCTGCGCGAACATGGTGCGCACAAGGTCGCCCAGTCATCAAAACATTAACAGTTCTTCACCCGCCACCCACCACAGCCGGCCCAAGTCAGTGATAGTGATAATTATGGTGAGGATATGGACTTATATGGACTTTGGGGAGTTTGACAAAGAGGCCCTGCAAGCCTCTGTGGTGGATAGTGATACAATTGATACAAGTGACACAGGTGAGGGCCAATAATCTGCCCTCTGCCTCGGAACCAACCGCCCATCCCCGTGTGCCCAGCCATTTTTTCTACTAATGTAAGTGTTAAAAACCTAATATTATTGATATTTCTCTTAATTATTAATTGTGTGTGCATACCATCATAAAGTTAAGATAATATTTTTACTACAACATAGTTGTGTGTCGTCAAAAAGTGGAGTTTGGGGATCGGCCCGACTCATTTCAATTAATCCCATAAATATAGTTGTTCACTTTACGGACCCTCCGGTTACATTAACCGCCGTAAAAGTGAGGGTTAACTGTACTACTAAAAGTTGCGACACCATAGTGCAGGCATTAATATTCAATGTGCTGTGTCAGCTTTCCCAGGTACAGGTATTTTATTCAGCCAAGAGAAACCCTAACCATTCAATATATTAAGCAAAATTTCAAGTTGCTATTCAAGAAATATATTAGTGCCTTTGTATGTACAGTAGTTAAAACAACTATCTGTGCAGGTGGGGGTCGATATTCTCCGAAATTTTACGTGTTACTAGTGACAGCCCTCAAATACCAAAATTTATCGTCCATGGTCTCATATTGTTTCCCACAAAATATGCAGATAGTTGTTTTAGCTACTGTACAATACTGTTGAAATAGCACTATTATTTATACTGTTACATTAGTGTTTTGGGTATGGATCTAATTAATTACAGGGGTATTATTAAAATTAATTTTTAATTTTTTTGTCATGGAGACAGTCATGTAAATCTGTTTAGGTATAGAATTACTGATTCAGTGTGTGATTGGCACAAAGATGATGAACACCATAACTAAAAGTGATTATACCAAAGAATAATTAATAGCTTAATACTGAAGCTTGAACCTCATTTTTATTAGATTTATACAGTAGTCAAGATTAGCAGTTATAGTTTCCTGATGCTGCTTAAAAAAAGTTTAATGATAATCTCTCTTAAACAGGTTTTCCAGTCGATGGCCAGCAACCCCCTCCCTACAGCCAGCAGTACCAGCCTAATGCTCCTCCACCTCTTTAGACGCCCCTTTATTGTTAGCTACGTAAACTCTTGGCCTTTATGATTGGTAACGAACTTTTGGCACCTTAAATTGTTAGCTGTTTGTACCTTGAGAGCCCTTATAATTTTACCTAATTTGACATTGAATTTGATCATCCATTTGTTGCTACCCGGTATGTGTGATTTTAATAACTGGTAGAATTTTATTATGTTTGAATTTTAGGTAAAAAATTCTAGATATCGTATGACCCTTCTAGGTCAGACGACAGTTCAGACTTATGTATAACACCCCCTCCCCCTCTTCTTTGAACCATCATTTGCTTCAAAAAATCCCTTCTAAAAACAAAATTAAGATTAACAGTATACATTTACATTACACTTACTTTTATTATAGCAGATGAATCTTCAGGTGAAGGACAATGGGGGCGGCTCACACATACGATACATACTGTAAATTCACGCTTAAATCTGGCTGATGTCATAAAAAGTACTCCTCTTCAGCCCAAATTCCTCACATAAGGTACCGCCTTACACGACCCCCTCCTAAGTCCGAGTTTGTCCAACTGGCAGGAGTTTCCAACATACAGACGTCTGACATAGAGAGGCCTTACTATATAGATTTATTCTTTAATTTTTGTATAAAATTTTTTTAGGAATTCAAATTTTTTTTTTTTAGATTTATACAACTGAATTTAAGTTTTAGTTTCAGTTTAATGAGCCACAGCAGCTGTAATACATAATTGAGTTATGTAAGCATTTTCAGTGGTTATTTAGTTTAATAAATAATTTTTTAGAATTTCCTTTTCATGAAAAGCATTAGTAATTTCATCCCCCAGTTTTGTTAATCTTATGTAGAAGAATACTCATATTTTAGCTCAGCTAGTGTAGTTACTTGATATTTCTGTTTTAGGTACGGTACCATATGTGTTATATGTAAAATATGAAGTGCAGCCTGCACTACGTTTGAAATATTTGTTTACACCTTTAATGGCTTATTTCTATTATGTACCTGTAAATATGAGGCACAACTCAGATGCATAAATATTTCAAAATCATAACACTATTAAATAGCTCATTAATGCGCTTGTTGCCTTTTATATAGCAGTTTAATAATAATTATGGAAAAGTTGCATAATAATATGGCTAGGGTTTTAAGTGATCACCTCAATGCATCTAGTAAGTAATATTTAATATAGCAATGATCTAATGCCTTGTTCTGAAAGCTTGTTCAAATTAACATGGATGTGATCAGGTTCTCAAAATGCATTGCGACCAGCAGTATCATTACCAACGTAACAGCTTCCTAATATTTGCTTGGCGTAATAAACTAGAAAGATATATACATCTACTACAAACATTATGAACATTTCTCAGCCATTTTTAAATTTGTATACGGTATCTACAGTCGACCCTTTCCTACTGTATTATCCTCCACACCCGGGTCTTGGCCCTCAGGTTGTACTGGTAGTGTGACTTGGTGCACTCTACTGTACTTATGTGAGGGAGTTATCTGCTTAAAATCTTCTAAGTATCCTGTACTGTATGACGTAATAATACTTCTGGACCTTGGGTCTATTGCTCTGCCTAAAACTAGTTCTGTCTTTTGAGAAGTAAATGAAGTTACTTTGCATATTAATCATCATGAATAAACTCTCATGCAGTTCTACAGTACTTATGTTGTTAGTTCTGTATTAAAAGTGACCATTACTACAGCTTGTAAACTATATACTCTACAGTACAAGTATAAACAATTATGAAGTTATAATAGGTGATATATATATATATATATATATATATATATATATATATATATATATATATATATATATATATATATATATATATATATATATATATATATATATATATATATATATATATATATATATACAGTACTGTCCATAAAGAACTAAGATTATAGTAGCCACACCTCTTTATTCCATCAGACTAATATAGTGCTGTAAATAATTCTGAGGTGCTGTGAGATGATTGTAGGAAAAAAAATGGTAGCATACTGCATGAAGATGTATTGGGGCATATACAGCATTTTGGAGGTTTCATTTAAATACAGTACTGTACTGCATTTGCTATCATTGAAGGAACTGGTCCTATAAGTTCTGTTTGAGAGATGAGCCCTGTGTTGAATTTTAAGTTTTACATCACTCACTAAATTAAGAACTTTGAGATTGTATAAGACAGGTGTAGATAATTATAACATTGTCAGTCTTCACATTGCAGTATTTATACAGATGTATATTTGTGCTTAGTGACTGAGTTTTATTCAGTCCACATTAATTTATCCATAATAAAATCACTAGTGAGAATGCTATGAATTAATTGTGCATTGTAATTGATGTCTAATTACCATATGTCTATGCCATATTTAACTGCACAGTTTAGCTACATGGGAAAACAAACAATATTATATTTTTTCAACTTTCAGAAATGCAACAACAGGCTACTGCTGTTTAATATATCACTTGATATATTTTCTCAATCATTCTTTTTATACCTCCTTTCACAATGTGTTTGTACACCCGAGAATTTAAATTGTCTCGTAGATTTTAAGAATTTGTTGTGATTGTAACGTGTGATTAAGTTGGATGTCAGAAACTTTGACATTAAAACAGTTCTATAATAGACTTGGTAGATTTTGTTTCTTGGTTTGCCATATGATGTATGTATGCCGTCCTTTTGAATGAATAAAGGATATTTACCATGTATTTTTTCTCACTGTAGAATAGTTAAAATGTCGTGAGGAAGATGAAAAAAGGGAAATGTCAACAACAAATATACTGTAAGACTGAGGAAAAGAAGAGAAATAAAGATAAAAGAGAGAGGCTGGTGAGATGTATTAATAGACACACTGATATATTCTGAAGTAACTCTATTTTCATTCAAAAAAATGCATGAACATACCAACAGTTATTGTCGAAAATACTGTATTTATTATCAACTTCACATCTATACAAAGAAGTTACTTGCCACAAAACTAAAAAGCTTCATATCTGATGCTGCTGCTAAATACAATAACAACTTGACTTATTGAGAAAAAATACTGTACTTCAATTACACATTTGTTAATAAGTGAGCAACCTACAGATGATAACATTCATACAGTTATTGCCTATGTAAAATATAATTACCAGTTTATATAAGAAGTTAGAAAAAATTTGGAAATGATTATCACATACAGTGAAGTAAATTATCAAAAATCTAAATAAATTATTAAACTTCATTAATCAAAGAAATTTATCAGTAATTGCCATACATTATTAAAGTAAATTCTTTCTGGCATCATAAATAACTAACATTGTTACTACCATGGAATTAATATACACTTTTAAGAGGAACCATTTATTATAGCTAATACTGTATATTATACAGTATTAGCTATAATAAATTTAAATTATCAATTACGAGTAATAAAATCCACGATAACTATGAGATTATGGTAAATTATTATAGCAGATAAAACATGTTACTAAGGTGAAATGTACGACATGTATACAAAGTGGCAGGAAGTTTGTAAATAGTAACGCCCTTCGTAATTTTTCACAGTACTGCACCTGTAGTAATTATTATCCAAACATACTTTTGCATCCTAGTTAAGGTGTACAACATATTCTCTTTGATTAAAACTTATCTTTATATCACAATATCCTGTTTATTTATAATTTAATCTTACATTAATCAAGATTTTTCTTCATTAGTTTGAAGAATGAAATTTGTTTATGGATACCGTATTACAACTTGTTACTGTACCTGACCATTACAGTGGAAACAATCACATCCTACTGAATATTACACCATCACATGACAACATTCTATTCTGACTTTTACATAATCATTCTACTTTCAGTTTTACATATTGAGCTGTGTGAAGAGCCCAGACGTAAGTTAGGAAACGACTGCCCAACAGAAGTCTTCAACGACGGATAATTTATGGACGCATAGAAATTTTTTCTATGGAGGGAATATGAATACTGTAATTGTGAGCTTCTATAGTATAAAAGGAATATGTTGAGCTTATAACTAAGATCCTTTAAGCCATTTACTACTTATAATGACAACACATTGGCAACACAACGGTGATCAGCTTAATTCAAGGCCTCAACACGAGTTACCAGATCAATTCTGTACATGGCAGTGACGAGCTCTGTACAACACAGGTGATTAAGTACCTTCAATTCTCGTGGCCATTGCACTGTACTTCACTATTGCAATAACCTTTGTCAACAGCACTACACTGACCTACACTACAGGGGTCCCCACTCTAATCCTACTTGTGTTCCTGAAAGTTATAACTTTAAATGAAAAAATATTTCCTGTTATTTTTTTTTAACCAGATAAAAGGTGCAAAATACAACTAACTAATGCTCATGAATGAGGGTGGTAAAAGTTGCTTGTAGCATGGCTTACCTTGTAACTACAGCCACATGAGAGGTACACTACTGTACACTGGTTCTAGTCATCCTTCCATCCATCAACTGACTTAAGAGCACTGGTCCTAATCTTCTCGGCATTATCTTGAATAGATCTTTCAATAGTGGGAGGCAAGCCTAGAGCAACACTAATGTGAACAGCTTTAAACCTCCAATTTGGTATCAAAGTAATTGTTTTCTGGTTTTCTTTGTGCAAACCACAGCACTGTCACTTGCTGGTCATTCACAGAAAAGATGCTGGGGTAGATTGACCAATAACCACAATACCTCAACCATGCTGAGTAGTTGTGTGGTAGCCGACGATAGCTATTAACAAAACAAAGCGACACTAAACAGACACCTTCCCTAGTTTATAAGTAACTTAATAACAAATCAACAATATACAGATGGATGGTAAATGGGGACTCCATTCTGAACTTTGTTAAAGCACAGAACATGCCTACAGCACTACATTTGATTATAGGAATGAACGTGGTCAAATTACTGAATTATTGTGTTTTGAGTCCAGCCAATGTGTTACCAAGAGATTAATACAGTATTGGTATATTATAATGCCTATGTTTTGGGAAATAAATACATAAATGTATTCTTGAGATGACAGATTTGATGGAAGTATCGGTCATGATTCAACAAGATATGTGTTGAGAATAACTGTTTTCAATAATAAGAACACATGCAGACAATACTATCTTAAAATTATCTCATGAGATTTACAAAGAAGCTATGGAGAAGAACATAGTCTATAAAAGCTATGTATTAGTTTACAGAATACAGGGTCAGAAATTTACAATTAATCTCATCACTGGGACATGATCACAACCTAGTGAACAGATCTTAACATGAATATTCTTCATGCTGAAAAACTAGAACACCAAATATAAAACGTTTAATGGGATAAACACACGAAAGTACCTCTTACATGATCAACATACAATAATATACAGGAACTCTCAGACCAAATATTTGAAATAGGACCTCCTTTATATATAATGTGAATTGTGGTAAAATAAAGTTGATATAAAGTAATGTCAACCAAAAATCTAGTTTACAAATTAATATATTATTGAGCATTTTAAATATAATTATAATTTGCGAAAGGTAATGAAGAGAAATTTGATAATGGGGCAACTGGCTCCGTGTAACGAGTCTACTGGAGTTTGGGGAGTAAGTTATGTGGTGATTGTAAGAGAATGATGACACATTAGAAGCTTATACATAGACTTGACTTAACAATGAAAATGTTAAGAGAATAATGAAGTAAGTTAGTGTACAGGTACAGTACCGTACTGTACTGTATTTGTTGAAATTAGTAATACTTGTATAGCAAAACTGACACATGTTCAAGATAGTATCCACTTTACAGAAGCCTCTTGGTCCAAAGCTTCTCAGTGGCATGTTGCATCACCAATGAATCCGTGTTCCTGAGTGACTGTGTATACTGAATTGATTGTGTTTACTACTGAGACAATGGCTTCAATCTGGATTAAGAAACTGCCTCTACTTCTTGAACCAAGCAATTGACCTACACCACCAATAAAAATATTCAAAGTCTAGACAAGTTAAAGGACTTGGCTAGTGAGTCAGGTAGCATGCAAAAGTGAGATGACATGTTTATTATTCATGTAACAGTGGGTGAGGTTCAATACCTTGTCTATGATTTAAACTTTGGAAAGTGTTTCTCTGTAAAAAGTGGGATTATAGAGGGAAGTAATATGTTCTTGAGATCTGGGTACTGAATTCAATACACAAGCTTTTTCGAGAACACAACCCGTCTAAATATAAGCTTACTGTATATCTTAATACCACAATAATATATAATCATGACAAAAAAGCAATTCAGTTATTGTACATTTTCACTCGAGATTAATTTACTCACAAAAAAGTGAACTGTATAAATAGCCTCAAGATAGATAAGTGTAACACAAGAAACTCAAAGCTACAAATGATAAGGACAACAGACAACCATACACACAAGCTATCTGCCTAAAAGTTTAGAAAGGATAAATTCTTCTTCAAGAATAAATAATGTACAACACAATAACAAATTATGAGATTTAAAGCATCAAATAATGGAAGATAATCTTTATTAAATATTTCACACATTATTGCACACATTGGTGTCAATAGCAAATTCATGAAAATTCATGTGGATAACATGACATCAATCCATCAAATTGTATAGAGGGAAGAAAATGTCTTCATAGGAAGTTTACATTAAAGTCCTCATCAAAAATATGGAATTGGATTAAAAGTTCTTCCACAAAGTAATGTTTAAAGTACTTTGTATACAACCAATCAACATAATACAGTGCCAGTGGAAAGGTTTAGTGAACATGTTACAAGCCTGTGTACTCCTATTTGTCAATATTTTACTTCATGACAGTCTCAAGTACTAAATCAATTCACTTGTACAGATCAGTAATTTGGGGATGGCTTTGTACAGTACCTTGTTTTTAAGATTTAATAAAAATCCATTGACCACAAACCAAGCTGTTCCCTTCCTTACACACTGTGATTTAACAAAGAGGGTATTTGAGCTTGGTACTTACTTTTATTTGGTGAAAATCAGTCACAATGAGGTTAGCAGCACAATAGAACCAGAATCTGATTATTCAACAATGCAATTGAATTCACATGCATAAATACGAGTGAAAGACGTTGCTAAGGCTTCATGGAAAGTTAGTTGTTATACTGATGGCAGTGTTTACATGAAAGATTCCAAAAGTTATCATCTACTGTATGTATCAACAGTAAGTTTACAAACTGGTTACATTATTATGTAACTCTTTAGCAAGTAAAATTCTGATAACTTTACAGCTTTCAAAATGGACCAGTACTCAGCACATTTATGAGCTCAAAGTTGGATGAAAAGCAAAATCTCAGTCCTAAGGCCCACAGCCACTCCAGATAATTACTTCCTCAATACTATCAAGCACATCCTGAGATCAAACATTTAAAGGCCCAAGACCTTCATTCTTAAACAACCAATGACAGCCAGCCTACAGGTACTTAGAGAGAGAGATAATCTCTCACCAACCATGGATTTATTAGCCGTGGAAAATGGCCTCAAACGATGATTATGACGACATTGTTTCACCAATCATAGTACTGTGTCCAGTTTTAAGTACCTGCAAGCTTCCACAACCACCATAGGAGATTTCTAGGCCAATGTGGCAGGAATGTTCACTAGCTCAGGTCTATCAGGTGGTTCACTCCAGCACGTTAATGTTCTTTATATGACAAAATATTATCACCTACCATGCCCAGGTCCTCAGCCTTCTTTAACCTCATTATATCAATTGCTCATATTCATCATTCATTCTTTGTCCAGACAGTCACCATTGTTCAAGTGTTTAAATGTTTACTGATCAAAAATGTTCCACAAAATATAGAAACACAATTTTTTTTTTAAATAAATTGAAGGAACTTAATTCACCTAGTGTTATAATTTCCTCTGTAAAATTAATATTTACTTAAATTTTTTTGATGAACAATACTTTCTATATTTTGATGACTTTACACTTTTCTTTGTCATAAATATCATTCATTATAATATAGTACCGGGGAACATATAAACATAAATAAAAGTAGGGAAATAATTCTGTCTAAAAAACAAAATAAAACCAAAAAATTAAAAACTAAACACAAAACAAACACCCAGCCCTTGCCACCCAAAGTTTTCTCAACAGGAACATTCTAAAACCTAACCTAACCCCCAAAGCTGGTGACGGATTACGGTCTTCATGTATAAAACAAGCAAATAAGAAAAATTACAATACAAATAGGATAAATCTTTTTCTACGTGTTCTAATAACCTAAATGCTTCTCAATTCATTTGGTTAAAAGTCCAAAACAAATATCTAATGGCATCCCACTTGCATAATTTTCATATATACAATCATAAATACTGTTCACCCTTACACATCATCACACACACAGTTCTCACAATTAAAAATAATGGGAAGTCATTCATAAACACATCCTCTTCAACTGACATCTTAGGAATACTGTATATACATGGTTTTGTGTTGATCTATGTCTCAATAATACTGTCCTATGGTTTGAGGTTGGTGTACAGTTTAGGGGCAGTGGGAGTTCAGTTTTATACCTACAATGAAACCTCTATTTAACGTAGTATATGATAGAGAGGAAAGTCTGTTACATTGAGGGTTCACTAGATGTGATACCCCCTCCCCCTCGAATGAATTATATGGAGAGAGAGTGAGTGAGTGCCCATTATATGGAGGTTTCACTATATAAGCAGACCAAGCCTTATCTAGGTGACCCCTGAAGCTTATTTAACCTTACAGTATTCAACACAGCACGATCATAATAGTCTTCCGATACAACTTACATAATCATATTCATTTATATCTCTAGAACTTCCTTTAACTTTATCATCCCATACGTCTAGTCTACAGTGTGCATAATAAGGTCTTCATGAATCTAAGTCTTCAAAATCCATGAGTGAAGATGATAAGTTTACAAACACATCACTAATATAAATTATCATCTTAACCAAAGTCTCCTGAGTAGACACTGGTTGAGAAATACTGTAGTCTTTGATTATGGAAATGTTCCTCTTGGCCAACAGAATCAAGTTTGGATTTGACTCTGAGGATTATTTCTCTCTGTGTTTGGTCCATGGTCTGATATTTTGCCACGTGTAGGTGTTTTAAGTACAGCACTGTTTTGCATGACACAGATGTGACAATGCTTAATTACTGTACATATTTGTGTACGATATCTGTCCCATGTATGAATCCTTATAATACATTCATAGTCTAATTATCCCGTTCTCAGTACTGGCACGCATTTGGAGATTTTTTTAAATTAGTGCAGATAGAACCCATTCAATACTACGCCTTCATTACTCAAGCACTTTAACTTCCCCAAATATAAATTTAGCTATCCATTCACAGCTGGGTGACTAGGGATGCTCTAGGACAAAAAAGGTGAGAGCTGTAGCCACTCATAAATCTACCTATGGCAAAAGAAAACGTAACATTTTTCCAAGAATTAAGTCACAAATGAAAAACTAAACAATGTACTCACCGCAGTTTAAGACGCTGAATACATGAGGTTGTCTCTGGAAGTTGGGGTGATGGCGTGTCATTACCATAAGCACTGGGAGGCCTAGCACGCCTAAGGAATCTGGGTACACTGCACTGGTTACCACACACAGGAAAGGTGTGCAGGTCTTTTAACATCCAGAACACATCCATGTGTCACTGGTGTTGACTACGTTAAGGCTGGGGGGGACATGGGTGTGTTGCCGATACAGTGATCCCTCGGTTAACGAGATTTCGGTGAACGATTTACCTTCCATAAGATTCTTAAATTCGGTTAACGAGCAATCCTTCGATTAACGAGTTTTTTACGAGCCGACCTCAACATGTTTTCGCTTGCATTTGGCGGTCCAGCTGTAGTATTAGTTCGCCAATACAGTAATCGGTTTTAGGGCTTAAATTCCTTACTATTTTAGTAAATATCAAGAAGTTTATACTATTCAATAATTTTAAAAGTTTAATATTAAATTTTTTAGTCATTTTAACAATTATTGAACTTAATTGAAGGTAAAGACGCTAGTTTCATGCGCGCCATCCAGCCTGGCAACACACCAAACAGGAGCCAGTCTCTCTCTCTTTTCAGTGGAGGGAACCTCTTGCTTGAGACTCTGTTCAACTAAATGCTTTTTTCTGTGTTTGCATGCAAATTATTGGTCATTTTGAAATTTAATTTACATATTGACAATATATAATGCAGTGCAGTGTTGATTTAAGGAAAATAATCTTGAATTAAACCAAGAGAACTAAAATTTTATGGGTGAAATGGCACCATGGGGAGACTTCTCTTCCACCCCAATGCCTTCTCTTCTTCCTTCTCCTCCACCCCCATTCTAATTCCCATCGTCATCATCCAGGAGCCTTCTACATACACACCTCAAAGTAAGTTTACTTTTCTACCTTTTTTGTTGAATTTAGGCAATTTTCGGTGAGCTGGAACCAATTACCCAAAAACCCATTGAAACAATGGTTTCGGTTAATGAGTTTTTCGGTTAACGAGCAACCTGCTGGAACGGATTGTGCTCGTTAACTGAGGGACCACTGTATTAGAGGAAGTACCGTAAGGCCGTGTTAATTAAACTTAGTTATACAATAAACTAACGTGTTTGCTCTATGCACAATGCTTAAAGGTGTGTTGAAAAATAAGCAAAGGTCTAGGTTAGGACGCAAATACAAAAGTTGTAAATGACTGTCACCTTTGGCCTGCCCTTTAAATTCTCCAACATTTCTTCTTAAACTTATCATGGGGAGACATATAACTAAAGGAATTTGAGGGCCTTAAGAAAACAGAGAGGATCATAGGGCATCCTTCTGCATACTATACTCAATACGAAATTCACACAAGACAACTAAAACACAGTACAACAAGAAATAAAACTATCATAAGTTAAGGTAATTGCAATACTTTGTAAATCATTTCTTAAAATTATTATCAATGTCAAATACTGTACAGTATACTTGGTACAGCTTACCAAACACCTGAATACCTTCTTAGGTAATAATATAAACATATGTCAATACTGTATCTCACCAAAATAGTGTTTACTTTTAAATATTTAAACAATCTTTCATAAGCTATTTTTTTACACAAACTTATTACCTGGATATATGAATAATACCTTTATGGAGAAGACATATGGCCATTACAGGACATTTATCTCCTGAAAATTTTCAATTTCATTTAATATTAAAGGTAACTCTTGACATACCATTATATTACAACTCCTGTATTAACTTGAAATAAGTATTATCATGCTATAGAGTCTACTTCACACAGACAGCATATGAGCTCTGATTATGAAACACTGTCTGGGTACTGAAGGACATTATATGATCAAATGACTCCCACTAAAGATGAAGAAGTTCCTTGAGACTCCACAGCAAAGTCTATGGACCCATAATTCAGGAAGTTAAATGGTGTTTAACACATTACACTGCAGTCATGTTTGCTTAAATCTACTGCTATTTGTTCAAGTGACGATCACTAAGTCAAACACACACACAAACATAGGTGCCTCCCATTGTTCATTCCTGTATGGTGGAGCAGAAAAGAACATTGTAGCTCACAGAGCAGGTACACTGCCACTTCCAATATTCGGAATGCAAAAACCTATTCTTAAACACCTACCGTACACAGTAAACTCCATTTACACGAACTGCAATAAATATTGGAGTTTACAATCATCAAGTGTCAACAAGCATCTGGCACTATAGGTGGACAAGTCTCCCTTCACTGTGCATAAGAAAACACCAAAGGGTCAAAATTGAACCAAATTTGTAAAAATTCAGATTACCTCTCGTGTGAGATTTTGTGATATTACATAACCATGTTTGATTTGTTGCTCCAACAACCAGACACACACACACACACTCTCACCACCTTAACTTCTCCCATCACGTGAACTGCCAAAATAAAAAAAAAAAAAATGACCAGCAACAAAGAAATAATTTTGTGTCCCCCACATGCCTGACTGTCATTCATAAATCTATTAGACAAAGTTCCGAGTCTTAATACCATAGAGCATAACTCTGTTCTTCACTCTCTCCAAAACTGGTTCTAATTAAATGTATTTTGATACACATATTCTTCAGTGGTTAATGCAAGAAAGGTTAATTACAATACACTATGCAAATGGTAATCTAGAGTCATACCCCCCAGACAGAAATACCTGCGATCTACTCGCAGACAAATTAGAAATTTCTGTCAGTGGGTCATACCCTCTTACCGGTATGTTCCTTTGACACTGTAAAATTAATATCAGCTCTTTAACATCATGGTCCTAACCCCTTCACTGCGGGGATGCCACTTATATTTGGCTAATGCCAGGCGATTTTATTCAGCTCAGAGGCAGCATACACAAGGGGTTAATGTCACCATTAGAAATATGCCTGCCATTAAAGTTGGCCAAGTCTCAAGCCATTACAAAACCCATTGGGCCGTAACAATGGATAAAAATGAAAGAAATATTGATTATTGAATCTGATGATTTCTTGTGATGTACCGAAGCTACACAAAATGCTTGGATATTTGTTCAGGTCACTGTATTAGCAACTAATGGACGGCCACCAGTTCTATATCCACTTGTGGTACAGCAGCGAGTATAACCAACATTTTCAACATCGCAATCCTTTAAAACACGGCCAGCTACAATACTCTACTAAGGACATCAAATGCAGTAAAGTAGTCAGGAAAGTGAACCTTCAAAAACCACCAATTCATTCCAAATGTTATCAAACTGGGAAGAGACTCTGGGGCCATTATATTATCTAATATTTATTAAATAATAAAGTAAAAACTAAGAGGAAAAGGAACATTAAATTTCATTGATATAACCTTGGAACTCTTAAAGCTAAAATTGTCAAAAGTGAACCTGATCTGAATTTCACTATGAATAATAATCTCCAACATAAGAGTTTATTCAGCAACACTTAAATTAAACAATGGAAACCAAACATTAACATACAACAAAGGCAGATGTACTTGATAATGATTGAAGCCATACCATAATAAGAATAAAAATTTGGGAGCATTAAAAAGACAAATATATTCAATAAAGACAAACTACTGGTGAAGGGTTTCTTTTCTTATATCATAAATGTCACGCACCTCCACATGACATTTCCGATTCAGTAACTCAGAACACAAGTAATAGCCACTAGATAAAACACAACCTTGTACCTGTCCATAATACTGTACTGTTACCTTGACACCCCCCTTCTCACCTGTGTAAATCTGATATGCAATAAATACTGGTTTTCTTTTCCTTTTGGCACAACACATTCTCCTAGTGGAAGATAACAGATCATGGTCAATAATTATATCCAATATTGCACAATACTTCCCTAAGATATATCTCAGACCATTTCTATTCGGGGAAAAAGAGCCAAGAGAATGTCCTTTAAGTAATCTATCTGTACTATTCAACTGAAGATAGTTCCAAATTTACCTAAATAAATTCTTACTTGGCAGTACAGTAGAGTATGGGTTTGTTAACCCTGATATCACAAAAGACTGCATACAGAACTATATTGTTTATAACCATATATAACATGACTCTTATATCAAATTTTGGAATAGACTGCCTTTGTAATTAGTCATTAGTTTATTGTCTTAATCCTCACATCCATTAATAAAAACAGTATGGAAGTTATACCACAAAGGAGGTATTTTCACATTAGTAATACTGACATTTGGATTTTACAAGGTACAATTTACCTTTTGTAAGAGGACGTGATATTCAAATTCATACCTTTTAATTAACACAGTAACTGTCACAAAAGAACAACATTAAAGGTATTGACACGTTATTAATATTTTCCTTTTTTCACAGCTACAGATTCTAACTACTGTATTGATTAATTATATATAATATAGACTTGTACCTTAGCACTATAAAAACTTCACTTTAAAATCTGATTAATCTGGTGACTATAGGGGATGACTTTACCTCAGTTCTGCACAGAGTAACATAATAATAATAAAGCTAAAACAAAACCTTAGAGCATTTTGGTGGAAAAACATGGTTCCTTCTTAATACCCTGGATAAATTTTGATCCTTTGGCAAGTCCTTGTGGTCCTTTGCGTATTGTGGGGTCCTGTCCACGAGCCAAGCCAGACGGTCCGCGCAGGAGAGTGCGTTTAGGACCCTGAGCCAAAGCTTTGCTGTGACCCGTTGCATTTTCTGGATTAGGGCCATGCCAGACTTGGTAATCTGACCTGCGGATGACGATGGCATCAATAAAATGTCCAGAGATGGAAAATACATAAAAAGGCTCCCAAGGGTAAAGAAAATACTGAAGCCATTATTAATATGTTGATGAATAGTTTTCGTTTCTTCTTATCCTATATTCTTAACAAAAAACAAACCAAGTCCTTTCGTATTTATAGTTTGGTAAAGTAAAGCATTGTCAAGGTTAATTTAGCATACAGTAATAACCATTCTGTAAACTCACAGCAGCAGGCACTCTGAAGGCCCTTTATGCAGCTTGGTGTTGGGACCGCTTGGATGTGTACGTTGCTCACTGCGAAAACCCAGGTCTTCCTCCGTGCTCGTCCCCCGTGAAACTCTGCAAAGACACAAAGCATTTTTTTTTTAAGGCGAGCATTTATAAAAATGAAGCCAAATAACAAAATGTTCAAAAGTGTACAGTACACATAAAACACCTATGTCATCCTGAGTACTCATCCCACAGCAGACACGTATGTGGACTGTGAAAAGTTTTGGTTAGTGAATTAACTGTTATCGAAGAAATTAATCCCAAAAGAATATAACAAGTTCAGGTGGTTAGGGACCAGCCACCCCTCAAAAAACTCCCATCTACCCTTGATATATCTCTGTCATACACAACATCAAGCAAGAAAATGAAACAGAGCTATGAAGCATGCATAATAAGCATTAAATTGGCCATGTAAAGAATAAATTGAGACTGTTATTTGCCTGTGTTGGGGATGGTGTAGATAAACAGTCGAGGGTGGCAAGTTAAAGTCTACCAATCTTTGCTGGTACTTCACCACTCTTATTATGCTTTATCACATCAAGCTTGACAGTTAGACAAGAATTATGCATCCTCTTAGGGACAGCACGAGAGGAACTATCACTGGAGCGTTTAGGCATGATTGCGTAACTCAAGAAGTTGAAGAAAATGGGTAAGAGTAAACAAGTGCAAAGAGCCCTCTCATGGCAAGAATTCTCACTACACCAACGCCCGCCAAATTCAAAACAGCTCTGCTGCTCTGCCCCCAGCCACCGGATCAATGGATTATCAACAAAACGTGCGGGCTATTTCCCCAATATGTAATCATCGGTTATGGGAAGTGACGCTTTAAGGGGACGTAGTCGATTTTCCAGGTATACCTGTACAAAAATGAAGCCAAATAACAAAGAAGTGTTTGCAAGTGTACATATAAAACACCTATGTCTTTCTCAGTACTCAACTACTCACCCCATATAAAACACCTATGTCTTTCTCAGTACTCAACTACTCACCCCATATAAAACACCTATGTCTTTCTCAGTACTCAACTACTCACCCCATATAAAACACCTATGTCTTTCTCAGTACTCAACTACTCACCCCATATAAAACACCTATGTCTTTCTCAGTACTCAACTACTCACCCCATATAAAACACCTGTCTTTCTCAGTACTCAACTACTCACCCCATATAAAACTCTGAAAATAAGTGTGGTAAGGTCTTTTTTTTTTAAGTGTACAGGTCACTACTTCTAATATCAATTCACATTTCCCCTCTAATCCTAAACCATCACAACCAGAAACAGTTTTTAATAAAGGATGTGAAACAAAGGTCCAGATATCATGTGCAAGTTTCCTTACGTTTGAGCAGCTGTCCAGGCAGTGTTAATTCTTGTTCTTGGTAATGATGGTCTTGTGGGCTTTACACCATCTCTTCTAGACAGCGGAGGAGATCCAATCAGACTCAGAGTAACTGGTTTACTTTCAGAACACCTGTTGAATATATAACTACTGTATACTGTATATAAAAAGCTGTACAGCCTAATTTTACCTAAATAATTATGTCACACAGTTACACTTAACTTTAGCATAGTCCTAAAATGCTACTCAAGTATATCTACAAGTGCTACATATTGTACACAACTTTTGCATTAGACATTATGGGTTGCAAATACAGCTGGAAAGATCATGTTTGGGAGTTACATGCCCTAGGCTGGCGACTTCCCAAATTTATTTGTCCTGAATTTTTTCAACGTGGGGTTTGAGGGTGTTTGGTCATGCCATTTTGGTAATAAAAACTATTATATTATTATTCATATACTATATATGTTATTAATGAACATATAAAATCAAATATACAATATGAGGCACAACACATGACTAAAGTGACCAAACTATGGTCTCAGAAATCCATTTTTTATGGTCCCAGAATTGTCTATCCTTGCTCTGCCATCTCCGTTTGTGCTGGTATAGCAAGGTCGTCCCTAGCAGAAGTGGCTATCCCATTGTATTAGTAAAGGTGATGAGCCATGTGGTCAGCTATGAAATGTGGAAACTCTCCTCAGGGGACAGGCAAAACAGGTCAGGTCTGTGGGAGCCGCTGAGCCAAATAGTTAAAATGAGTGTTAGTGAGTTAGTGATGTGCAGCCAATAGTGTCAGACCACTCCCATAAAAGACAAGGAACAGGGATGAGTGGCTGAGAGAAGCAGCAAAGCAAAAAAGTTATAAGGTTTCAAATTGTTCCTTCCAAAATTGCAAGACTGGTGTTCTTACCTTGTCTCAAGACTAGGGTCTTGACAATATTCCCAGGCCAAGACTGGCAAGGGAATAACACAATAAAATCATAATGCTGGTCTTTTCTAACACTCAAAATACCTTGACATCTTTGGTGTAGAAGCTGCAAGTGTCTCTTGTGTTTTACGGTCCGATTCAGCCATATTATTGAGAACCTGTCGAGCTCTTGCCTCATCATAAAAAACTGACTGCAGGGCCATGGTGACCACTGTCGGAGTTATTGCCGGATAATCAACCGTCAGCTCATTACGCACTGAAATAAACATTACAATTATTTAAGCAACAAATAAAAACTGATCATTATCTTAGTCAGCCTAAAAATAATGATACAATACAGTACATAAACAACACTTATAAATTAATGAAAAAACTTCTTCAATGACTTTCAAAGCTTGACTAATAAAGTAATGAAGTTAAAACTACAAGAAACTGTGCTAACTACACTATCAGAGCACCATAAACACCAAAGGCAGATAAGACACTACAGGGCGTATGCTGTATTTCCTGAGGTATATGTGGTTTTATCATCTAAATCTTATTCTCTTGGGTTTGGATTTTGGGGGGTTTAACAAAGCTGCAGGACCAATAAGAAGTATATTATGAATATTTGTTGGCTGTGTGCATAGCAAGAATTTGTGGCAGTGCATAATACAACCCAGTGTGGGGGAGGGGGGTAGGTATCTGTCGACTCATTTTTTTTCAACCTTGTTTATGATGCTATGCTTGACTCTCTCTCTCTCCCTACACCCTTTTGATTTCTGTCCCAAAGCATCTTTCTGTCTGATTGTTTAATACTGTACTGTACTAAGAATGTCAAAACTCTGTCTCTTATTCCTTCACATTGACATACAGTACTGCCGAGTTTTTTTTTGTTTGTGTGCGTGTGTCTGTCTTTGTATGTGAGACAACCCCCTGCTTATCTCTCTCCCCCCTTCCCTCTACACACGTACGTGCGTGTGTGTGTGTGTGTGTGGGTGTGTGTGTGGGTGTGTGTGGGTGTGTGTGTGTGTGTGTGTGTGTGTGTGTGGGTGTGTGTGTGTGTGTGTGTCAGGTGAAATAATTGCTCTGGGTATCCTGAAAAGATCTGTGTCTCACATCACAAACATGTGACAATCATAACTGGCAACCCAATGGACTAAACCAATTATTTATTCTACACTATAATGCTCTAGTCAAGACTTTTTTAGCCTGAAACAATATTACAAAAACTCAAAATATCTCAAAAATAATATCCATTTTCTCCATAAAAGTGCATAGACAGACTAGATAGGGTCTTAATTTACCCAGATTTCCAATTAAATGAGCTACGGTTTAACCAGAATTATTGTATACTAGTCGGGTATACTAGTTACTAAACTGAACTTAATACTTCTCACTGCTTACCACTAACACATACCCACCGGTAACATAGCCAGCAGCTACAGTGCAGCACCACAACACCAACGTACCTTTCTTCTTATGTTTCTCGCTCAGATTCTTCGGTCGAGGTGGTCCAGGAGAAGGTTTCGGGGCGGCTTTGTTCTCCTTACCATCGGGACGATCTTTGAGTTTGGGCGGCACTAGTATCGTGTCTTTCTTCTCGTGACCCATGAGGATCATCTTCTCGGAGGCATCCTTGACGTTGTAGTTACACTGGGTGAGCACGTCCAGTATGACAGTAGGGTCCACCTTTGGGAATATTCCCTTCAAATATCTGCCAAAATATTACAACTCCTGTATAAATATTGATTTTTTTGTATTATACATCAAAACTACAGATATCAACTGCAGGTATCATACAAAATACCTAAAATATCATACAAAGTTTACAAAATAAACTTTAAACTTTATTACTGTACTCATACTTATGGTTATGTCTCATTTATATCTTGGTACTTTATATTTTTACTATTAAACAAAAAAGAAATTAAATGATCATCAGTTATAACCATTACAAAGATAAATGACTTTAAGAGAGCAACACAATCAAGTTACTCTCATATCATAATAAAAACAACAACAAACATATAAACACCACAGCAGCATAACATTATGGAACTTAACAATCAATTCATTCAATGTTTTTAAAGCATCACTTCACACAAATTATATCATGCATAGTTCGGGATTTATATTACTGGTACTGGTATATTAATGTAATCTTACGTGTACAGTCAGTCCCCGACTTAGGACGGGGTTAGGGACCGATATCCAGGTCGTAAGTCAAAAATGCGAAAATAATACATAGAAAATCTAAAATGGGTGTCTCTTTTTCTTCTAAGCACCACAGAACTCTCACTTTTACGCTTGCCAGCCAATTTAAAGGGAATTACAAACGAAAATTTTGTCAGTACACAGCGCAATCACTAGCGTCGGGACTCGAAAATACGTAATTTGACCAAATTTTGGTACGACTGCGGCGGTCGTAAGTCGAGTGGGTCGTAAATCGAGGAGTACCTACCCTGGATATAAATATATACAATACAAGTAATATATTGATAATTAATGGAAGACTTTTAGATTATTTTGCCATCAGTCCTTTTTCTGGTTCATGCATATGGCCCCAAAACGAAAGGATTAACAAACACTACAGCTTCTCCCTCCCAAATTGCAAGGTTTTTCTTTCTACCAAACATCCAAAAGTTCTCTCTGGATACTGTGGCTTCCTCTTGTGAAAACACTGGACCCATGAATGAAAAACTTGTCTACAACACTGGGAAACATATGTAATGAGACATATTGCCAAACTCTCCTACTCCCATTCCCACTTCAAATATTTCCTGCCTAACCTCTCGTAATCACACACGGCTGCTACTCCTACAAAGACAGGCTACATATTTGAAGCCCTGAATCTAAATCGATATATAGAACTCTGGAAAGTTGCAGGCAGTGTCCTGTACATATCTAAAAGATTGGTCATAGTTTATTGTCAAATTTTCAACATATTTCAGCTTGGATATTTGGATCAAACTGGCTTTTGAGGCCAGATAAAAGATAAAGTTAGGATCTAAACTGATGCCTGGGAAAACAAAAACTACTTACAATAAAACACTTCTTATACCACCTATTGCATATTGTACATAAAACATCTGCTGAAGGATACAAAACTCTTAGTCAATACACAGTACATAAAAAAAAAAAAAAAATCTAAAATATAATATATAGATTGGACAACATTCCAACAGTAACAGAAGGAAAAAAAAACATTCCACTAAATACCTAATAACTGCAGCAGCTACAGGTAACTCACTACGAGGGTTGACATCTCATACATGAAAGCTACAGAACATAAGCACCATGCTTCATAGCACCATGGGACTTAGCATCCCCTGTAAATGCAAAAATCTGTAATTAATCATAAAGAAATATGACTATTGAGTGCAAAATTGATCTCCTCTACAAACTAACACACATTATATACTTTAAAATTGTAACGAGTTGGGGAAGAGAACAAAATAAAAACCAAATACTTATGACAACATTCAAATGCAATATCTTAACTATTATAAAAATTTAGCATAACACTTTAATATCCTCTCTGATCACAAACCGATACTCTTACCTTAGTTTGATCTTGGGAGAGTGTGGAGAGGGCCGGGGCGAGTGACGATAATCCATCCGAGGTGATCCTATTAGAGAACGGGTAAAGTCGGAGGTAGAGCGAGCAGTGGGTCGAGGCGAACCTTCCAAAAACGCGTGGGGAGACGAGGCACGAGATGACAGTAGCGGTGAATCTCGTCCCAGATATGGAGAACCTATTGACCGCTCCAGAGAACCTTGCCTCAGTCTGGGAGACCCTACAGATTTATCAATAGATCCACGACCCAAGTGAGGTGAGCCAACGGCCTTCTCCAGAGACCCATGTTGACCAATCATAGGTGATCGCCTTGCCTTTTCGTCGAGGTGAATCCCTCTAACTCGTTCGTACACCGAACGGTATGGCACACGATCGATCTTTGGCGAAGTAACTACTACCTGATCAGTATCTGTGGTAGTAACAGCAATGCCATTACTTGTAGCAATGGTAGTCATGGGTGAACTAGTGGAAATTATCTGAGTAATACTTTTATCTTGGGACGTGGCAGTGGTAGTAGACGTTGTTATCCCAGAAGTTGATGTGGTTGAGGTGACCGCTGATGATGATGTCTTGGTACTCTGCAAGGCCATGAGTGCAGTAGCGGTAGGAATAAAGTGACGCATGGGAGGAGGTGTAAAGGTACCGTAAGGCCCGGGAGTGGCAAGTGGGTGTTTTTGTACCTGCAGTGCGCTGATGACTACAGCCTCCCTGTTGTGGTACCTGACGACAGGGTTAGTAAAAGTTATGGGGTTAGTGACACACATCATGCAAGTCCAATGCAAACCATCAATTGGCACTTTCAAATGTTTTAGACAAGTGCTTTTTTTCACTCTTTTTGATCTCATGTTATGATGTATTAGTGGAACAGGTAGCAAACAGAGCTTAGAGAAAGCTAAATGTGATCAAAGGGTAAATGTTAGTAGTTTCAATATTTTTAGTTTTAACGAAGCTAAATAAAAAATTAAATACTGCACCTGCACTGTGCTTACTTTTTCATGAGGTCCTTGATATGGGATTCTGGAACAGTGGGGAACATAGCAGAGATCTTGGCAGCTGCTAACTGTGAGTGTTCAACAGCTTCCAGCAGTCCTGCCTCCTGATGATCATATGAGCAGATAAGTACAAGATTGTCATATCTTACCAATACTGTATAATAATAATAATAAAAAAGAGGACAACTCAGTGTAAACATATCATGCTCCAGTAATGTACACTCCCCAACAAAAGTCCTTTCACCTCACCTGCCTCTTCATGACCCAAGAGACCTTAGTGGGCATCTTGACTGTATTAAAATATTAAAAGCAAGTGTACCATTTTTTCTTTATCCTATATAAAACTATGTAGTACTTTAAACAAAGTAACAAACAACTCTATAGCTCTAGGGAGGGAAGAATTCCTGCACACACATATTTAAAGCAGCAATGGCCTTCAATCCCAACAATTTCAGAATAACTAATGAGCTGACTTCTCGGGCACAGCTCAACACAAACTACTAATGCCAAAGACCCAAGCCACTTTGTCGTCCACATCCATACTTTGGTAATTATTGGACATGGCCTTATAACTTCAGAAATATCCATCGATCAATTTTAAATATCGGGCAATCTAGTCAGGCTATTTTCACAAGACAGGTGGAACTGTGGGAAAAGGTGAAAATAACACTTTTCTGTATATAATAATAAATCTGCTCATTTACTAACATTATTATTTGTGTAATTTTGAACTTAATATCTTCCTCTTAACCATGTCTCTAGTCAACGACAAAACACCATCAAATGAAACCAAATTACTTAAAATGTATAAATACTTGAGAATTTTAAGGCTAATTTAATTTATAAACTTCTAATGCATATTTTCTTGAAACTTAAATTTTGTGCTTTTGTTACTGCCACACAAAACACTTCAAGAAAAGAAAATGTAAGACACCACTGCAGAATGTACAAACAAAACTGATAAACTGTTACCTGGTGGACTGAGGGAATACCATGTCCTGTGCCAGCATCAGTAGTTGACGTTCCTCCGTATTTGCTACCTGACCCACCCTGGAGAGGAGCATTGGTCACATTCTGAAACATGCATAAGATACCCCACATCACACTCTTGTACTGTAGGAATCTAGATAAACAGATAAAACTTTACAATCACTAGGGAGGAATTACTGAATCTGGAACATGTAACTAAATGTGCTGATACTGTACTTCTGAAAAGGGGTATTTGAAACTGATTCTTACCAAGGAACTGGAGGCCAACAATCAAATGGAATAGCTACCCTGAACCTCACCTGATTTCATTCACATTGTTGCTTTCAAGAATAATTTGTTTAGTTTTGTATTATTATAACTTATGATTTCTACTTCATTTAAAAAAAAAAAAAAAAAAAAAATCTCTGAGCTGGTCACTTATGTCTGTGATCTGGGTGTAAGCTATGTCTATGGATTTCAAGGTATGAGTTAACATTGTAGGTGGAATAAACTTAACAAGACGACACACACTGTAAACAGAACTTATCTTTCAGCCAGACACACCAGAGAACACACACACACAATGACACAGTATTCAAATTTATAAAGAGGCATGACAGATCGAAAATGCTGATCATCAATCTCAAAAGATATTCATGACATAAAAAAAATATTTACTGAGTCCAATTCAATCTAGTCTGTTTAGCAGAAATAGATTTCATATTGGAGGAGTTCAAATCAAACTGGGGAAAGAGTATACAATATTAAAGTGTAATTTTAAGCAAGAGGTAACAGGGTGTGAAACAAGGAATCACAAGAGGATGCTGGTTGGCTACAAGTTCTGGGGAGGTTTAAAAAGGTGAAACTGACATCTTACCCTGAATTAGATCCCAACTCTCAAATGGCCTCATGTAAACCCATTTTTCACTAAACCTGCACTGGGAAGTTGACTAAATAGAGTACAGCTACTCCTCGACTTACGGCCACCCGGACATACAACCACCTCAGTCGTACCAAAATTTTGTCAAATTACGTATTTTAGAGTCCCGACGTTAGTGATTGCGCTGTGTACTGACAAAATTTTCGTTTGTATTTCACTTTAAAATAGGCTGGCAAGCTTAAAAGTGAGTTTTGTGGTGCTGAGAAGAAAAAGAGACACCCATTTTAGATTTTCTAAGTAATTATTTAAGCATTTTCGACTTACGACCTGGATTTGGGTCCCTAACCCCGTCATAAGTCGAGGAGCAGCTGTATATAAATTACATGCAAGTTATGTCCTCCTGTAGACCCACACTATCTGTAGCTCATCATGTTCACTGTTCTGAATTATCCAATGAAACAATACTAACTATCCTGTCATAAATTATGTAATATGAAGAGAATTTGTACCTTCTACAACTATTAAAGTACAACCTAAGGAAGGCATTTCAGTAGAGTTTCAACTAATTACAGAAACACACAAAAAAATACTACCTGTACTACGTACTATAAATCAAACTATTTTAAAACTTATAAAGTAAAACCATAAAGTGATGGAAGCTTTATGGAGTCAAAACTTTATGTATCAGTAAACCTCTCTCGGGTAACCTGGAATAAAATTCTTGAGTTTCATTCAAATAAATAAATTGTAATGCACGAACGAATGCTTATGAATACCGGGTACTGTACTACCTTAGTGCAGCAACAGCCAAAGTCATATGGCGCTGAAGTTAATTAATGGCATAAAAGGTTAAATTCAAATAAAAATGATGAAAAATTAAACAAAACCAGAAAGGAAGATGACTTAAAAGGAAACTACAAGAATAAAGAAACTTATAAAAAAACATGGGAGAGAAATTTGTAACATTCAGTACTGTACAAAGTTTATCCTCTGAAGAAGGAGCTCTTAAATTAACAACAACTGCTAACTGTACATTACCTGCACTCCAGACTAATGTTACATGTCCACTGTCTTAATAAACATATTGAACCAATTCCAAACTTTCCTAGTGATGTGCTCAACATATACCCAGAAAAATTAAGGGAGATACACTTATCCTTTCTCATTGTGTGTGTAATGTGTAGCTTCAGGCCCAAGTGGCTGACAAAGTATAAGGTTACATATTAACACTTTGTACAGTACCTAGCTAGCTATTCATCCTGTAACATTAACATTACCACATACAAAAGTGATATAAAAAATCACAATTCATAAATTTTAGTCATACAGAAGTATACTTATACACGACTGTTTGCCCTCATTAACTATCAGTAGTACCTGAAGTGGATACACAGGACCATACAGTGCATATGGAGGCATGTACGCCAAGTTATAACCTCCATACGGGGGGTAGTAGGAGGAGAACCGACCCCCTAAAAAGGGGCTCATCCAGGGAGGCTACATTGAGGGATGAAGAGGAAGCTTTTGTTAGTACATTTATACACACTAGAATAAGGCAGAGTATATTTCGTAAGCTTACACATGAGGGAACAAGGAGCAGTATTGTTAGTAAATTATATATACTAAGGCACAATATATTAGCTGAGCTTCTACATATGGTACATACAGGTACTGTACTGTAATAATGAACCATACTCAAGAAGCACCACAGAAAAAAAAAAGCAGAAGCATTTGGCGAGGTGTTTTGTTGTGATGGAATAGTTTATGTAAATATATCACACAAACTGTACAACTATTACCTTATGTGTCAGCATGACACCCAAGGTCTAGCAAATATTGACGTACAATAATTATAATTATTATTTGTTGAAACCCGATTAACCTGAAAAGTACAATAAACAAAATTTCAACAATTCTGTGCTTTGAGAAGTATGATAGACAAGAATAATCTCAAAACTAAAAAATTCATGTGAAATAATGTAGTCAAATAAGTTTAAACCTAAGAAGGTGACCCCTGCACATTTAGAGTAAACTTACCTGTACTGTACATACAATACTGGGATGACTGGACTTGGTCTATTAATGCATTATACTGTACAGTATAATTAGAAATACCGATAAAGCTACACATTGCCAAATCATGGCTTCATTCCTAAATAAGACTGGTATACAAACAGTGAGACAAAAATAGGGCAGGCGTCCACAGTAAAAGGGGTGTCTGGGGTTATTGTATGCACCTCCTGCCACAGCCCAAGACTCCACTTTGGTAACCTGTTTTGTTTTGTTTACTCTTCATTTGTGGTTTATGATGTAACCCAAGTACAGTACATGTATTATAATCAAACAAGTGACTGTTTCTTTACTAACTGCAACACCAGAAACTGAAAAAATTCTGAGCAAAACAGTGGAAGTAACAGATCCAAGCTCAGTATACAGTATTGACTCCTAGATGGTGATGATGCCACAGTGATCAGTTCTAGAGGCATATGTAACAGCTCTTTTTACACCATAAATACATATCCAATATAATATATAATTAACAAATTATCAAAATTGTCGTAAATATTTGTATAAAATATAAGATACAAGCTTGACACTGAAGCACAAGAAAGATGTCTCGACCCTGTACTGTACTGTACTTCAAAACCTTTTTCCTCCATTGAGTCATTCATCAATTAGGATAGAATAAGCAAGAGCCCCAGAAAAGCATGTCGTTGAGCTGACGAGAAATGAGCTTCGAGTTCACCGAGCAAAAGGTCAACGAAAGGATTTGTGATGGAACAATGGAAATACGCTCCTTATCTTTGGGGGAAACTTCTGGCATATTAGAGCTATTAATTTACCCTCTGTTTGTGGTGATAGTTTTGAGGCATCAAGTGATTCAGCTAAGATAATGGCTTCTGTGTACCAAATGTCACCAACTTTACATCATCACCTTTCTATCGATCTAGCTAATGGTGGAGGATGATAAATACCAACCTGGTAATGAGGAAGTGACTGGCTCTCCTGCTGTGCCCTCATCTCTGCTGGCAGTGTGTCTGGGTGAGGCGGAGGTGGGGGAGCGCTCTTTAGGCGAGGGTCCTCCCATGATGTCTGCTTATTTATGTGGTCGACAAAGTAGCTGCAAATATGACACACGTTACTAACTGGCTCAAATGTAATTAAGAAAACTATGCATGGCTATCACTGACAAAAATAGGGGTTTCTTATGCATTTAATGGTGTTTAAAAGGTAGATTTGCACTGTCAGACCACACTCTGTTAGAAAGTCAAAAATATATTTTTCTAGTGTATTTGTGTGTGTTTAGACCGAATATGACCTTCATTTCTGGCGGAAATTAGCCGTTTTTCTTTTTATCAAATTTTTTTCGTTGGACGTTTTCCGAAAAAAAATCATGGCAAAATACACCAAAAAACACTAGGGAAAAAAATAAAATCCAAACCAGACCAAACCAAACCTAACCTAACTGACTCTCACCATATGATGGAATCACCTATTTCTTACCTTATTGGCCTAGTTCTTGTTCGTCGTTGGATTCTGAGATTCTTACACAACGCCACATATGTTGGTCTTTGCAATATTTACATTGCCTTGCTCTTAGTATACTTTACTGAGGTTGGAAGAACACCATGCGATCGAAAAAATGCTATAGTTTCTTCGTATTTTTTCCCAAAAACTCGCAACCAGCTCCATATAATTTAAGTGACACCCATTGCAGACTTCCATGGTCGGAACTGAATTTGAATTTCGAAATATGACCCCAAAATAAAACTCGAATTTGATTGGGCCAAAAATAGTGCAAATTAAACCCAAAATCATTTTAATTGGTTACAAAAAACAAAAACGCTTTTGATTGGCCGCGTGACGTGTACGGGAACGCATGCGCGTGATGATTTATGAAGAAGACATGCAGTGTGGGAGGTGAGGTAGGCGATAATGGCAGAAGATTAATGTTAGAAAATAGAGAAAATCTTGGATACACTATCTCCGTTATTATACATTTCCGCCGGTAATGTAATAGATGAAAATTATCTTATAATTAGACGTCTTACTCGAATATGATAATAGATAAGTGGTATGTGTGGTGTGTAAATGCAAAAATGCAGTTTAAAACGAATTTGACCTCCATTTGTGTTGTGTAGTGGCAGTGGGGGTCGATCACTACCTACAGTTTTGACTACACTAAGTGGGCAGAACTTTGACATACAGTAAACAGACAGAGGGTAATTGTGGGGTTAAAAACACACAAACAACTGACTAAACTTAACCTAACCTAACACTTGACAGCCTGACATCTGGTTAGGTTAGGTTAGTCAGAAGGCCATCTTAACTATCATTGTATATGTATCCTGTACCTTACTGCCAACATTGCATCACCCAAGCATTCACTGACTAATTACCCAACAGAAACTAGGGAAAAACAACAAGGTAAAACTGAGGCTTACAGCAAAGAATCGGATGACAAAAATGTTACCTAACCTAACCTAACCAACCTAACCTAACCTAACCTAACCTAACCTAACCTAACCTAACCTAACCTAACCTACCCTATCTGGCATCCTTTGTATATTGCAAGAATAGTAAAAAAAACAAGACCAAATAATGACGGTGGAAAATGCAGTTATCTCTAGCATACGATACCTGCTTCAAAGATTTATCGGTAATGACGTACCAATTTGTCTATATAGCAAGTTGTTTCCACTTAAAAGTTTGTGGGTGGTAAATACTCACTATCTGCCAGATCTGCCGTCAAACTTCACCTCCCAGCCGTGAGGAAGGCCCTGGAAGCCGTCCCATCTTCCCGCCATTTTGACCTCTGTTGATTGATGCAGACGACGCTGATTCAAAAACAAATTATTTTATTTCTGACTTTTTACTTTTATCCTCTTCGCCACAATATATTATGGCATTATATGTATATAGAAACATCAGACCTTATTAAATACCTTAGTCAACATAAAGTAATAAAACAAATTTTGCCGTGATAGCGACCAATGATTTTTTTCCCGCATTTCCATTGGTGCTGTGAGTGACATGCTTGGTGTTAGTATAGTTTACATGGATATGAACTCATTGTAGCAGATTTTTTTAACCACGTTTATTACCATCAATAATTTACATGACAGTCTGGCCTAAGTCGGCCAGCCAGGTCCAGCCGTCAGTCGTCAATGGACTTACCAATAATATCTTAATTCCCAAACACAGGAATTGTTAAAGGAGCCGGTTTACTGCGCCTCAGTGGCTAAACAATCTGCCCTAAAAAAAATCGCTTCAGCCAAAATCTTTCTGTGACATCAACCTTGAGCTGTGTTAAATAACAGAGTCCGGTAGTGTTGCCTGTAGGCGTGGTGGCTGGAGACCCATCATTAAAAGGGTGCACTGAGTGATTAACGTCTTACTTACAATATTGATCCTTATTTCAAAAGTGTCTTAGGCTCAATTTTGTATGATGCGGCAGGTTTTATCTGACCTTTGTACGCTAAGTTTTGGTAAGAGTTATTTGCATTAGTTAAATTAGGACATGAATATGATAGTAGTCTTCTCCGGCGACACAACTACTCATTCACTGCCACGGAGACAACGAAGACATACTGTAGGTACCCGTAAGTATTAAGGCTAGTGTTCATTCTTTTAATGTTTATAAGCACATGGGTTATACTCAGGGGGAGGGTAGTGGAAACAAGTGTGCCGACACAGGGCCAGGGGGCAGCAGTGCACCCTCCACCCACTCAACCCCCCACCCGGGAGGCGGCACCAGCTCAGCCTACCGGACAGGAGGGAACGAGCGCCGTGTAAACAATGAAATTTTTAACCACACCCTGCAAAATACAGTGTACTTAGCAAATGCTGCAGCTTCTGAGAATGTGGGTGGAGCGGGTTTATTACTAAGAGCAGAGACGTTACCGAGAACAAATTCTGGCTTGAATGTCATGTACACTAATACCGACACGTTCCTGGATAAGAGGGAGGAGTTTGAAACACTACTAAGAGTACACCAACCAGATATTGTAGGAGTTGTAGAACTGTTGTACAAGAACAGGAGAATCGACCCAGAGGAATGTGAGTTCAGTATTGCTGGATATGACTCATTTACGAACCTAACTCAAGAATCCTGCAGGAGGGGTGTGGTTATCTACGCTAGGCAAGACCTTAGAGCCAGCCAGGCGAGGGTACAGGGAGAGGATGTCTTTGAAGAGTCCAAGTGGTGTAAAATTAAATTAAAGGGAGGGGACTTACTTATCGTCGGGTGTATCTACAGATCCCCGAACTGTGGCCCACTAAATCAAAGGAACTTAAGAACCTTAATAAACAATGCGGCGATGCTCAACCCCAGCCACCTCCTTATCATGGGGGACTTTAACTATGGCGACATCGACTGGAGAAACGAGTCAACCCCGAATGACTTGAATAATCCTGCTACTCTTTTTGTAGAAACTCTGAGAGATAATTTTCTGTTCCAACATGTGAGAGACCCGACACATTACAGAGGGGAACAAACACCCAAGCCACTTGACCTCATCATAACAAACGAGGAGGGTATGGTGGCCAAACTGGAACACCTTGCCCCAGTTGGCACCAGTCACCATACAGTGTTGTCATTCAGATTTAACTGTTACCTAGTTCAAGATAAGGCCAGGCCAAGGTGCAAATATTACAAGGGAAATTACAATGGGATGAGGGAAGAGATGAGGGGTATCAACTGGCCTGACTTATTAAGGTACAAGAACGCAGACACTACGCTGAATATCATAACTAGTAAAATGACCCATTTGATCGATAAATATATACCCAAGACCAAACCCAGTGCTTCTAGGAATACGAGGGGATCCCTACACATGAACCATGCGGCGGTCGACAAAATTAAGAAGAAAACCCAGAAATTCAAGACGTGGGTTGGGTCAAACGATGAGCAAGACAGGAGGATGTATGCAAGAGCCAGAAACCAAGCAAAGATAGAGTGTAGGAGGGCTGAAAAGGAGTTCCAAAGGCTGGTTGCACGCGAGGTCAAGTCAAACCCAAAGGCGTTTTACCGCTATGCAAAGTCGAAATTGAAAACGCGAGTAGGAGTATCAGACCTGAGGCTTGAAGATGGTAGTTACGCAGATTCTGACCAGGATAAAGCTGAGGCATTGAACAGCTTCTTTTCCTCAGTGTTCACAAGAGAGGATGCAACTAACCTTCCTGCGTTTGAGGACAGACGGTTCGACACAGCACTGACCCACATTGTGTTCACAGAAGAGGGTATTAGAAATAAACTGTCCAGGCTAAAGGTCCATAAGAGTCCTGGACCTGACATGGTGCATCCTAGAGTGCTAAGGGAGCTGTGCAACGAGCTTGCAGAGCCCCTGAAGATTCTGTTTTGTAAATGCCTGGATGAACAAATGGTCCCCAGTGAATGGAAAGTGGCTTATGTGAGTCCTATCTTCAAGAAGGGCGATAGGCACTCCACGAACAACTATAGACCGGTGAGCCTGACCAGCATAATATGTAAAGTACTTGAGAGTATTATCAGAGATGCAGCGATGGAACATCTACTACGAAACAACCTTGTAAAAGATTGCCAACACGGTTTTATGCCGGGGCGCTCTTGCTTGACACAATTGCTCAAGGTATTGGATATTTGGACCCATATTCTAGAACGGGGTGGTAATATCGACAATATTTACCTAGATTTTGCCAAGGCTTTCGACAGTGTACCCCACGAAAGGCTGAAAATCAAACTGGAAGGGTACGGAATTCGGGGAAATGTCCTAGCGTGGATAGAAGACTTTCTACATGACCGCAAGCAATGTGTGGTGATTAATGGCACGAAATCGTCATCTGTACCTGTAACAAGTGGGGTACCGCAGGGTAGTGTATTGGGCCCGCTGTTGTTTGTTTGTTTCATAAATGATATGCCTGACGTTGTACACTCCTCCATACAAATGTTTGCCGATGACGCCAAGTTATTTCGGGAAATTAAGAACCAAGCGGACTGTGAAGAGCTGCAGAAGGACCTCTGTGGGCTCCAGGAATGGTCGAAGGAATGGCTGCTGAGATTCAATGTCACGAAGTGTAAGAGGATGCACCTGGGGCGTACCAACGGTAAGGAGGCGTACCATATGTCCCAACGGGATGAAGAAAATGTACTAGTTGAGACTGTGTGTGAGAAGGACCTAGGTGTGTATGTTGACAATGAGCTGAAGTTCTCGGGCCATTGTGAGAAGAAGGTAAATCAGGCAAATAAATTATTGGGTCTTATAAGAAGGTCGTTCAGATATCTAGACGGTCCGTCCCTCGTGACGATCTTCAGGAGTGAAGTGCTTCCCCATCTGGAGTACTGTCACCCCATCTGGTCCCCGAGATATGCTAGGGACTGTCAGTTGGTTGAAAATGTTCAAAGGAGGGCCACCAAGCTGGTGCCTGCACTTCGGCATCTCAGCTACCCTGCGAGATTGGAGCGCCTGAACTTGCCTAGCTTATACTACAGACGGGCAAGGGGGGACCTAGTTGAGGTTTATAAGCATCTCAGGGGGCACTACTCAGTTGAGTGTCCTTACTTGGAGCTGGCGGACGCTCGCCCCACAAGGGGTCACAGCTCAAGATTGAAGAAGCCGCAAGTCCGGAAAACCGTGAGGGCAAACTTTTTCGGAGTGAGGGTTGTAAACTCTTGGAACAATCTACCAGAGAGTGTTGTGACGGCACCGAGTGTGAGCTCTTTCAAGAGAAGACTTGACCAACACTGGAGCGGGTTCAGGTACATTCAGGAGCCGGTGCATGCCCAGTATTTGCCAACAGTGCGTGACAGAGACGTGACCGATCGCCCGGGCGGCTAGCGAGCCGACCTTTTGGTGAAGAATATAAAGGAAAAGAGTCGTGACCGATCGCCCAAGCGGCTAAAAAGCCGATCAGTGGCGAAGAGGATAAAAAATAAAAAAAAAATAAAAAAAAAAAAAATACTTATTGCTTCAATCAACAATTGTGGTATTGTCACTCTGCCAAATGATAGTCAGTACTGGGTATACACCAGATATCACTGGACCCTCATGTCTTACCTTACCAAGTAGCAAATTAACTCTTCACTTCTTGGTTATATCATTATACTCTCAGATTATCATTTCATGGTCACTACCAATGAATACATAGCACACTGAACAACTCGACAATTATCTCAGCATACAATACCTCCTGTTAATTCACAAGGAACAACATGGCACTGTTAACTCTCATTCAGTGGTTCAATACTTAACCTGGGATACTATATTTCTGCTAGTTATCCCCCAAACAAGATACAATAATACTTACGCCCATGTAACTGTGAGGAGTGCCCCAGGGTAACGCTGGTCTCTACAACAAATGAAGATCGCTGTTAGGGGTCAGTTGTAGACCGACACACGCTCAGGGAGTGGGCGCCTGATTTGCGGGAAACGGACTTCCCAGTTCAGTCCTGTCGAATTAACGGCATCGTCCAACCCGGTTACCGCCCCACGTTAGCCGATGAGTATTCAGCTCAACCCACTGGAGAGACGTTGAGGAAGTCACGAATGCCTAAAGGTCTAACTTCAACTATACAAAACATACGCCTGGCAACGGTTCAGACAATATCTAAATCTCTACGTTACTCGACTTAATTGGCACAGAATTCACTATGTTAACACATGAGCACTGATATTCACCAAAATTGACTAAGTTAAACTGAATTAATAGGCGGCGGGAACACACGTTAACATACCTGGAGAGACGTTGAGGAAGTCACGAATGTGTGATTCTCCCTCGTGTAGAGGTATATACGTGCATCCGCGGGGCAGCTTGGGCCTCCGTATTCATACCAGAAGGGTCGATCTTACCAACAACATAACTTCTCTATCATTTTGGATCACTGTATACTTAGTTATGAACTCCGGTGTTCTTGATCAGGGTAATTTCCTATGTCTATTCATATAATCTAATCAGAGGTTGAACTTGCCAGGAAAAGGTGGAATATACACGTCGATAACATTAATTCTGCAAGCTCAGGCCTGAGACGAAACAAGGAGCTAGTCACGGGGAGGCGCTAGATCTTGGAGATTATACCAGTTGACAGAATAGTTCAGGAGATTAATGACTTTCTCAAATAGACAACTGACACTAATTAAACTATAAACATCAGATTCTCTGATGTCGGGGCAACAAAATGATATAACTTCAGGCGCGATCAGAAACTCATGGATACCCCCACGGACGACATAAAATACGCCACTCAAGCTGGCCAACTCGACACTCACTTACTTGACACGTTATACTAACGATAAGGACAGTTGAAGGATTCTACCCCACTCACAATGGATCTTGAATGTTCCAACTGTAAACAGACATATCTAAGTTGACTCAAAACAAAGGTGTTCTCTCTCACACTCACATTCATTTTATAGAGAGGTTGGTTTCAGTAAGTCAGAGCAAATGGGATAACGGAGGACTGAGGTGTCTTGAAGTGATGAGAAAACGGACTCCTCAGATGGAGGACTCAAACGAAAGCCGAGTTACATGTTTTGTGGGCTATTGAGCGTAATATGAATCATTTGATTTTGGCGCTAACTGACGTGTAAGACCGTGGTCATTACACCTGCACTTACTACAAAGTTGGTAAGCTTGTTCCACTCGTCCACCACCCTATTTGTGAACCAGTTTCTTCCTATCTCCCTCCTAAACCTAAACTTATCCAACTTGAATCCGTTCCTCCGAGTCCTATCCTGCTCGGATATTATAAGAACTTTATCTATATCCCCTTTATTGATTCCTTTCACCCACTTAAATACTTCTATCATAAAGTTCTTATAATATCCGAGCAAGACCTGACCTAGAAACGCCACTGTGTAACGCCGCATCTGTTCAGAATGCGGAAGTTATTGCTTTCACATTTAACCTCTTTACCACTTGCATGCACTGACTCCTGACTATATCGGAACCTGCTCCAGTCTGGTCTTGAATGAGCCTACACTCGGTGCCGTCACAACTTTCTCTGCCCTCACAGTTTTCTGGACTTGTGGCTTCTTCAACCTTGAGCTGTGACTCTTTGTGGGGTGCACGTCCGCCAGCTCCAGGTATGTACAATCGACCTGAGATGTTTATACACTTCATTAGGTCGTCCCTCGCCCGTCTGTGATATAAGCTTTTACTTTTAACCTCTTCGCCACTGATCGGTTCGTTAGCCGCTTGATCAATCGGTTACGCCTCTGTTACGCACTGCAGGCAAGTACCGGTACTGAGAATGTACTTGCTCCTGAATGTACCTGAACCTGCTCCAGTGATGGTCAGTCTGGTTCTTGAAACAGCTTACACTCGGTGCCGTCACAACACGCTCTGGCAGATTGTTCCAAGAGTTCACAACTCTCACTCCGACAAAGTTTGCCCTCACAGTTTTCTGGACTTACGGCTTATTCGACCTTGAGCTGTGATCCCTTGTGGGGCGAGCGTCCGCCAGCTCCAGGTAAGGACACTAGACTGAATAATAATAATTAACGGTCTATTGAAAAAGTTCTGCAGCCCGGAGGCTGAAAATACACAATGGACATAAATGACTTATTACATACACTGACATGGGAGGGGAGGGGGAGTAACACAAATTTTCATTAGTACGGTACGGTATTTTTCCTTTGGTACGAATTACGATAAATCAATCGTGCGCTGAGGTATAAGTTAGGAAGTCACGAATGCGAAAAGGTCTAACTTCAACTATACAAAACATACGCCTGGCAACGGTTCAGACAATATCTAAATCTCTACGTTACTCGACTTAATTGGCACAGAATTCACTATGTTAACACATGAGCACTAATATTCACCAAAATTGACTAAGTTAAACTGAATTAATAGGCGGCGGGAACACACGTTAACATACCTGGAGAGACGTTGAGGAAGTCACGAATGTGTGATTCTCCCTCGTGTCGAGGTATATACGTGCACTCGCGGGGCAGCTTGGGCCTCCATATTCATACCAGAAGGGTCGATCTTACCAACAACATAACTTCTCTATCATTTTGGATCACTGTATACTTAGTTATGAACTCCGGTGTTCTTGATCAGGGTAATTTCCTATGTCTATTCATATAATCTAATCAGAGGTTGAGCTTGCCAGGAAAAGGTGGAATATACACGTCGATAACATTAATTCTGCAAGCTTAGGTCTGAGGCGAACAAGGGGCTATTCACGGGGAGGCGCTAGATCTTGGAGATTATACCAGTTGACAGAATAGTTCAGGAGATTAATGACTTTCTCAAATAGACAACTGACACTAAGAATCAGAGGATGAACAGGTGGATGTTAGAAATGAGGGAATATTCCTTTACAATTGATTATAAACCCGGTAAAGCAAATGTTGTAGCTGATGCGTTAAGTAGACCCGTGAGAGTAGTAAGGGAAGGGCGGCTGAAAGACCTAGTCGATCAATTTCCTACGCTAGAGGGCTTAACACCGGCCGAGCTTGGACTAGAACAACAGAAAGAACCACGGTGGAAAGAGCTCTTGCAGTATTTGACTGGGGAAAAGTTACCGAGGCACAGATACCCTAAGACCACCATTGATAAGTTTGAAGTGATGGATGGGGTTTTATATCTAGTGAAAGAACAGATTGACAAAGCATTACTCTATTGCTTGGTAGTACCTGATCATTTACGTGAAGCCGCCTTAAAATTAGTACACAATAGTGCAAAGTCAGGTCACTTGGGGCAGTGGAAAACCATTGCCAAGACAGAAAGTCTATTCTACTGGCCAAACTACCGTAAGGATTGTATTGACTTTGTGAAATCATGTGAAAGCTGTCAGAAGTTCAAGGGGACTAGGGGTCTTACCCAGAAATGGCAGGCCTTACCGGTAGTTTCCAAGCCTCTCGAGCGAGTTTCTGTCGACCTGACTGACATGCATGCGGGGGTCAATGAGTACCGTTATGTGTTGACGGTCCTCGATCATTACTCTAGGTTTGTTAACTTCTACCCCCTTCGAACTAAAGCGACCCAAGAAGTTACCCGAGAATTTGAGAAATTCACTAATGTATTTGGCAGCCCGAAGACGGTGATTGCCGATAATGGAGGGGAATTTACAGCAGCCCACTTTAAGAGTTTTTGTAGAAGGAGCAATATTAGTTCATATTTCACTTTGCCATACCACTATTAAGTCAGTTTAACTTAGTCAATTTTGGTGAATATCAGTGCTCATGTGTTAACATAGTGAATTCTGTGCCAATTAAGTCGAGTAACGTAGAGATTTAGATATTGTCTGAACCGTTGCCAGGCGTATGTTTTGTATAGTTGAAGTTAGACCTTTAGGCATTCGTGACTTCCTCAACGTCTCTCCAGTGGGTTGAGCTGAATACTCATCGGCTAACGTGGGGCGGTAACCGGGTTGGACGATGCCGTTAATTCGACAGGACTGAACTGGGAAGTCCGTTTCCTGCAAATCAGGCGCCCACTCCCTGAGCGTGTGTCGGTCTACAACTGACCCCTAACAGCGATCTTCATTTGTTGTAGAGACCAGCGTTACCCTGGGGCACTCCTCACAGTTACATGGGCGTAAGTATTATTGTATCTTGTTTGGGGGATACCTAGCAGAAATATAGTATCCCAGGTTAAGTATTGAACCACTGAATGAGAGTTAAAAGTGCCATGTTGTTCCTTGTGAATTAACAGGAGGTATTGTATGTTGAGATAATTGTGGAGTGGTTCAGTGTGCTATGTATTCATTGGTAGTGACCATGAAATGATAATCTGAGAGTATAATGATATAACCAAGAAGTGAAGAGTTAATTTGCTACTTAGTAAGGCAAGACCTGAGGGTCCAGTGATATCTGGTGTATACCCAGTACTGACTATCATGTGGCAGAGTGACAATATCACAATTGTCGATTGAAGTAATAAGAATTTGGAGGTATTTAATGAGGTAATAAGTTCTTGAAGTGTTTGATGACTTAAGAAATAAAGTGCAGTTCTGTTTTGTCTGAGTGAATCTAAGATGCATCTTATCCAATCACTGTGTTAATAAATATTGAATTAGTAATCTACGTCTACGAGTATCACCACTCTATCCTTTCCCACATTGGTTCTCAGAAAATAACTAACTCACGTGCCTAGAAGCTCGCTACCTAACAGTTAACTAAGAGATGTTATATTCTAGAAAAATCCTGGGTGGTGGCAGGCTACTGTTGTAAGTATAATAAGTGTGGTAATAACAAAGACATGGTTTCCCAGGTTAATCCATGGTTTAGAATATAACTAGAACCAACTATATGGAAGAGATCATAATATATGACAGGAAATGAAAAGAAAGAACATTGACTTGGAAAACATAAGCAGAGAAGCATAAGAGTTACTTATATAAGAATATATAAGAATATAAGGTATATAGAGATAAAGAATATATAAGAATATAGAAGAATAAGGATATATATGTAAAGAATTGAAGAAGGATAAGTATATAAAACAGGATACTCATTGGAAAGAATGCTACAGAGCAAATAAGTATATGAATAAATAGAATACTAACAACAAAATAATATCTGTATGGTAAATTATTAAAAAGAGAAAACTCGGCCCGTTACAGCTCTAGCTCGAGGGAACAGGGGGGGAGGAGGCTAAGCTAGCTAGCAAGGGGTTGTTAGTTATTGTGTTAGTTGGAGAGGTCTACTAGGTCCTTGTGTAACTAGTAGAATACTCTCATCTTTTGATTACTGTTTAGTGTACAATAATTCTGGCTCTTGAGGGTTATGGAGAAGGCTTTTTGGCCACCAGTTGTGTGATCTTGTGGTGTCCTCTGTTTTAGTCGATTATATATTTCGTCTTCCATGACTTCTAGTTTGTGCCATACTGCCTGTGCTTGGCTGTATGTTCTTATGTTCAGTGGTAAAATGTTGTAATTTTCGTGAAGCTCTTTAATTTTGGTTGTGTATGGGGGACGTTGTTTGGAGGCTCTGCGGATGGCTTTGTTTTGTGTTACTTTTACTTTTATCCTCTTCGCCACTGATCGGCTTGTTAGCCGCCCGGGAGATCGGTCACGTCTCTGTCACGCACTGTTGGCAAGTACTGGGCATGCACCGGCTCCTGAATGTACCTGAACCCGCTCCAGTGTTGGTCAAGTCTTCTCTTGAAAGAGCTCACACTCGGTGCCGTCACAACACTTTCTGGTAGATTGTTCCAAGAGTTTACAACCCTCACTCCGAAAAAGTTTGCCCTCACGGTTTTGCCTGGAGTTTTAATTGGTTGGTAAGGCTGATCGTGTTTAATGGTATTGGCGGGTATTCAAGATGGGGGCGTACAAGTGCTTTAAATAGGTGTAGTTGTATTTTCTCTTCCATTTGGCCGAATCTTCTTAATTTGGTAAGCTGTATTTGGGCTAGTCTATTGCGCTCTGTTATGTGTTTATTTATTCCGGTTCTTGTTATTGTTAGCCTCAGTATTTTTTCTTCGTTTGAGTATTGTATTTCTTCGTTGTTTACTGTGATTGGTGCTGGGTTTATCCTTGAAATGTGTATGATTTTTAGTTTCTGTGTATTAGTTTTTATTTTCCATTTCTTCTCGTAATTATTTATTTGTATTATGGCGCGAGCTGTTTTTAATGCCATCATCTGTTTGGCCTTGCCTGGATGGCGGATGATCTGGGTGACATCATCAGCATATGCGATGTATTCACCGTGAATTGGTGGCGGTATGTCTGAGGTGTAAATTGTATAAAGAGTTGGGGATAAATTACTTCCTTGTGGTACTCCACTATAAAGTCTGAAGCTTGGGCCTTTGTCATTGCCTATTATAATGTGTGCTTCTCTATTGTCTAAGAAATTACACAGTAGAGAAGTGAAGTTGTTAGGGAGTTCTTGATTGGTTATTTTATATTTAAGTCCCAAGTGCCAGACCTTATCGAACGCTTTTGCCACGTCCCTTAATACTATGTTGCACTGTTCTCTATTATGCATTGCGTTTGCAATACTTTCGTATATAAGGGCTATGGCTGTGTTTGTTCCTCTGTGTTTCCTGAATCCGTGTTGTCGAGGGTTGTATTTGTATTCCAGTTCCAGGTGTGTTCTTAATCGTTGGTTAATTATTTTTTCCAAAAATTTTCCCGGTGTTTCTAAGAGACAGATTGGTCTGTAGTTTTCTACTGCTGTGGGGGCTTTTCCCGGTTTTGGTATCAGTCTGATAATTGCTGTCTTGAATTTCTTTGGGTAGTAGCCTGAAGCTATGGATGCATTGAATATATTTCTTCGTAGAAGTACCATGTTGCTTGGTAATTGCTGTAAGATGAGTTTATTTATTTTACTGACTCCAGGAGCCTTGTTCTTAAAACTATTGATTGTTCTTACTATTTCGTCCACCGTGATTGGTTTTAGTGGGGACATGTCATCCAGTGCATTCAGGTCGATCGTGGGTCTCGGTTGCCAAATATGGGTTATTTGCGACATATGGTTGGATACTTCCCTCTCTGTGGTCATGCAAAAGTTTAAGTTTTCTTCGTTGGTGATTTGAAAAATTTTACTCCAGAAAGATCTAAATTCCGGTTCTTGCTCGGTTGGTTCTGTTAATTTGACTTGATTACTATTTATTATATAGTTTGACTCGTTGCTTGAGGTTCCCATTAAGTGCTTTATTTTCTGCCAGAACTGGTTCGGTTTATGGTAATTTCCTTCCGTTTCTGAAATCAGCTTCTGCCAGTTCCTGTTGTATGCTTCTTTTGAGATGTTTTTTAGCTGTTCGTGTATTATGTTGTATATGTTTCTGCGTTCTGGTGTCCATCCTTGCTGTGTGATTAGTTTAATTAGGTTGCTAAATTGTGTCTGTATGATTCTTGATTGGTGTGAGTATTGAGGGTGTGGTAATGTTCGGTAAGTGGTCTTGGGTATGTTGTGTTCCATGGCCTGGCTGACGTGCTCATACCATATATCTAGTGATTGGTCTGATAGAGAAGTATGCCCGTTGTGTAATTGTATGGGTTGTGGGTTATTTAATTCTTGTTTGAGGTTTTCCCAGTGTAAGGGCGGAAACGATCTTCCTGCTCGTTACCGCGGCTAACTCTCTCGTTTGCTGGTGCGGATGACACTTGGGGCGGTTGGACAGAGGTGAGAATGGCAGCAACTATCTGGGTCATTGCCAGATTCAACCCAGCCGCCATACAGTCACGATCTAGCTACCCCACTGTTAGTCAAATTCTGGCTGTGAACTCATCATAGGTCCTAGACTCGTGGGCTGTGTCCCCAGACCTTCACCTATCGACTGTCAATTCTCCGGTCATCTACCACTACCATACCACGACCCTCAGTTCACCTCATTCTGCCATTTCAAGAGTTGCTGGAGTGTGGAGTTGAATGGACGCTTCCCTACCCTGAGTGTGGATCACCGTGTTCCAGTGTAGTGGATTTCTCCCTACAAACGCTGTTTGTCGCTGAGTAGCCGACCCCGCGAATTTCACAGTGTGTGCCTCGTGGTCTAGGTCAACCAGCGCTGCCTTACATGACGGAGGTCAACTACTAAGCCACGCCTACCTTCGCTATTTAAGACCTGACCTCATGGTGACCTCTCTCTTCTTCTAGCTACACCGCCTCCTCCTCCTCCGCTGCCTGGCGGCCCTCGCTCCCGCCGGCGAGCATGGCGACCCACAAGCTGTCCTCCTCTGAGCATCCTCACCAACCAGCTCTCTCTTTCTACCTACACCAACCAGCAAGCAACACCTCCTCCTCTGCCGCTGCCTGGCGGCCCTCGCTCCCGCCAGCAAGCATGGCAACCCACAAGCTGTCCTCCTCTGAGCATCCTCACCAACCAGCTCTCTCTACATCACGCTTGTAACCACGCTGCCACTTCCCAGCACTAGCTGCATTGTACATTCAATATAACATGTATACAGAGAGCACATTGTGAGTTTCCTTTCTCCAACCATCCTGAGTGTGAACCCAAACATAACGTACCCCACAAATGGTGACCCCCGGAGATTTGCACTCACACAGGATGGAGGAGAAACAGATCACGCTCCCAGTCTTCAAGCAACATGGAAGACTGGCTTATCCACCCAGAAGCAGCTCTCATCGGCTCTACAGCTACTGTCTCTAAACCGCAGGTTAGACACCCTAGAGCAGCACTGCTTCTCTAAGCAGACACCAGCTCCTCTTCCTGCCCCAAGCACCACGTCCTACCGACCCCAGCACACCCGTCCTGCCTCAGACGCCGCCACTGGCCCAGCAGTACCCCCTGCCGCTCCTCCTGATGCAGCCCCTGCTCCCGACACGGCCCATGCGCCTGAGTGCGGACCCACACACCCCTCTTTTCTCCCTCAGGTCCTCCCTGCTACTGTCCTGCACCCTGCTGCTGTCGTGGACCCAGCTGCTGTCACGAGCCCTCATCCACTTCTGCTGACGCAGCCCCTGCTCCTGACCCAGGCCCACACACCCCAGCAAGTGCATCTGACGACTCTGTACCTGCCGTGAGGGAAGCGGCGGAGGAGGTGGTGTAGCTTGCTGCGGCTGTAGCTAGAAGAAGAGAGAGGTCACCACGAGGTCGGGTCTTAAATAGCGGGGGTAGGCGTGGCTTAGTAGTTGACCTCCGTAATGCATGGCGGTGCTGGTTGACCCAGACCAAGAGGCATACACTGGGGAATTCGCGGGGTCAGCTACTCAGCGACAAACAGCGTTTGTAGGGGAGAAATCCACTACAAAGTCAAAGCTAGGTCCTCGGCACTCACTGACTGGCACATGAAGCTCTCCCTATGGTTAGTCACTTCACTCCAATAAATATATATTGCTTCTAAGGCCTTTCTCCTCCCCTTATTTAATCCTTTAAATATAATTGTGGCATTCTTCCACTTTGGCACTCGAATAAGACTCACGTACTTCACTAATTGATGCCTCTGTGTTTATGTACAGTATTGTACTTCAAGTATTATAAACAAATTGTGTGACTGTCCATGTTAATCTCTTTTAACAGAATATGGACGAAGAATCCAGTGCAGAACGAGTGGAATTTAGAAATGGCCCTGACCAGGTAAAGCCTTGTTTTACCTGTATTAGTAATTACTGAAATGGATAATGACTAATACATTGTACAGTACCTGAAGTTGTATAGAATAAGAACCTGAGGATAGTGTATTTAAGAGGATCCATTGGGAGTAATAGAAACTGAATAAGCTTGCTTATGCTCTACAGTACAGTAATCACCTTTAGTATTCAACATGTTCACCATTACTGTCATTGCATTTTTATAATCTGGTACAGTACAGTACAATACAGTATGTAAATTCATTAGTGATGAGCTCCAAGGAATCTGCAGTTATTTGACAACAAGCTTCAGTAATTTGGTTTTCAAGTTTGTTCTCAAATTTTGGTTGGCAGATGTTAGGTACAGTAGTGTGAAGTGACATCTTGTGACCTTGTTTTAGCACAGATCACCACAGCAGAACACGCATGTTACAGTACAGCACTCACATTGAATGACAGTGAATGGAGAATTTGTTCAGTATTCTTTTGATTCCAGCTGCTCTGTCATGTACGTAGCAGGAAAAGGCCCGTAAGAGTGAAAAAATTAGATTTGTTTTATTTATCGTTTCACCATTTATCAGCTTTCTAGCCATTCAGGAGGTCAGGCTATCCAGTGTTAGTACAGGAGGAAACCGGAGTGCCTGGAGAAAACCTGTAGTGTAGTGTTTGGCTAAGCGGGACTTGAACACTTGACATACTGTATTGGTGAGAGAAACTGTACGTGTGCCACATGAAGTACGGTATATTTATTAATTGTATGTCCCCTGTATTTTGCTTTTTAAAGATACTTCCTGCATCATCCTTCAAAACGAGTGATGCAGATGGTGCAGTTCAGCTTTACATAACTGAAGAGGGTGTAACAGCAGACCAACCCATTTCCATTCATACCATGTTAAAGGCAAATGCTGAAGAGTATCCAAAACATCCTGCACTGGCTGTTAAGAAGAATGGAATATGGAAGTACGTAGTTGTTTATATTATGTGGTCTCGGGCACTTGTTTAAAGGGACAAAGTGCTGTTTATGGTGATAATGCCTACTTGGGATATTTGTTGGTCTTTATTTAGTGATGGAAGTTTGATAGTCTCCCCCCTTAATTTTTTTTGATTACTCCCTCTTGGTAGTGTTAAGTATAAGTGTTGATGCCTACTTAATTGAGTACGGTACTCTATGTTACTAAAACGTCTCCTATAAATGAGTTAAGTTTTAGTTTTCATTTAAAAGAAAATTATTTCCTCGATTTCTTTAATATTTTGATACTATACTGTATTGAGTGAAACTTACAAAAAGAGCATTATATCAGTTAGGCTGGTAAACAAAACAACCAAACTGGTTATCTGTCAGACGTAATGCTGACATGTGTATTAAGACAGTGCCTCAGCGGCCATATATTCACAATAATATTTCACACACTTAAAGACTAAGCTTGACGAGGCATTTGAGTGTCTGTGGTGAGTGAAACAATGTCTGTACTCACGTATGATCACTTTTGCCTCAACACAGATCCCACTATGTACACTGATGCCCAGCCCACGACTCGAACCTTGAACCAGGGGCGCGGCCACACCCGTACCCTCTCCCCGAGCCTCACGGGGAGTGGGAGTCGGTTTAGAATTTTCTCATTATTTAATATGTGCTACCCCCAGGCTGTAATGTGCTCTAAAGGTTGGCCGCAGGCATTAGACTGGGTAAGGAGCTGGGCGAGATGATGTTATCACTGACAACTTGTCAGGCATTTCACCCCAGTTGTTGCAAACAGTCCCATGCCAAACTAACACATAGTACAGTACCTGTACAGTACAGTACAGTATAAACTGCCAACACCCTGGTGTGCACGACTCCAAACTGCCCTGCTAGGCCTAGTGCCGCACTGCCTCCTCACTCCCTGGGGTGAGTTGGCCTTACTGTTAGCACATACGGCAGTAACACACTACCCGGTATTTTCAATAATACTTTATATTGAATATTTGGTGGTGGGGGCCTTACACATATTTGGTTCAGATATATCTAGACAAGTGTTTACTCCTAGAGTGTACTTTGGGAGTGCATGTAATAGTTGAAGATCTTACCAAGTTAAACCATTTGCCACTTATAGCTGAAAGCATTTTGCAAGACAGAGTTTAGCTAGTTATTTTATGTACCTGTATTTCCAGGTACTGGACCTACAAAGAGTATTTTGATGAATCCAGGACGGTCGCTAAGGCTTTTATTAGGCTCGGACTGGAAAGATTCCACGGAGTTTGCATTATGGGATTTAACTCTCCAGAATGGATGCTTGCTAACTTTGGTGAGTGTTGTTTAGTATTTGTGTGTGTGTGTTATTAGCCACAGTGTGTCTTCCATTAACAGTCCTCATATCACACACAGGTTGAGATAGAACTTGTTCAGTATACAGTACAGAATATATTTTCATTGTCTAGTTATCAAACAAATTTACGTCATCCTTTCTCAATTACCATTGTATTGTTATAAATTTAAGTATTACATTTTAATTACCATTGTTTTTCATACAGGTGCCATTTTTGCCGGCGGGATTTGTGTCGGCTCATACACCACCAATTCACCAAAAGTCTGTAGACACATCTTAGATGACTGCCAAGCACAACTAGTTGTTGTAGAAAATGAAGTGTGTCTCAATAAGATCCTGGCAGTTAAACAATTTCTTCCTCACATCAAAGTGGGTACAGTACAGTATAGGCATCTTATATTTTATGTCTTAGTAAGAGTAAGAAGCATAAGATGTGGATAATATAGTTAGGTTAGGTTGGTTTAAAGTAGGTTAGGTTAGGCTGGTTTAAAGAGGGTTAGGTGAGCTAAAGCTAGTTTAAGTTATGTTACTTTAGGTAACATTCAGGGAGGTTAAAACAGGTTACATTGGTGAAGGTTAGGTTACTTTAAGTTTAAAAAATGTTAGGCTACTGTAAGGTAAGTTAGGTTAGATATAAAAAAAAACTACTGTAATCTGAAATTAATGCACCATGTTTCAGGCAATCATCCAGTGGTCAGGCGTCCCAAGTGCTGCTGGTGTGTTATCCTGGGCTGAGCTTATGGCTATTGGTTTGGCTGAGAAAGATACTGAATTAAATGAACGACTTTCTCTGTCTGCAATCAATCAGTGCTGTACAGTGATCTTTACATCAGGTACAATTTTCTAATTGTCCAATGCACTCATAATTGATATTATTTAATGTTTTTTTGCTTTTCATATGTGGTTGAATTTTTTTTTAAATTAGAAAAATAGGACTTATTATGCATTTAGAAGGGGTTGTTATAAATACAGTATATACACAGGTAGAAGAGATGCAGTCTCTGAGTTGTATTTTAAAAATGTTGGAATTAGAAACTAATTTATAAGCTAGTTGCTTCTGTTGAGATTGAAACTTACTATACTGTATGATGCTCAAGTACATGTACTGCACATTGCTCAGTAATGCTCAAGACTTAGAGAAAGACCTCATTAATATAGTGCATATTGTGGGCAGGCCCTGAGTAGGGTGTGAGTTTAGCAGCATCATAGCCATAGTTTACAGTTAGCCAACCATTCAGGAAAGGCTTTCTCCCCTTTTGTAGTCCTCAAGCAAGAGGCAGCTTCTACCCTTGGGTACATGCCTGAGTCAAAAGATTTCATTAGAAAACCTGTAACATACATACAACACTTAGTGGTATGTTGACTGTCTTCAAGAAATCATTCATTATAAAAACAACTGACTCCTCCAAAGAAGTCATGTGCTAGCAAGATCATAATACAGTAGACTAATTTCAGGTATCTTTTATTGTAGGCACAACTGGTCCTCCAAAAGGAGTCATGTGCTCACAAGATCATATGACCTGGGTAGCAAAGCAGTTCATGGTGAATATGCCACATCTTCAAACTGCCTATGAAGTTATTGTATCATACCTCCCAATGAGTCATCTTGCTGCTCAGATGCTTGACATATATATGGCCTGTTCATTTACTGGTACAGTCTACTTTGCACAGCCTGATGCTTTGAAAGGAACACTTCTACACACATTAATTGAGGTGAGATTCTAACTGAGTTTGTTTACAACCAAACACCCACCCAAAGTGACTCGCATACTTTACTATGCCCCCCTATGTCTATTACAGTATTTGAAAACATGGGAAACCTTGTGACATTTGTGTTTGGCCTGATTAATAAGTTATGCCTTCCTGTCACAGCCAAGTTCCTTGGAGGTCTCCTTATTGCTTTCTACTCACATGGTGACTGTTGTTTGTACCGACCTTTTTCTGGGGTATGTTTATGAAAGGAAGACATAACTAATCAATAGATCAGCCTCAGCCAATAATGTTGAAGGGTTTCCAAGGTTATTGCCTCACACACTTAGCATACGATAGTACTGTACACAAGTTGCTTAGTTTAGATTTGGTCGTAATGGCGTTTCAAAATTAACTGCCCAGTTATTATATACAGAGGGTCCTTGTAATATATATTGGGTGTACAGTATAAAAAAAAGTTTACATAAATAAAAATTTCATAAAATTAATAACTATTTAAATATACAAAATAAGGATGCATTCTACGGTCCATCTTTCCAGCCCCAGACCCATTTCTACCACTGTTTCATGATATTGAGATAATAGTTACCTAATAAAACAATATGACGATAGTATCCCATTTAGACATGTGTGTGTGTGTGTGCATGCGTGCTATCTTCATTTAAACATGTTATCTTCATAAAGTATTGTACAGTATATGGTAAACCAGGTCCAACCAACTTCGGTCCTGGGTGTACCTAGAGTGTGGGAGAAGATGTATGAGAAGATGCAAGAGGCGGGAGCTTCAGCAGGAGGAATAAAGAAGACTCTTGGATCGTGGGCTAAGTATCATGGACTAAACTACTATAAAGCTTTATTTAATAATAGGTAAATAATATTTTTTTATCATTATCTTTATCCATGTTTTGTAATTATCCCCCCACTGCTCAGCTGATGGACACTATGGTACTGTGAGATGTAGTTACAGTACAGTACAATATGACAGCTAGATCTGAGACAAGGTTGATACTGGTAGGTCATGTTTGGAATTCTTTTAATCTGATTCACCAACCCCATTTGAGGCAAAATGCTGGTATTTTATTGTTTGTTTTAATGAGTACTATAGCCCAGATGGGAACATTACATTTTGAACCCAATATATGTCAATTTAAAACCATATTTACTCAGGGTTGGGGAAGTGTCATTTGGCATAGTTTGTCTTCCACTGGTCACTCATCATATCCAGGCCCTGGACATAGCTAAGAATTCTCTTCTCTGTGTTCTCTACTTGAATAATTGTGGAAAGGTGTAGACAGGAAGTTGCTTGTTAGTTATTTTACTGTGTTTAATGAGCAACATTAAGAAAAGGAAATCATGGTGCAAAAAAGATATACAGTATTCTGTTTAGCTGAAAACTAAAGGCCATCAATAACCCAGTTAGGCTGCAGCCACCAAGGTCAGTGGATGGAGTACAGTGGCCATGTTGCAGATCAAATGATCTACCTTCTTATTGGGTTGAAATTTGGATTGTGTTAAAAGTGATAGCCTTGACTGTATCTCGTGTATCTTTACAATACAGTATGTGTAGATATTCTCATATAAGATACTTTTATAACCAGTTTTCATGTACCTGTATTATGAAAAATGGTAATGTAATGGTTTAGCAGTACTGTACAGTGCAATATTTTTTGCAGGCCACTGTCATGGTATGAAAGTAATGCTAACTCTCTTGCCAAAAGGGTAGTTCTCAACAAAGTGAAGACAGCACTTGGCCTGAGCCGAGCACATTTCTTATGTTCAGGTTAGTGATTATAAAACTGATCATTAGGCATCCCAATCTTAGCAGTTTTTTGCTTTATACAATAGTCAATTTTTGTTTGCTTGTTTCTGGTCGATATCTCAAGGTTAATTTTTTTAGACTCACTCTACACTTAAAATAACAATGCATCTGCACAATGTAGTGTGTGTGTGTGTGTGTGTGTGTATTTTCTGATGATGTAGCCCCTACATGTCCATATTGGTGTAAGTTTCTTTGTGTTTTTGGAGGCTCATTGTTTCTGTACTGTATCTTGACAATGTTTTAACTGATTTGTTGTAGATACAGTACAGTACAGTACAGCACAGTGTGATCTCATGTTCTGAGTATTTTTGTGTTGTGATCTGAGGAAATTGTTGACTACGGTCATTTATTTGTGGTGTTAAGGTTTTATAATTTGTAAGTCTTCATATCCAGTCATATTTATACAAAGTCTCATACGATTTACTTCATATATTAAAATGTAAGTGCTTTAGAATCTTGCAGTGCAGCAATTATTTTGATGTGGTGTTGTTCTCAGGTAATATTGTTAAGGAACTACTTTTCTGAGTTAGGGATCAGGTCTTGATGATGGCTGATCAATATCTTTATTGATTCTCTACAGATGAAACTCATTGGCTTAGTATTGTTTTGGGATGATGGTGATCCACGATAGCAATTTTACAATTTTCCTTTTGCTCATTGATTCATCAAAAGAGCTAACAATGTTTAGTTTAGTTTATTTATAGTTTCATGAGAATTACATAGATGCAATTACCTGTATGAGGGCCTGTTGTACAGTACAGTAAAGTATTACTGTATTATCCCAGTTTTATCATGAATTTTATTTACTTGTACAGTTGTACAGTACTAATATATATATGCAAGTAAATCACTGTAGGTGTGCGTGATCCAGGTATATGGTGATAACCACAAGGAAAAAGAAAACACGAAGTTCCCAAGCGCTTTCGTGTAATTCACATCTTCAGGGGTGAGTACAAACTAAAGTAGAAAAGCAGAACAAGTTATATATACAGAGGAGGGTGAGATCAAGTCCACAGAGGTCAAGTATAGGTAATGACCCTACTAATCTTCACAAAAGCACCGCAGCGGTCCGTAGTCAGGTCAGAAGGAAAACTGACCCAACCTTCTCACCTGGTTACAAATCTTCTTAATTACAAAATTGTCCAATTTGTACATGCCATTACTCAAATTCATGTTAACGGATTCGGTATGTTTAATGAGACTAGATTCTATAATGTTCCTACTGTTCATACATTCATTATTATTCTGCCCACCATAATAGAGTCAAACAATCAGTATTTTCAACAATGTTTTTACATGCTTTGAGAATTTGCAGCCCGGAATTCATTGATGAGGAATATAAATATATCTATAATATTGGCTCAAACCTTAAATACCCTAGATCTTTCATAGACAAATGCCTGAACATTACTAAGAAATCTTTTTATAGAACTGATCCCAAGCCCACCCATGACCATAAGAATCTCTTAGTATTACCATTTCACAAAAATTTCTCTCAAATTCCTTTACAACTAAAAACCTAGACTGTCAATGTGGCATTTAAAAACTCATGCACTGTTAAACAAATGTTAATCAAGAACTCCCCCAACAATACAGGTGGCTGCATTTATAAAGTCCCTTGCAAGGAATGTAATATGTTTTACTTAGACCAGACAGGTAAAGATCTTGTAACTAGACTTAAACAACATAAATATAGTGTTAGGACAGGCCAGGAATCCAATGTTTTGTTTGTTCATTTGAGGGATAATAGACATTGCATTGACTGGGATAATGCCTCCTCAATATTACCTTGTAATTCAATTGACAGTAGGAACATTATAGAATCTAGTCTCATTAAACATACCGAATCCGTTAACATGAATTTGAGTAATGGTATGTACAAATTGGACAATTTTGTAATTAAGAAGATTTGTAACCAGGTGAGAAGGTTGGGTCAGTTTTCCCTCTGACCTGACTACGGACCGCTGCGGTGCTTTTGTGAAGATTAGTAGGGTCATTATCTATACTTGACTTCTGTGGACTTGATCTCACCCTCCTCTGTATATATAACTTGTTCTGCTTTTCTACTTTAGTCTGTACTCACCCCTGAAGATGTGAATTACACGAAAGCGCTTGGGAACTTCGTGGTTTCTTTTCCCTTGTGGTTATCAGCATATACCTGGATCACGCGCACCTACAGTGATTTATTTGCATATATATATATATATTGTATATACTGTATATACTGTATAATGTACAGTATAATACTGGTAGAATAAAGAAAGACACAGTAAACACTCACCCTCTCCATGTGTTGCTGTTGACTGCTGTTTAAGAAGGTTGCAATGACGAGCACCGGGGCAAGAGTGGGAGTCTCCTACACTCGGTTAGAGGACGAAGGTGGTGTCTGTTGAGGTGATGATGGAACATCTTCAATATCTTCCTGCACCTCACCACCCTCTATGAGCTGGACAACTTCAGGGTCACTGCAAAAATCTTCCCCAGATGTCACTGTTTCTGGGGTAAGGCTAGGGCACTTGTTGAAGGCTGGGGCTCATTGCTGATGCTCCACCTGGTAGATCTTTGAAGTATTCCTTCTTAAGGATAAATCATTGGTCTTTGTTAACATCACTGGGTATGATGAGATGCTCTTCATGCATAAAATGCTGTCCAGGACAAAGTTGTCAAACTAATAATATAAAAACTGCTGTAAATACTTGTTATACATGTATATTGCTACAGTAAGCCATCTCAATAACAAGACTGCTCAATACAGTAAGTCCTCGTTTAACATTGCCCTCGACAACGTCGTTTTGTTATAATGTTGCTACTCTTTAGATACCCACGATTTGGACATCCCGCCAATTTGGTAGTATGTCGTCACACACTATTTTGTACGGCGCATCACCCTCTTTCACCCAGTCAGAGCGGGAGGAGGAGCCACCCTCCAGGTCTCAGTGACGAGCTGCCCTCCTCCTCTCCCGCCCTCCTTCTCTCCTACCCTCCTCCTTTCTACTACCCCCACACACTCGCTCCACCTCCGCCCATCAGTGAGTACAATACAAAATTATTTAGTTTATTTATCTCTTTGGATGTATAATACTGTATACAGTAAACTATTTTCTATAAAAATTCCATTGAATTTATGTATATGTAATGTATTTTATGGGGCAAAGGGAGGCTGGGGAATGTAACTCCCATATTTTTGTCTATTTCTCATGGGGAAAATTTATTCCGTTAACGTCGCGGTTTTCAGGAACGGAACCACAACGTTAAGCGAGGACTTACTGTACCGGAAATTCCCAGTAACAGACGTCTTTATGTCCGGATGTTTGGGAACATTGTCTGCTGTTAACTAGACTCAGCGAGGTGGCTGACAGTGTTAACGGGACATAGTGTCACACACAAAATATTGCTGGATTTCATGTGTATGAAATGGAAAAGTTAATCTCTATGAAACATTTCTTTTAGCACTCGCGTAAACACACGATAATGGCAGCCTAACAGAGGTGGCGTGTGATGTAGATTTGTCAATACAAAAAAATTCAGAAGAGCAAAGGTAGGAAGGCTCAGCTCCTGCTCTTTATTTTTATTTTCTTATTTATTTGAGATGTATGAAACAAGTTTTCTTCATGAGAATTTTTCCTAAAATTGATAAGTTGTTTGTAAACACTTGTAAGTAAATTACTGTATTAGAAAGAAATGTGGTGTGCTTTAGGGAGTGTTTGTAAATACTGTACTGTACTGTACCTTGAATGTCAAGAAACAATGAAAATATGAAAAGTGTTGACACACATTATCAACATTGTTTGCCCTGTTGCCTCACTGTGGTCACATCAATACAGTATGAGATGGCACTACATGGTCAAGGTGAGTGTGTCTGTAGTTTTGCATGCTTAGCTATTACCTATACTGTACTGGACTGTATTTGGAAATAAGTTTTTATTCATTTCTCAGGCATTATTGTTTTGCAATTTTTATCACTATAGCACTGCAGAGGCTAAGAAGTATTGTAGTACATAGATCCTTTACCACCTAAAAATAAAAATACAGTAATAGCGAACTTCATTGTCTTGCAGGCTCTGTAGGTCAAGCAATACATTTTCTTTATGATTAAAGCCATATCTTCTGTGTAGGAGCTGCCCCCATTTCCAAGGATGTTCTGGAGTACTTCATGAGCTTGGACATGCCCATTATGGAAGGTTATGGTATGTCTGAATCTCTGACCATTTGTTCCATGTCTCTCCTGCAACCTGGAATGTTCAGACTTGGAAGTGTTGGCAAGGTAACTCCTCAAGAACACAAAGGAAATTTGTCGTATGCAGTGCTGATGGTGACCTATTCTGTATGAATAGTTATATATATTACTGGGTGTATGAGTTATATATATTACTGGGTGTATGATGAGTTATATATATTACTGGGTGTATGATGAGTTATATATATTACTGGGTGTATGATGAGTTATATATATTACTGGGTGTATGATGAGTTATATATATTACTGGGTGTATGATGAGTTATATATATTACTGGGTGTATGATGAGTTATATATATTACTGGGTGTATGATGAGTTATATATATTACTGGGTGTATGATGAGTTATATATATTACTGGGTGTATGATGAGTTATATATATTACTGGGTGTATGATGAGTTATATATATTACTGGGTGTATGATGAGTTATATATATTACTGGGTGTATGATGAGTTATATATATTACTGGGTGTATGATGCGTCATACAAGGTGTCCACATTAAAATTAAACAATTTTGAAGCCTTATAAATTTTGATTGAATAAAGTTAACAGAGTAATATTCACACAGCTCATAGTCAATATGTTTGATTTTCATTTGGTGTGTGGGTACACATCATTCACGTGTGTTAGGTTAGACACTCGCCACGTGCACCATTCATAGCTTTATTTACTTTTATCCTCTTCGCCACTGATCTGCTCGTTAGCTGCTTGGGTGGTCGGTCACGTCTCTGTTATGTACTGGGCATGCACTGGTTCGTGAACGTATCTGTACCTGCTCCAGGGTTGGTCAAGTCGTGTCTTAAAAGAGCTCGCACTCAGTGCCATCACAACACTCTCTGGCAGATTGATTCAAGAGTTTACAATTCTCACTCCAAAAAAGTTTGCCTTCACAGTTTCTATACTTGTGGCTTCTTCAACCTTGAGCTGTGACCTCTAATGGGGCAGGCATCTGCCAGCTTCAGGTATGGACACTCAACTGAGTGGTGCCCCCTGAGATGTTTATAAACTTCAATTAGGTCACCCCTTGGAATTATTCACAACAGTACTTAATATCTCTCCACACATTTTTAATATCTCGGGAGTAACACAAGCCTCTGCCGCTGTGATGCCCTCTTTCAGCTGAACAATGTTCTGCACCTTTGTGGAGTTCACTTTGGACTTCACATTAAGCTCAGGCAATCTTGGTGGCCAGTGATCTGGCTCCCAGGCATCAAGGAAGGAGTGGACCAGCAGCCTCCATAACCCCCACAAGAACAGAGTACTGTACTGTGATAAATTCCTTGGAGTTATTGATCATGAACATCTAAGCTGTTGAAACCACATTGAAGTCTTTCACAGTAAAATCAGTGAACAATGTGACATCCTGTACTTCACTCACTACTAAAGCAATGAAATAAGTCTTCTGTAGTGTTATTTACCGACACTTGATTTATTGCCATATACTATGGGGCCTCCAGTACGACTAAAACAAAGCTTGTGGTTTCCACCCAAAAGTTAGTTCTGCAGGCAGTAAGAAACTTACCACCCAAATGACCACTTAGCTAAATTGAGGATATTTCTGGTAAAAAATAATATTTACTGCTGTACTGTATTTGTTTATAAAGCAATAAAACACCTGATTGAGAATGACTATTTTCAGTTCCAGACTAACCATTGTAAAACTAATGGAACCCAGACTTACTGAACCCCCCCTCCCCCCCATGTGCTCATCTTAAACTCAAACCTCCTTAAAATGTCATGTGTTGAGACAGATGGTACCAGAAAAATTTTTCTTGATACCAGAAAACAAAAGATATTTCCAGAAAAAATACAGGAACACATTCTCAATTCTGGTTATCAGAGATTTCTGGTATCCAGAATTCTGTTATTGAAGTAAACAGCTGTTCCACCCTGTGGGTTGGTGTTAGGATGGGCATCCAGCTGTAAAACTTTGTTTCAACATGCCACATGACAACCAGGTCACCAGAGCTGGGCCCATCCCCTGACCTTTGCTGCATTTTCTGGGCTGCCACCCTGGGTTTGCAGTTTCACCCATCAGCTGCCACCAGGTAATCATGGTTAACCCACGCAAGCATGGAAAATGGCCATAAAACAAAGACGATTATGTGTGTGTGTGTGTGAATGAGTATGTATGCATGTAAATTCTAAAACATGTTAAAGGTTCAATATGTATTCATTAACACCATGTAATAGGTAATTCGGATAGTAATCTATGTTACTTAACAAGTTTCTTGACATAAACGTCAGTATTTATCAGATACGGTACTGTACTGTACCTTCAAGAGAGCTCTGGCACTGATAAGGCTCAGCCATGTCAATATTGTTGTTGTTAGTCACTGACCCTGTCTTTATGGGGCAACATAAATAGTTTGAATTTGTTTCACGGAGTTGTTTATGTACAGGTGTTGGTAAACAAAATCTTTTTCTTTCACATTTACTCTGCAAATGTCATACAGTAAGGTACTCCCCGACTTACGACGGGGTTAGGGACCGACATCCAGGTCGTAAGTCGAAATGGTCGTAAGTCGGAAATGCTTAAATGACACAGAAAATAAAAAATGGGGGTCTCTTTTTCTTCTCACCACCATAAAACGCTCACTTTTAAGCTTGCCAGCCATTTTAAAGTGAATTACAGATGAAAATTTCGTCTGAGTACTGACCTTGAGACTCAAAAATACGTAATTTGACCAAATTTTGGTACGACCGAGGCAGGTCGTAAGTGCGGGTGGACATAAGTCGAGTAGGTCGTAAGTCGGGGAGTACCTGTATATGGTACTCTTCAGTATAACTAATGTTGTGATTTCTCTCCTATAAACAGAGACTTCCTCAAACTATTGTTCGTTTGAAGAGTTCTGCAGATTATAAACCAGGAGACGGAGAAATCCTTATAAAAGGAAGAAATGTATTTATGGGATATCTAAACAGTCCAGAAAAGACCGATGAAACTGTAAGTACTGCACTGTACTGTACTGTACTGTACTATACTTACTGTAATTGTATTAGTTGAAAGAAATACTTCCTAGTTTTTGTGATATATGCTGTACAGTATTTAAGTTGTTGTGGTTGAGTTTATGTTTTGTAGCTTGATGATGGCTGGCTGTCAACTGGAGATATTGGCTGTTTTGATGAAGATGGATTCCTGTACATCACAGGACGTATTAAAGAACTGGTAGTCACGGCTGGAGGGGAAAATATACCTCCACTACTGATTGAGAATCACATTAAAAAAGAACTGCCATTTATCAGTACTACCATAGTTATTGGGGATTGCAGAAAGTAAGTTGCCAGTTTTCCTTCTTAAAAGTTTAATGACCTTTGTCCTTTAGTGTTGCTAGATAAATATTTCTCATATACTGTACCTGTATCCAGTCAATGGATTTCATTCAGTCTGACACATAGGTAATATGTCTTATCTTTTATATTACTGGTTAAAGTGTACACATCTTTTTATTGGGTCCTTTTTCCACTGGGAGCTTTTTTGTAATCAAGAGCTTGTTGAGAATCAGTTACTCTGATGCTGGACTGATGCTAAACAAGGTTAAATTGAAGCATAAATACACTACCTCACTTGCAGTAAACTTACAGTACTGTATACAAAAAACATTTACCATCCTTACTTATTTATGCTGTATCGAGATTTATATATTGATGAAAACAAAAAGAAAGTTATGAATGTACATAACACAGTATTGACTTAAACATAAAGATCATTGTTTTAAGGCAAACCTTCCCCACAGATACCTGTCAGTTCTATTAACCCTGAAGGCTGAAGTTGATAAGAATACTGGTGAACCTCTTGAGACTTTAACTCCATCTTGCCAGACCATGATGAAGAGCCTTGGACTAAATGTGAAGACAGTAGTGGATGTTTTGGACGAACTTAAGAGGAACCCTCAGGGAGCTGTTGCTACAGCCATACAGAATGGAATAGAAAGGTAAGCTCCATGTTAGTCTCTGGGAAACTTTACATACAGCTGCATACATTGTAGTGGAATAAAGATGTAAGCTATAAGCCATCATCACGTGACTCTTGTTGCAGCCAGATACTGTATGATGGAATTGAGATAAAAACCCAAGCATATAAACCAGTGTTAGTGAAGGCTGTTGATATAATTGTACAGTATATGATATGTTATCAGAGGTTCACAGTGTCACTATCATCAACATTTTACAGTCATTTTTCATACTAGTGTGGGTTAGTCATGATTACCTGGTGGCAGTTGTTTGTTGGGTAAAACTTTGATGATGAAAGCTGATTGCTCTTAAACATTTATGATCCCCCCCCCCACATGTTCAGTCATACCAGGAATGTAATCCCTGTCCCATTTGTAAGAATATTTAAGAACTTAAATCCCATAAATATCGAGGGTCTACTGTACAGACAGTCCTCAATTTATGAAAATGTTCTTTTCTTGAAAACCTTTGGTAAATCGGATTCCATTTTCCCATGGACTTTCATCATAAAAGCTGAAATATGTTCCTATGAAAAAATACCCCAATTGTTGTAAAAAGCTACAAAACATGTTTTTAATGGCATGCAGTACAGTAAGATTGCAATTTTAAACTTAAGAGAAATTGCAGTGCTTGAAACTTACAGAGAAACTGGACCATAAGTTGTGATACTGTGAGGCCCAGCCAAGATACTGTACTATATATGGTTTTAATTTCTTAGTGCCACACCAACAGGAAGTCCACCCACTGCACTGTTCATATACACATTTTGAGTTCTTTTGCTTTCACTGGATTTGATTTTTGATGTTTCATCTGAAAAAGAAATTCTTAACTTAGTCATTTAACATGTTATTCTTTCCACTGACATCAGATCAAACTGAGATACTAAACACATCAGCATTCACACATTCACAATATATTGAGTTAGCATCAAGCCACTGCTTCACACAATGATCCTCTGAACCATGGTTAACTATACAGTACACTAGATGTACAGTATTTTACCTTTACTTAGATAACCACTCTTACAGCACATTACTGTACTGTACAGGTATGTTGTTTTATTTGTCTTTATAAACTGACCAGGTCTGCTAAGGAGCCATGAGATGCCTGTGTCAGCACCTAAAAAAAAAAAAAAAATTGAAACCCCGAGGCCTTTTTTTATTATTATTTATTTTTGTAACTTCAGATTTTCATTAACCAGACCTTTATAAATTAGGGACTGACTGTACATGTCAGAGAATAGATTGCTTCCAAGCAAGAGACATCTGTGCTCCTTAAAATTAGTATACAAACAGTAAAGCTCTGAACAGTCAGTTTGTACAGTACTGTATACCGTAATGTTCCTCACTCGTATCATCTTTCCATAATGAATTTACTTTAGCCTAAAGATCTTTTTCCCTAAAGGTACAATGAGAACCATGCAGCATCACATGCACAGAAGGTTCAGCGTTGGACGGTGTTGCCTTTGGACTTCTCCTTGGTAACGGGGGAATACAACAACACTCTCAAGTTAAAAAGAAGTTTTGTGATGGATAAGTATAAGGATATAATTGATTCCATGTACCCAGACCCAATGAAATTAGGTAAACTTTAAGGCAGCACTTTGGCAGTAAAGTATATCTGTGGTACCCAAGTATTTCAGATATTGGTAGTAATTATCAATGTACTTCAGGGCTTATACTAGCTGTTTCAGGTGTGTACTGGTAAGGACTGACAACCTATTTCAGGTACTGGTAATACAGTAAACTATCTGTCAATTATAAGTGTGGGACCAAGAGGTGTATGTAAAGTGGATAATTACACCAATAAATACTATCATGAATATGTGTCCAAGGAAAGCAGATTACAGTTCTTGTGTCAGTTTAGTTATATTATAGTACTGTACCTGTACACTAACTTACTTCATTATTATCTAACACTTTCATTGTTATGACTCAGTTTTTAATGTTATCATTCTCCCACAATCACCAGATAACTTACTCCTCAAACTCACCTTAAGACAAGTAGACTCATCACCACACAGTCACTCAGCCTGTTGCCTAATTCTCCAATTTCTCCTCAATTATTCTCATGTAAGTTCTGAAAATTTAATAAAGAAATTAATCTATAATGTATTATGAAATTTAATATTTATGTAGAATGCTCAAATTTTTCATAAAATAGATTATTTTGTAAAGTAGATTTTAGGTTGACAGATATTTGAGTAACTTAACTGTAGTAAGTGATGTACGGTACAGTAGTTTCTGGCAGTCGGCAGTAGACACTGGCAAATCGATGGGTATTCAATTAGCAATTCACCAATCTGCACCGCAATGAATTGTGGTACAAAATATAGAACAGTACAGTATGCCTGTACTGTACTACTCAAATCTGTGCTTTTTGTGATATGATGCACTGAAAATTTCATAAAATTACCCTGTAAAAAATTCTTCTGGGAAAATTATAACATTAATAGGTATTCTAAGTTTGCATTTAATGTTTCTTAATGTTGTTAAAATGAACAAACTGAGAGTCAGCTATACAATTGACTCTCCTGTGTAAACAAAAAACATAATCTTGGTGACTAAAACTTCATGGGCTAAAGGTTATGTCAGACAGTGGCTGGCAATCGGCTACCTACATATCTCATACTGTAATTTACTCTTAAGTGCTGTTAACTTATGCTAATACTGTACTTACTGTTCAAGTTTCTAGCTTCCATTGTATAAATAATGCACCTGTCAACCACCATATTTCTCACACTTCTGGTTTGGTTTCATGGTTACCACCTATACCAGGAACCATCTAACCAATCAGTCTCCACCATTAAGTTGTCACTTGGTGTTTTCTAAAAATAGTATACTGTAATAGTTTTAGAATTTACTCACTATTGCAATGCTGAAGACATGTGTTACTATAAAAATATATTAATTATTTGGTTATAGAGAAATTTAAAATTTTACTTACCAGTAGAGGCGGGCAGATGAGCTGCTGGGGTCAATGTTGGAGGGACTGACAGTGGTATTTGCTGGGGGTGAGGCTGGTACAATGATGACAGCTGAGGGAGAGGCTGGTGGTGAGTAGCTGAGAGAGAAGTTGGTGGTGAGTAGCTGAGGGAGAGGCTGGTAGTGAGTAGCTGAGGGTGAGGGAGAGGCTGGTGGTGAGTAGCTGAGGGAGAGGCTGGTATGGTGATGACAGCTGAGGGAGAGGCTGGAGAGGTGTTGGAGAAGCTGGGTTATCTGTGTCTGAGTCACCACTGTCACCAGGTAATGAAGGCAGGCTGATGCCAAGGGGAGGATGGGTTTTCCTCTGAACTAAAGGGCTGACAGGGATAAAGGGTGGTGCTAGAGGAAGCTGGAGTAGAGCCATGAGTGGGAGATAAGAGTCTTTTGTTGGCAGCTTCAGTTTCTTTTGCTTGTAGGTGACTTTACTTGGTTTGGGTGTGAATCCACAGTTAGTCAAGATTCATTGTCTAGAACAAAAATCTCTGCCAGATTCTTCCTGTTCAGTTCTTGTGGCTCCTCAGTGGGACTTGTTGGTTCTTCTTGCATCTCTTCTGGGCTTGATGCCTCACCAGATATAAGCCGGCAATTATCTCTCGTTGAATCTAATTTCAGGGAGTTTCTGGACAATATTATGTTTTAAAAGAAATCATTAAATTTTTTACCACTAGAAAAGACTTGAGCTACTCTCCACCAAGTCACAAGGCAGAATATTACGGGTCTTAAACCAAGGGAGGAAAGTTTTGAGCCAAGTCAGTTCTCAAGTCCACAAAAATAATGACTCATTGCCACTCACATCAGGCTTTAGATTCTTCATTGTTTCTCCATCTTATCATTTAATACTGAAGGCGTACTGCCAGATGAAATACCACCAGACAAAATCATGCACTTTTCCAATGATTCCTGAGAAAAAAAGACTTAATTCATAGAGGATCAACATATTGATTACAGTACCAGCATCATCCAGATAAGACTAAATTATTTTCCATTACAGTATTTTCAGAATTTGCAGGTTTCTTATTCAGGCATATACAGTACTGTATAGTGTATATATATACAGTATAGGAAATAAGACAGGAAACAGTAGAACTAGTATTGAATAAAGATAATAGAAAATACAAACCTTGGAAATGTAATTATTTTTAGTTCGCGTAAAAAGTAAGTGGAAAACTATGTCTTTCATATATTTATTTTATTTCATATTCTTTTGGAAAAAGTAGATATGTCTTACACTTAAAGACACAATTAATGTAATAAATCTATTAATCTTGAGACAACATTAGTACTGTACCTATTAATAATCAGCTAAACTAAATTAGATTGTCTGACTCAGGACAAAGTAAAGTACCCAGTGCAGTACAGTGCAGGACAGTACAATACAGTACAGTACAGTGCAGGATAGTACAATACAATGCAGTACAGTACTGTGCAGTATAGTACTGTGCAGTATGGTACAGTACAGTACTGTGCAGTATAGTACAATACAGTACAGTACAGTATAATACAGTTCAGTACAATACAGTGCTGTAGAGTAGAGTACAGTACAGTACTGTACAGTACAGTAAAGTGTTACATGAGGTTTTTACAGCGGTATATAATTTATAGTGAACTGGTCACGATATACAAGTTTTCTTTGACAAAGGCATCCATATAACACTAACCCAGACTTAATCTATCAACAATCTGAATATGAATCATATTTAGTGGTCAGGTGTATAACCACAATTGTTTGTATATTGTGTATTTTATTAAAAGTATTTTAAGATTATTTTAAGTTTTACAATATTAAACCCATTTCTATACAATGTAATCCGAGATTCAGTACTGTAGTCCAAGTACTTTCAGGGTAATTATCAGAAAATTACATAATTATTATATATATTATTTAAATCCTTTGAGACTAGTTACCTATAAGGGTAGTCATCCATAAAAGGCACTTACATAACTTAAAAGATTACAGAATGCATAATGAACAATCTCTTTACCAGCAGTGCCTCAATCCTCCCTAGAAGTCTTCAAGTCGTCCTTCATCTACATATTTATTTTGGTCTCTGTTCTTTTGACGCAACAAAACAGTTTTCCATTTAGTAAACATTGGGTATTATGATCCGGACCCAAATTACACCCTTAGAGATGCATCTGCCTGCCTAAGAGGCTAGTGGGAGGAACTTAGGTGGTTGATAGGGCCGGTCCACTGTTCCAGCATTTCTGCTTTTGTGAGATACAGCTGACCAGGAGAAGTCAGGCCAGCACAGGAGCACTTAGGGATGCAATCTGTGTCAAAAGACCATGAGAGGGTAAACACTGCACCAAGAATGACCAAATAGGAAACATCATATCTCCAGTTACAGGAACAATTTTAACATACAAAATTCTAAAGACTTACCAGTATGCTCATGTGGGTAACTGGCTGCAAGTTATAATCGGCCCAGTACTAATATAACCGAACCGAACCGATAGTCCTCAGGTCCACTAGAATTGGGGTCGAACAGGACTGGGGCCTAGGCTACTAGGCCCCAGTCCTGGTTAAGTCAAGCTACGGTCACACTCGAGCTTTCCGTGCAATAAATCCACAGTAGCATTTTATCCATAGGCAATAAGTCAACGGTACGATCCCAATACTAGTCACACTTGCGAAAGGAACCATTGGCCAGGCGTCCAGTTTATGTGGCTAGTTTGAGCTCAGATGAAGAGCAGGATGGCTTCACTGTTTGTTTCTATGATAGCATTAATCACTTTAGTGAGATGTGTGGTCCTGTTAAAGAAGCCCAAGACGAAAAATAAACGACTGTAGTGTCAAAGCGATGTTTGTTTACAAAAGAGAAAAAAGTACTCTAAGAGTCGAGTGAAATTCCTGTTGTGATGTATTCTTCTTACGATTATTTTATATTTACTATGACATTTTTGCTCGTGTTTTGTTACTGATATACACTTTTTATATTTTTTTGTACATTTTAACATTAGTAAGAAAAAATAAGAACAGTGTAAATTTTATAATACAATGGACTCTCTATATCAAATTTCAATTCACTGTACCGAGGATTTTCGGACGCACTGTATCGTCCGACTTTCGACAAAAAATTTATCGCTTTAGAGACAACTTGACTAGTTCGTTTAAAATTCAATGCAAAGGTGGATTTATTTTGGGTAGAAAGTCGAGTGTGACCGCAGCTTTAGGTTATTATTTGAATCTATTAAGACTGAAGCCCATGAATCCTTGGAGACCTTACTGATACTGCTACTGTACATACAAAGAACAGTACTGCACAGTACTCTGGGGGTAACACCCAGTAAGTTAAAGTTAAATTTTCTTTTATAAGTTCCATCCTCAACATCACTCCTCTCTTATTTCAAGGACAGGTAATCAAATTAATACTGAGGAAGACATTAATCATTAATTCCATTTGTTTTTGTTTGTTTTTATAATACAAATAGGTACAAAACAGGACTACATTTAATCACTACTGTATATTGTTTAAAAATATGATTTGCTAATTTACTTTTTGCTGAACCACTAAAAGTGACTAATGAGCAAATACATGCTCAAAATAAGCTATAAAGGCATTCAATATTAAGTAAATACTGAGTATATGTGTATACTAACATTACATAAATATTATCTATGCTCTACCAGGAACAATTAGCAAAGAAAACTTTAATGTGATTTTTTATGTTATACAAAATTTCTGCATGAACTGGTATATTATTCATTAACAAACACTTAATTCCTCAATAAATGTAAAGTGTAAAGTGAGTGAAATACCAATACAGTACTATTTTAGTTCTGTAAACCTATGAATCACATTATTCAGATCTGCTTCATTGGTTTACTTGCCACTAATTCAGATCTCTAATGGTGTGTATCACATATATTAACTAACCTTTTAAAACATACTGAGAATCATTCAACTCCAACTTAATTACACAGCACAGTACTGTACACGGTCTAGAACGTAAACATACCATACATTTATGTTGAGAAGACCTACTGTTAACAATGGGTAGAGTAGAATGACAAATATAAGAGACTCTTAGGCATGATCACTGCAACATACTACAACATAATCATTCTCCTCAAGAACACTCTCTCTACACCTGAGAAGGCCATCAACTGAATGCTTTATAAAATTTGATTAGTAATGGATGTAGGACATTTAGTTATGGACCTACAGTACAAATACTATTTTAATGAATATTACCAAGTTTTAAATTTCCTGTACAATTCCTGTGCTCATAAAATGCAAACGAAATAAATGTAAAGGAAATGATTGATGAGGTAATTTTGGAATGTAATTTCGAATTATTCCCACCTTGCAGCTTCTAGATGTCCATGCACAATAATTATATTATCAAATACTTGACTGATAATTAAAATTGAGATTGTCACAATATCTACTCTCAAAGAAATACAGTACACAATGAATATCATTATAGCATGTATATACTGTACTGCACTGTTCTATACTGTATAATGTATATAAAATTCTTCCACTCCCTAAGGAATATGCAGTTTAGTTTTACATAATGTGCTGTAAATAATAATAATAAAAATATATATTATCCAGTAAGCATTATACTAGAAGCACTCTTTAGCCCACTATTACAATAAAATAGTGCAGCAGCCATATTGGTCACCGGTTTAATCCTGGGGCACTTCCAGTCCACCCAGCTATAAATAGATACCTAATGTTTTACAGAAGTTGGGAAAGTGAAGGAGTGTAATGCCAACTATGATGCCTTCTGAACTGAAGGTTTGGTATAAAGTGAGCTGCATCCCTAATGGGTAGTCATGCCTGGGGGACCCACTTTCACCGTTGACAATGTAACAAAATTAACTTACCATTTCCCATCACACTTTATCCAAGCTAGTTTCTATGCCACATAAACTAGATAATAGATACCCCTGTACTTCTATTTTCCAGACTTAATAAATAAAAGCTTGCATGAAGATACACCTATAACATCCAGATAAACAATGGCTTGCTAATTACTACCAAAGATGAACCGTACTGTACTAGTCAACGTCATAATAAATATAAACTTAAGATTACAGTTGTGTATATGGCTTTTGGTCCCATTTGTTCTGTAAGTGCTGTATAGACTTCATACTACTCTACTACAAACATTTAAAAAGAATTTCATGTGAATACAAACACACGGACCCATACAGTAAACCCTGGTCATGTGTTCCTGCATAACACTACAGATATCAAATCCATAAAAGTAAATATTAATAACTTATTAGAACAAAAGAAAAATAGACTGAGCAGTGGTGAGCCTATAATATGCAACTGATTTTAGGTGCCACCACTGTTAGCTAACCCACGAAAGCAGAAAAAATGGTTGTAAAATAATAATGATGATGATGATGATGACCACTACACATACTCAGCACTGTGGATACCATACCTAACTGGAATGCACTACCTGCTTCTGCCTTCTGTTTGTAGGTACTGTACAGAAAAACCTGCCTGGAGCATGAGTTTCTACACTATGATCAGCTAGCAGGAGCTACTTCACAGGGAACATTGTTTAGCAGTGGATGGCCTTCAAGCACTGAGCAATATCAAGATCACTAGAGGTCAATTTCATATGATGCTTGGGATAAAATAAGAATACAAATATTTCATCTGATAGATTTGTAGGAAATCTCATATGGATTAAAAAAAATCAATTAAAGCCAAGAAATCAGTACACAACTGTCTCTGAGCTTCTAAGCAGAATTAATTGTGTATTTTTGCTGTGGTTGGCTGATACACAGATTATTCCATGAGCTGTGATGCATATGTGTCCACACTAACAATACTACCAGTATCTAAAACAGAAAACAAGTAGATTCCTGGCACCCAAAAACAAAAACAAAAGAGAGAGAAAATATAATAGATGCTAGAATATTAAATATATGGTTAAATACTGAAGTTAAATACATGGTGAAAGTGACCTATGTGAAACCTACGATTTACCCTCTAGTAACGAGAGGGTAAATCGTTGACAAACCTTGTCTCAGGGGGGATATCTGGCATCTACTTCTGAGTCATTAAAATCCCAATCTTCCTCACCTAATGATCCTCAAGTACTTACATGACAGATACTGCTAATTGCCCAAGGAATTTTGTCTACAACTGTACATACAGAGTAAATGGTTATGATAAATGAATTTTCCTCTAATGTAACCACTTCCTGTTCCTTCACACTATTGGCAAAAATAACAAGTGATGTTTTCAGTACAGTACTTGCTGCATTGTGCAATATTCAACAGCCCTGTTGTTTGATGCTGTCTACAAGCCCACACTGTTTATGTATATGTTGACCCAAACTAAAAACTTTTTATGATTTTCACTGAATAAGCATTTATCTCCCACTGTTTCTGCTACTACCTCTCCAACATACAAACACAATACAGTACTATTACACATCCAAACTTTTTCACACACTCATACATAAACTTAGGTACAGCCTCACCCAAGAGTTTGTTAACTCTCCCAGCCAGCTACTGCTACACTGCCTGCTTCAAATGTATGAACTCGAGTCTGTTACTTCGAACCTTTAGATTCATTCATATCAGTTTCATGTTCTGGTTGGCACCGAGACAGTTTCAAACATCTGAAGCAGGAAGTGCAGCAATAGCTGGCTGGGAGAGTTAACAAACTTTTGGGTGAGATTGTACTATTACAATTTTTCACACTTGTTACACACCCACACTTTCTACATAACATACTTACTGTGTTTTATTATAAAATACAATACTACAGTATATGTAATGTACAT